TTCACCCCAATAGATAGCTCTTGCAGGATCTCCTATTAACATCAGTAAACAACGCTAGCACAGGGTATACGCAATCTCCGTTCGCCAAACACCAATCGGTCGGGACTACTAATTATCGAGCCTATTAGCATCGACAAAGTGTAGCCAAACACAGAAATTATAGAAAACTCAACAACCAAACCCTTCATCAATAACTGTCATTAAGCATAACATGACTTATCTCTGTACTCCATATTTTCAACACGAATGTCTGTATTAGGAGAGCTCCCCACCCAGTGGTTTTTGCGATTTTTCCCGGCTGCCATACACCCGTAAATGGCCATCGTTTTGTTAGCTGGAGAGGGGAGATAATGAAGGGCAAAGGGCTCATCTAAGAGTATGATCGAATGAGGACATGTGAGGGGAGGTACTGTTTGACGGGAGCTGTATGGGAAGCATAGGAGGGGATACAATACTGGCATAGGTATCCTTGGGCTGTAGGTAGAGAGGACCTGCATGTCTCATATAGTCATAGATTCAGGCAGGACAATAAGATGAATTCATAATTATAAAAGTAACGCCGTGACACATGGATCAACAATCCCCATGGCCCAAGGTGGCGCCTGGAATCTAGTTTATAAATTTTTTTGCATCAGATTTTAATTGCGTATGCAGCTATCTAGCTTTGACACAATATCAAAGAAACTTACATTTTAGATGACTCAACGTAAAGAAAGAGCACTCATGCCTCAGATTTCATTTGCAAGTACCACTGCGAAGTTGTGGCGGCTAGTTCTCCACCCCAAGGCAGGCCTCATCCGTAAATACCTGCCAAAGGAAACATCCCAAAAACCCTGGGTTATCCAGACATGCCTCCATCATCCGTTCACATTTCTCCGCGCGAAATGTGGTCAGAGGCGTTTCTTTTCCAAGTGGAGTAGCTAGCATGATTGGTGTTTGATATGGAAATGTAAACATGCGCTAGAACAGCTAGTATAGTTTATGGAGAGATATCTTCATCGAGATGTAGAAGTGAAGTTACTGTGATGATTGTTATGATGCCGCTTGGAGGAAGCTCGTCTCTTATCCCCTAGCTAGTTCGCTTACAAAACGACCACATAAAAAGTATTCCAGCGCACCAATTCCGATTGCCCTACATAAACGACTTATCTCTCATACCACATACAGAGGTACTTGGAATATCGCTATGTAAAGACTGGATCTCCTCCATGCGTCATAATGCCTTAATGCCATGCTACCATATGAACCACCTATGCACCTGCAGACGACATTATAAACACCGCCATGGTTGGATGGTGCGGTGGTACATCGTCTTGGCCGGTCTGCCAAGTAGAGTCTGGATAGCTCGGACACATGTCCCACTCGAGACAGTAGATCGCTGCTTCAAATCCGGCAAAACACAACCACATTTCTCGCGGCGCTGGTATGCATGGATGACGAAGGCATGCTTGGATAATCAAAGGTTTTGAAATTCCCTTTGGCGGGTACTTACGGAGGAGGGTCGACTGTTTGTGTAGGCAAGCATACCTCATAGTGGTATTTGCAAATGAAATCCAGAGTATGAGTGTCTCTAACGTCAAAAGAGTCATCCCACATGTATACATAGCACCGGTCATGTGTCATAGCTAGAAAGCTGGATATACATTAAATGATTTAAAAAAGATTAGCCATGCGCCAGCGTCTAGATCTCCCATACTACACGGCTGAGTACAACAGTAGGTGCCCAGGCTACTCAAACTTTACAGTAGACAACCACCAGGAGGCAGACTACGACACCTACATCACAAATTAAGGCTAAGCACGTGCAATGCTCTTCAATCTGTAAATTTGCTTGCCAAAATTCCAAACCTTACGCTCGTCGGAATCGTATACTTCCTTTGCATCTTCTCGTATACTTGTCCGGATCTCTCTCACGCCCATCCCAAATAACTGATTCTCAGATTTGTGCGCCACGATAGGTCTCCTCGGGCGGGTATAAATATATTCGCGGGCGCATATTTGGTGGCTGGCTGAAGCCGGAGGAAGGTAGATGAGAAGTGCGGCCACTGAAGTGACCATGTACTAGGTTGTTAAGGCGCGCGCTAATGATACTGAACATCGCCGTCTATCGAAGTTACTACAGTACTAACGATCAATTTAAATACTAACGAAGAATACCTGGAGATGATTGGGCCGGCGAGGTGTCAGATGTTCAAAGAGATGAGCCACGAATTCGAGATGCGAAGCAAGCGAAGTAGTCTAACAGGTTAAAATCAAATGAAGCACGAAGAAAGTAACGAGTGATGAAAAATTGAGAGTTTATGTCGGTAAAAGGATCATATTTGGGCAGTTTGAATTGTTCTATCTAATTGCGGTATTCAGATTGTCGTTAGGACACTGACGCTCCCAGAGCCAAGTTTAGTCAAATTTCGCAGTATCAAAGATGTTGGCCCACGAGGCAATGATTCAAATTACTCTACCACGTCGTTTTTTCGCTCTCAACGAGTTCAACTCCTACCTAAGTCTGATCAAGTTTACAAATACGACCAAGTACATCCTCGTTCCAATGACCACACCTTTCGTCGACCTTCTCTGGCCCCAGTTGACCACCAAATACACGCCCACGCCGATATATACACCCGACGGAGGAAGTAAAGCGTGGCGCACAAATCTGGGAGTTAGTTCTTTGGGATGGACGTTAGAGGAATCAGGACAAGATGATGCGAAGGAAGTATATAACCTTGAAGGGCGTGAACTTTCGAATTTTGGCAAGGAGTTCTACGAATTGGGCTTTTTGCGCGCCAAGACTTCGCTTGCGAGAGTGCAGTTGACACTATAAAAACAAACAAACGATGGAAGGTGCCGTGGTCCGCCTCCTGGTGACGTTCTCTGGTATGGTTTGAGTAACCTGGGCACCTACTCCACTTGGGAAGGAGACATCTCTGACCATATTTCGCGCGGAGGAAAGTTGATTGATGATGGAGGCATGTCTGGATAAGTCGGGGTTTTTGAGACGTTCCCCTGGGTGGGTATTCACGGATGAGGGTTGACTTGGGGTGAAGAAAAAGCCGCCGTAACTTCGCAGTGGTACTTGCAAATGAAACCTGAGGCATGAGTGCTCTTCTTGTCAATTGAGTCATCTATTATACACTTCTTTGATATTGTGTCATAGCTAGATAGCTGTATACGCAATTATAATGTGATGCGAAAAAAAAATAGGACACTGACAGGGAACTGACTTAGTTCATTAGCGAGGCGCTTGGAGTAGATGGAGAAAGGGGAGATGGAGAGGAAAGGGAGAGACAACGTTTTATATATTTCGAGATACCAGTTAATTGACATTATTCACCGAATTCGTGACGGCACCCATTTTGTATTACTTCGTGTTTTACCAACAGTGTAAGATTGCAAGCGTGAAGGATTGAGAGTGGCTTGGTGGCAGCTCCGGCTTTCTCAACCATATCTCAAGACCGTAATAGAGCCTAACTAAGGCTATAGAAAGATGTGGTCATGCCTCCAGCCTCTCTGTACCTTTCGAGTTTTCCCGAGAGCCTTCTTCAAGGATGTCTCGCCATAACATCGGTTTTACTTGCAGAGCGAGAGAGAGGTGTATTGATTGTACAACTTGAGTCTGCGACAATCTAGCACATTGGGCTCCTCTCTGGCCCAAGCCACACCTTGCACAGTGCTCCTATTCTCTCATGTTGCTTAAAATATCGATGATATATTGCCTATGATGAATAGCCATTTAGCTCAGTGTTGACCCGTGGAATTCGGCCACCCCTTCCACGAAACTTTCTAGCCCGCCCCCCCCCCCCCCCCCCCCCAGAAAAAGGTAGCAATGGAAACTGCGTGCGCGCGAGAAAGTCTCAAAAAACCTACAGCCCCAGCCAGACAAGGCCTAGACACTGGGACCACATGAGGTGCGCATCTCCATCTATGTCTCTCTTCTTTGTAACATTAGAGGCCAACTTGATCCAATCCGTCATCGTCTTATCGAGTACTGGAAACGCTCTGGAAACCCATCGGATGGCTTCTCCATGACCAAGGAGAGTGAGTGGGTGATGAGTAGGGCTCTGATCCTACCATCTGATCTAAGCGTGTTTAGCTTCATGATACTGATGATAGAGGAATGTGTTGAGAGATGAAGACGATACAGACCACGAAAGCGATTGGGAATCCTCATCGAAGCGAGGGCTTTGTTACTCAATCTCGGCTCTGCAGACTCTACAGTGAGAGCTGGAGGCTCGTAGGGGACACAACCGATAGGTGTTGAGAATAGTCCCCTTTGGAGGTTAGAAATAAAGTGAATTTCTTGCGCCTTGTGATATTGATATATATTTTGAAGGAATAGGAATAAAATTCCCATAATGGCAAATACCGTGGCATTAGATGGGACACAAAATAGGCTTTGAACGCTGTGGAAGCAGTTGTGAGGTGGGAGTTAGGGTTTGAGGTGGATTACATGAATTGGCTGGGAAAGCGGGTCTTTTCAAGTCTCATTTCATAGATCGCGCACTAGACGATGAATAGGCTCATTTTACATTGTTCCATCCCTTTTGATAAACTATTACGTTTACAAGGTTGAAACCTATTAAAAATTTCACCCAATAGGCCTAGCCAGGGCTATATTTTCAAGGACCGTCAATGCAAATAAGAAATCTATGGTTCATGCATAAGCAAAGGGCATTTATTTCTGTTCTATGATGTAGTATTTGCGCGCAATCAAGCGTCTATACAAACCCGTACAGAGATACAGCTAGACTTAGCTCTGGCACATTTATGTGCATTAATCTATTTGACTCACTTCTTCTCCCTTCTCTCGGCTCGTAGGTCGACCAATACACTACGGGTAAGAGGTGCAGTGGCAGGTTAGCCAAGTGTACGAGTACGGGACATAAGTCGCGCGTACAATATCTTCATTGGAAAGATCTTGACTTGCGCGTATTCAAACGTTAGAATAGGTAAAGTGGCGCTCAGTTTTTAGCCGGGCCGAGAATTTGTCGTTAACAATCTCGCCTTTAATCCCAATACTTAATTGTACCCTCTAATCCGGCTGTGACAACTCTACTGCTTTCTCGAGGATGCCAGGCCACGCAGGTTACTGCACCTTCAGCAGCCTGAAGCTTGTGCCACATCTTACCCGTTTTCCAGTCCCAAAAACAAACGTACCCACCAGAGTCTCCAGAGGCCACAAATTGCCCATCAGGACTACAAGCCACATCCACTGCGTAACCGCTTGTATTATGGCCTTTGAACGCTTTCCTTCTATTCTGTCGAAACTTATCGTTTGCACCGTACACAAAAATATTATTATCTGACGACTGGTAGGCGACATATTTTCCGCTAGGATGAAGAGATGCTCGGGTTAGAGGATACATGTGAGGCTCTGCAATGTATTTGATAGGAACAGGAATATTATAATCCCAGGCTCGTAGACTTTTGTCATCCGAAGTAGTCATAAAACGGCGATTTTCATCGACAAAGGTTATAGTATTTATAGCCGCAAGATGATGGTCATATTCTTGTACAATGTTGCCATTACGAGTGTCAAACTGGATGATTTTTTTGTCTGAAAGTCCAACAAGAAACTCATGGCTGTGCTCAAGCGAAGGATTGAATTTGATAACGTGCGGGGTTTTTCCCGTGGTAAAACGGTTCGTACATTGGCCAGTTTCGGTATCCCATAGCTTGATCATACGATCGTACGAAGCTGAGAGAAATTGTCGACCAGACGCGTTAAAAGTGATATCTGATAGTGCCTTGTTGTGGCCTTTATAGGTTCGCAGAAGTTCCCGATCGTGATAGATGTCCCAGATTTTTACAGTCGTATCGGCACTTCCACTCAAGAGAAGGTGTCCACTGTCAGGAAATAGCCGGAGTCCACATATGGGCTTGGTATGGCCCTTCCACTGATGTATCATTTTTTTGGGCACATAATTCTTGAACTCACCAAAGATTCGTTCACTTCGCAAATCAATATCAAGATCCTGCGGCACGTGCATATAGGTCCGGCCTTGATAGTCGTGTAGCTGACTGCCCTCAAAAACACTAGTCTCGTCGCCTAACTCCTCCACCTCTTTACGCTTCGCAAGGGCTTCTGGAAGCGCTGGCACAACCGTTCCACTTTCGACATATTCGTCTTGCGAAACTTCTTCGTACTCTTCATCACTATTTTGATCATCTCCATCTCTTACATCCTCGTATTGTGTCGTATCGTACTTCGCCCATGGTCCGACATATGCGCTATCCCCCTCAGCAACAGTAGCATCACCCTTCTTCTGGCGCTTACTTCGAATTTTTGCGCTTTCCTCTTTATCTGCTGCGCCTCCTTTATATTCGCGGTCAGGTCCTCGCTCCATCTCCCTGAGCTTACTCCGGAAGATGTACTCGCTGATAAAAGTCTCCTCCGCATATCCCGTGAGAACGTTTTTGCGTTTTGAATTGGATGTGTCGTCCTTGAATGGATTGGCAGGCCCTTGTAATGCTCGTGATAGATTGTCAGCCGTGTAAGGTACGACAGCATGGTCTTCACTCGCCTGCTGCCTGATTATCATAGCATTTTGGGGCATCATATTCGGTGGGAAGGCGCCGAAATCAGCCATGATTATGGTGTTTAGGGTGACACTGAGAGGTATATATCAGCGTGACCAAGAGAATGGTTGTATGAATCTTGACGACATGCGCCATGGCTCTAAAAGCAGCGCCCACCCTGAGGCACGTGCGGCGCCTTTAAATAGGATATTAATCATGTGACATCAGCGAGCCAAAAGCAGCGACGCATCTAGTAAATACTGCATAGGAGTTAATGCAATATTTAAGTGATATTAATGCTAAGAAAGCTTTGGTTTGTGCTAAAACCTCATATACAGCCTCTTAGTAATTATCTAAGTTCCTCGTGAGGGAGGGTGGCACCTTTCATCCTGCACAGCTATGAAATGGGTCGATCCATGAATTATCTCGCCACCCGTCATCAATTTTACAAGTTGAGTGCTATGCAATGGAGGCTTCGTCTTCCAACCACTAACCATTTCAACTATTTCCCCTTTCATCGCTCCAAGCTCGTTTGTTATGTTTATAATTTCACTTGAGGTACATTCACTGGGTTTCATCCTTAATTAAAGCCACAATCATAGAATAGAGGTAAAAGAAGAACATGACCAGATGGAACCCGAGCTTGATAAAAGATTCCTAAAGTAGTGAATTCACGTTAGTAGATATCCAATCTGACTCCGAATTTGTCTCTCTGGTTTGCCACATACCTTTTTGTGAACATTAAGCTTCCGGAAAATTTCTGTGGCGTCTAGTAAATGCGCATTATCGAGGATTCTAAGGATTTTACTGGTTAGCTTTGAATCGAAATAAAAGGTTATCGTGCAAAATTAAAGGCATACTTTTTGATGTTGAACGCCATTAAGGGTAGGTTGAGAATGAGTGCGATCCAGTACCCATTAATAAGAAACAAGGCGGTCAGAAATCCGTGGACTGCAGCTTCTGGAATGATGTATGTATTGAGACGGTTACAAAGGTCGATAGGATTGATGTAGTCACTATATATGATTATTAGCGATTAATCATCATGCTCAAACTTTAATGTCACAACATGTCTACAAAGAACCGGGTGTAGCAAGAGAATATGTTTGGGAAATAGAGAATAGTACCATTCCAGATCACTGTACATGATCGTAAAAAAAACTTGTAAAAACAGATTGACGGCATTTATCATCACCGACAACAAGTACAGCCAGGCTTCACCAGACATCATCTTTGCGACGTGAGGGATCGTCTAGGCGTATTTTTGCCGAATCCGTTTCGAATATTCGTCTTCTCGCTTGGTGTGAGATGTCGCTAGTCACAACTGGCGTGAAGGACTCTGCGGTTGATGATTATTGATCAAGTTAGACCGAGATATCGACTAATTGTGACTATAATCCACACTGGCAGAGTAATATAAAAATGGAGGTGGCGGATGCTGACAGATGCTGCGGTAGCAATGCGGGACAAGTGTTAAACTTGCACCTTTGCAACCGTGGGCTAGAGTTTTGTGCAAATAACTAACGTTTGGCTCGCTCTTCAACTGCTGGCTGGAATGTTGTGGAGTGCTAGGGGTTCCTGGTTTTCGGGACACACCAGCCTCAATGAGCCGCAGCTTACCTAATTTCAGTCGAATCAAATTTTCTGCCCTTTCCCGCCTTTCCGCAGTTCGCTTATATAGCCTTGAGGCCCAAGCGTCATTCTCTGTCGATCATATCTCCACTCTTGCCATCAGGATATCCACTACACTACAATACTAGTACAGTCATTAAGGTCAGCCCATAGCTAGTCAATAGGACGAATATATCTATTCAAAACAATATTTCATCAATCCCAGGTGCTGAAATTTTTCTAACTCCAAAATGCTTTATTTGAACCGGAATGTATTTTTGAGTTATTTATCCACTTATGTCCCATTCGAATTTACAACAATGTAGGGCAGACCATTTAAACATAGCTTTTCTTTTCCATTCTTATTGGGGTTTTCCTTCATTTGATGGTGGGATCCTGATTACTGATTCACCGTTGAACCGGTATGTAGTTTCTAAGCCCAGAATGATTTCGGCGTGATTTTAATTGCTTTTCAGCTATCGGTGTACAACTGTTTAATTTTTGGGCATCTAAACCATATTTAATGTTAGAATGTAGAATAATTGGGGCTAGCAAGTAGGCCACGTCGTTGATACACACGTGACTGCAAATTCTGCACTTAGTTTCACTTCGGTAGTTATTAGAATCAATACGCTCTACAACCTCAATGACTGAGGGGTCATTATTTCCTTAGTAGTTTTTGAGTTTAAGTCTATGACTACCCTAGAAAGTTTATTTCCTCCTGCTTGCAAGCCGAGAGTCTTAAAGTCTTGCGGTCTTTCTGCAGCGGAAAAATCCCACGGAACTTCAATTGAGTACGCACATAGAAGAGCCCTTGTCTCATAATCATCTCCCCTCTCCATCCAAGGAAACTAGGACACTTGCGGGTGTATGATAGCCGGGAAAGATCCCAAAAACTAATGGGTGTAGAGCTCTCCGAGTACCGAAGTCAGGACTGAATCCGAAGACATAGCTGCCCATGAAGTGTTTTAAGAGGTCGACTAGCTGCCCGCCGCAGACTTGTATATACCTCAGAACATCTCTCTCCCTTCCTAGTCCCCCTACCTAATTCAATTTATGATTCGTGCCGCAAGACATAACGAAGATCTTGAAATGATTTTAGAATATACTTTGTCGAGCTTTATTGGCGTGAAGTAGCCTAGCCAGAGCCCAAATGTCTCGAAGGAGGTGGAGTTGAAGGGGAGCTCATGTATTTTGGATGCTCTTCTGACTATTAGAGTCTGTAGTAAGATTCAGAAAAGACAATTTTGTCACCAGTTGAATTCAGCTTTTCTCCAGGGCGAAAAGCTCTTTTACTTGATTTCGTGAATTTTGTTTGCCTGCCAGTGGGTAGTATACGTTCAGATATGATCACTGCTTCTTTGATTAAATTTATAGCGCTTATTACCGCAACATTTTGAAATTGATTTCGTTATCCTGATTTGGCGCCCTATGGGCCCATGCAGGTGTCTATCATACTTTCTAATTTACATGGGAAGAAACCTTGGTGAAACCCCCCAAACCTTCCTGCTTAATTTCTATGTTTTTTCGAATGTATCCTTTAGGAAGCGCAGTTACACTATAGTGCACTCAATATAACCCAATCCCATCAGCTATACCGACCTCAAGAAAGGCATGACCTGTTCCTTTCCCTCAGCAGCATTTCGACCGCCATTGTCATCTGGAATTGCTCCATCCAACCATGATTTAGGATCCACTGTGTTATCCTTTTGATATCTCCAGGATTGCCTAGCATAGCTTCGTAGGACCGATCTTTCGCTTGTCTCCGGATCTCTCCTCTTCCATTTGACCATCGAGGGCAGGACATAATCATGTGCTTGGGGTTCTGCGATTGGTAGCTACACGGACAGCTTGGACTGTAGACTCCGGGTACTTTTCTTCTGTATAAATACGAGTTGAGCCCCATGTGCTCACTTCGTATTTGAACCGCTAGACTGCTTTGGGCCCTTGTCAGGTATTACCGCAACATCTTTCTTCATTCCAATCATCATTATCGTCGTCTTGACCGTCTTGTGCGGTATCGGAAGCGTAACTTAAGGGATAAGGATATCATTCAGCTCAAAGTTGAAAACATGTTCCTCAATTTCAACTCTGCAGGCTCTACAGTGAGAGCTATAAAGGGCTTGTCCCTCACTGTCTATGAGAGCAAAGTTAGAAACTATCCAATTTGAATATAAAAATATAGCTAGTATCTCATGTAGAATCTAGGAGTCCTCCATAGTCTTAGACTCAGTTAGGGCTGTAATAATAATCTAATCGAATCTACAGTGAGAGCTAGAGGTTCGTAGGGGACACCGCTGGCAGGTAATAAGTTTCATCTCCCTGAGGCAAGTTCTGACAAATATCGCAGTATTGGAGATATTGGCCCACGAGGCAGTAATTGACGACCCCCTACTACATCAATTTTTGACAATCAGCGAAACCGACTCCACCAAAGCCTCGTCAAGTCTTCAAGTATAAACTAACATATTCGCTTCCATGACTACAACTCATATTAATTCTGTGTCTTGCCGTAGGTGGTCTCCAAATACCCACTCACACCGATACTGACATTCCAAGGAAAAGAAAATTCGTTGCGCAAAAGTCTAGTAGTCTAATCATGGGGATAAATGGGAGAGTTATCAAGATACATAGGCAACGTAATACTTATGATAAATGCAATTTTAGAAGGTGCTAGATCTCGATTATTGGAAAAGAGCTTTTCATGTTGGGCACTACATGCTGCAAGACTTCGATTGCAGGAGTGCAAGCGATATTTTAAAAATTTCCATACTTGGATGTTGTAGTAGCAAATAATACAAATTGGTCTCCAAAGCAGATCTTTGGATAGCTTGAATACCCATCCCACCTGCTGCAGGAAATCTTCGGCTCGAATCCAGTAATATTCAGTGACATTACTCGCGGTGCTCGCGCAGAGCATGACGAAGACATGCCGTAATAACCAAATGTTATGAAACTTCTCTTGGGAAAGTACTTATTAAGGAGGCTCGAATTTTATGTGTAAATAGGCATACACTATAGCGGTATTCACGAAAAATGCTCGAGGCAAAAGTTTATCTGTATACAAAAGAATCATCCCACATGTAAACATAGCCCTAATTGTGTGTCGCAGCTAGGTAGACGAATAAAAATTAAACTAATAGGAGAAGTCAGTGTTTTGTTCTAACATGTCGCATAAATATATTCATGTCATACCTCTCTTATTTATTTTTATCGTCTATCTAAAGGTGCTGAATTTTGAAATCTTTCATTCTTTGAGTCAGCCGTGATGAACTCATGCTACTAGAGACGCCTCCGGCCGTCACAGTGCGTCGTATGACAAGTATCGTGTGTTCCTGCAGAAAGTGTTTTTTAGTATAATCTAATATCTATGCAGCTATGTAGCAGTGACACATGATCAGTGTTTTGTGGACGTCTTACATGACTCTTTAGTATCAGGAGAAACTCATGCCCTAAACGTCATTCTTGAATACCACTATAGTGTATGCCTATTTACACATAAAATTCGAGCCTCCTTAATAAGTACTTTCCCAAGAGAAGTTTCATAACATTTGGTTATTACGGCATGTCTTCGTCATGCTCTGCGCGAGCACCGCGAGTAATGTCACTGAATATTACTGGATTCGAGCCGAAGATTTCCTGCAGCAGGTGGGATGGGTATTCAAGCTATACAAAGATCTGCTTTGGAGACTAACCCGGATTATGAACCACTATACCATCCAAGTGTTGCTGTGATGATAGCGGGTGTTAAGGTAGGTAAACAAGCCAAATCCCAGACGGAACCTGATCATGCACCCACAGACCCACCCGTTTTCAAAAAGTCCGTGTAGATGTGCTGCACTCCTGGTACGGATTGAACATTCACGTCGGATGATAACTGAATTGCGTATGTGCCCCTTAAAACTGAACTTTTCCAACCGTCGTTCATGACTTTGACTGTGTCAGTTTCAGCTCAGATGGAACAGTGTATGGGCGCTTTGATCGCACAGCGATAAGCTCGTTGGTTTGTGTATGATTCTAGAGCTATCGACGAGGGACATTGAGCTCTAATCAATCTCAGAATCTGACTAGCTTCATATCGTGGAGTATGACCCTGATGGAGAGGATTAGCAGCACCAGGGAAAATCCCGCCTAGAGGGCGCGGCTCTAGTTTTACAAAGATCACCGAAGACCATGAAGACCCTTGGATAAGTCTGCCAATGCTAATACCACATCAAGTTAAGGGTCACATATGCAGCATCTCGGTCGAAATTTATAAAATCAAGTCCATGTGAAGATCAAGTTTTCGGACAGGAAAAAATGATTCCGACTAACGACCTAACTTTCCTGGGCCCTTGATAGATTACGCGTGCTGGTCCTTCCAATTTCGTAGGTCACGAATCGTTATCATCAGCAGAGTTTCGGTTGCATAGAATCAGACTTTCTTGCAATTATTGTGCACCATCTGTCCATACGTCATCTCTCTGCTGGGTGAAGCCCTTGAAATTTCCGCAGCACTTTTCAAATTTGAGACTTGAAGAGACCAGGTCAGACCATCTGCCATTACACCACTGCGCCATCTGACCATGCTCATAGCCGGCCAAGATGAATTCTTCCCCCTCCAGTGGTGCAAGTGTAAATAAATTGCTTTATAATCTATCCTGAATTGGTACCCCTAGGGCCCATGCAGGTATTTTCGGAAGATACATATTTCATGTAAAATGACTTGTTTTGACGATTGGTGCACTCAGATTTCATTTGCAAATATAACTCAAAGTTAACCCTTGCGGTACGTAACCTCTTCCGTGCGTTCCCACCACAGGCGGAAGCGTCAAACCCTCATGATTATCTAAGTGCGCTTTCGCCACCCTAAAAATACGACATTTCCATGAGGAAAATAGAGCGGGGAGAAAAGATGATGGATGACTGAGGCCTGTCTATATATATATTTATATATATATATATAATTTATTTTGCCTGATTTGGCGGCTTGAGGCCCATGCAGGTTTTTATCGGAAGATATGTACTTTAAGTAGGATGACTTAATTTGACGATTAGAACACTCACACTCAGATTTAATTTGCAGATACCACTCGAGGTTAACCCCTACGGCGTACAACCTCTTCAGTGCATACCCACCACAGGGAAAAGCGTGAAAAACCTGTGGCTATCTGAGTGTGCTTTCATCATACCATCGCACCATCCAACCCGCATGTCTATTTAAGTCGGGATTTTTGAGACGTTTCCCTGGGTGGGTATTGACGGATGAGGGTTGACTTGGGATGAAGAAAAAGCTGGCACAACTTCGTAGTGGTTCTTGCAAATAAAATCCGAGCCATGTATGCTCTTCCTTTATAATGAGTCACCTATTCTGTATTTTCCTTTGATATTGTGTCATAGCTAGATAGCTGCATACGCAATTAAAATCTGATGCAAAAAAATGTCTTTTATCAGTCTCACGCGAGTCTTCGACCTTATTCTTACCATACATCATCTCGCACCAACGATCGATCAGATCGTTACTCCATTTGCAAATAGGAGCTTATCTCATTAATTACCGGTAATCACCCTCTATCAAATTATGACGCTACGTATACCCGCAAGGAGGAAATTAAGTCATGATTTACAAAGTTAGGGTCTTGGTTCCTGGGGGACTGTTGCTCTAATGAGATTATACATCTTGAGGAAAGATAGGCGACTGGGCCGTGGAAATGTATAAGAGACCTCTTGTGGAAGTAATAGGTCTGACATCCCCGACATGTTTTTGCTTTCGTAATTTTTGTGAAAGACAAGACCAGGGCTTCAGCTAATTGTCCAGAAAGGCTTCTATTATCTATGAATCTAGGGCACTATCTAGTACCACAGACTTCACTGTGAAGCTGGGCTAAGCTGTTATACAGCAAACACGCTTTGTCAAGAATTTTCCGACATTTCATCACGATTTGTGCGAAAGAATTGGGGAAGAATAAAATTTCCGACGTATCTAAAAACCTGCAGCGCCCAGCTACCCTGCCTCTTCGAACGCTTCGGAAAGGTTGCTATGTTATCGGATCTAGTCCTGATGTCGGTATTAGAAGAGCCCCGCACCCAGTGGTTTTTGCAATTTTCCCGGCTGCCGTATACCCGCAAATGGCCATCGTTTCGTTGGCTGGATAGGTGAGACAATGAAGGAAAAAGGGCTCCTCTAAGTGTATGATCGAATGAGGACTTGTGAGGGGTGGTACTGTTTGAGGGGAGTTGTATGGGAGGCATAGGAGGGGATATACAACTGGCATAGGTATCCCTGGCCTGTAGGCAGAGAGGACCTGCATGTCCTACATGGTCGTAGACTGAGAAAGGATAATAAAAGTGCTAACACTACGGCGTCCCTTGGACAAAATGATGAAGAGAAGAATGAATCACTCCCAACATTCAAAATTTCATCTGTTAGGAGACTATGTCTATCCCTTTCATCAACTTGTCTGTATACACCGATTCTTTCATTTCAATCGAATTAAATCACTTTTCTATAAGCGTGTGCCGTGATATTGGCCCCATTTGCATATTCATACTCTTGTGGAAATGTATTCGGAGGCCATGTGAGGTCATACAGCGAATTAATGAGAGGCGAGGTCATTAAACTTAGGATGTACTTGGTCATCCCTGTAAACTTGAGAGGATTTTGATGGGTATCAACCTCGTAGGGGGGTTGGAAAATTAATATACTAGGAGGTCGTCAGTTGTTGCGATATTTCGCTCTCAGATTCACAGAGGACACCGGATACAGATGTTAAATCTCAATCCTCCCTGGCTTTAGAAGTGTAACAGTGAAAACGGTCAGCACGAGCAGCAGTCGGCTCCGTCTGCAGTAAAATTTTGGTGTCGAGATTCAGAAAGATGTAATAGGAGTGGCCATTGTTATGTAGTTGGCATTTGGCTGGATGGTGCAGCGGTAAGACGCCCAGACTGTTCATCCAAACACACACTGGATAACTTGAATACACACCTCCTTTCAGACATGAAAAATCCGACTCAAGACCAGCAATGTCCCCGTTCCATTTTCCTCATGGAAATGTCGTATTTTTAGAGTGGCGAAAGCGCACTTAGATAATCATGAGGGTTTGACGCTTCCGCCTGTGGTGGGAACGCACGGAAGAGGTTACGTACCGCAAGGGTTAACTTTGAGTTATATTTGCAAATGAAATCTGAGTGCACCAATCGTCAAAACAAGTCATTTTACATGAAATATATATCATCCGAAGATACCTGCAAGGGCGCCAACCCAGAATAAATGATTTATTTTTCGTTTTTTCATGCAAAAGGCGTCAGGTCAGTACAGACTGACTTAATCTTTTCTTTGTCGTCAATCAATTAATCTCCATAACATTCTTTCAATACATTACATCTAAGCATTACAGAGCTATTCACAGCCCTGCCTGATTTCTGAATAACCATAATCGCTGGTAAGGCAGTCCCTAAAACAAACTGCAAAGTATTCGTAGGCACCAGCATGAGTAATTCCCAATTGACAGCCTCAAGGTCAAAATGTTGGGCTGAACTAACGATATACGTTCCAGCCAACGAAGGCTACTTTTTAGGTGCGCGCGAGGTTCGTGTGGGGAGGCAGACTCTGGATCTCTGATCACGGTAAGGAGGAGTAGTGTATCATCATTGTTTCGGTTACTGTCCATGGACTCATGTTTTGAGTAGCGACTTAGTTTGAATGATTTTACCTTTTGGTTGTAACATAACATCTCCATTAGAATCTTGGCGCGGCTATGCTTGTTTCCTCCCAACCATGCCAAGTCAATCAGGAACATTTTTCGATTCTTACGTAGTCATGTGACATAGGGTTGTTGTGCATGAATAATATGTATGAATCATAAGTGCGCCTTTACCCTCTATCTATACTGGCAGATGATAATTATGGTGTAGATGCATAGATCCGGCCGAGTCTTGCACTACTGTACAATTGAAGCGAGAGGGTTCCACGTGTTACGGGAGTTAATCTGGGCGTGTGATGTCGCGGACGAATTAATGGAGGATTCAAAATTCGCCTCCTTGCCGTGAAAAAGCTGCCAACTGTTCATTTACGTGATCCAAGCGATTTGGCTGCTAGATACTGCTTATCAGCAATATTCTATGCGGAGCTGCGAACCCAAATCACTCAACACATTTTTGGCACTCATGAATAATGAAGTGAGTTCTTAGCTTCGCTTCGCAAAACTTGAGGTTCCAGGAGAAACATATTTACATAATTTCGAAATAAAGTTAAACCGATGAAAAATTTTTGACGTGACAGCGCCTCATAACCTGTCGAACTTTTGAAGAATAGTTTGAGCTTGACTCATGAAGTCCTGGATCCTAGAAGTCTTGATGCATTTCCCCCAGAACGCGTCATACAAGCTCATAAAATCAGGTGTCCTGCGCGGCCCACCTGACGTCTGACTCGGTCAATGGCCTCTTTGTCGTCTCAACTCAAACGCAGTAGTAAGTGTTGAAGTTGCAACCCAGTCTCTCAATCTGTTCTTGCCATACTTCACTCATCAAGTGTCACAAGTCAAGGTAAACCTTTGAACCGAGGAGAAGAAAGAATGATCCAAGCTACGTCGGCGGGGGCTAGTTGTCTCATCTCAACTACCATGTAGGCATATGTATATAAACGCAGAGGTAGCCATTAGTTTGAAAATAAAATATATTTGCTATCCAATCGTACACTGATCGGTAGTATTCCATTCATTTACTGAGCATTCGTTGACGAATAATTTCAAATATCCTATCATTTTCATTCTTTCATTAAATTACAACAACAAATCATTGACTGATTACAACAACAAATCATTGACTGATTGCAACAACAAATCATTGACTAATTACAACATTCAACTTCGATACGAAAGGTTTAAGCCAAGATGAGGTTTCCTACCGAAGTTCTCGCCGCAATAATGAGTGTCCAAATTGTAGCCTTTCCAGCGGTACTGAAAAGTCGCATTGAGCTTTCTGGGCTTTCTGGAGGCAGCACTCTTTCAACCGCTTCTGCAGCTGGCATTGGCGGCGCCTCTGTAGCTGATATTGGCGGTGCATCAGACGCAGCAAGTGTATCTGGCTCAGAAGTCAAACAAGATGGGGTAGCAATAGCTGGTACAGGCCTAGAGGCAACGGCCATTGCGAGTGAGGGGAGCCAGGTCGCAGGTATTCTAAATTTAAATTAAACTAACTATATATTGCTAACACTATTATCCAGCTCTATCTGATAATATTGTAAATGTAGGTGGCGATGCCGGCATTACTAGCGTACCAGATGGAAGTTTAGTCTCAGTTGGCGGAAAAAACGGAATCTCAGTCGTTGGTGGTGCCGGAGCCAGTGAAGCATTAAGTGCTGCAGCTACAGTTCGCGGCTCAAAATCGTCCTCCGAAAATGCAGCACAAGCCGCTGCCAAATCAAAATCAGAAAATTTGGGCACAGTGGAAGAAGAAGAAACAGAGGTAGAAGGGGAAGAAGGAGAAGAAGCAGAAGAAGTAGAAGAAGGGGGACAGAAGGAAGCCGCCGAAAAAAGTGAAAAGAGTAATGGTAAAGACGGTGCAAAAGAAGCTGCAGCCGCTAAAGCAGAGAAAGAATCTGCCAACAAGGAAGAAAAGTCTTCGGCTTCTGAAAAAGAAGTTAAAGGTGGAAAGGCCGAGAGCAAAGAAAATGAAGGCATAGAAGCTGAAGCCAAGGCCGAAGAAAACAAGAGCAAAGAAGCTGAAGCCAAGGCCGAAGAAAACAAGAGCAAAGAAGCTGAGTCCAAGGGCGAAGAAAACAAGAGCAAAGAAGCTGAGTCCAAGGGCGAAGAAGCTGAGGCCAAGGGCGAAGAAGAGAAAAAGTTGGCAGGTGCCCATCCACATCCACCTCCACCTCATGAACTTAAAGCCGCTGGTGCTCATCCACATCCGCCTCCACCCCCTCCTCATGAACTCAAAACAGCAGCAATAATAGCAGGAGCTGAAGCAAAGAAAGACGGAGAAAAAGAAGAGGCGGGTAAAGGAGAGGAAGAGAACGGAGAAGAGGCAGAAGCCAAGGTAAATGAGCATGAAAATGTCAAGGATGCTAAGAAAGAATCAGCCATGAAAGAAGAGGCTAAGGCCGAAGAAGGCAACAAAAAAGAAGCAGAGGCCAAGGCAAAAGAAGAGAAGGGAAATGAGGCAGAAGCCAAGGGAAATCACCATGGAAATGTGAAGGATGTCATAAAAGAGGACGCTAAGGCCGAAGAAGGCAACAAGAAAGAAGCAGAGGCCAAGGGAAAAGGAGGGAAGGGAAAAGAAGAGAATGGAAAAGAAGCAGAGGCCAAGGGAAAAGAGGCAGAAGCCAAGGAAAACGAAGGCAACAAAAAAGAAGCAGAGGCCAAGGGAAAAGAAGAGAAGGGAAATGAGGCAGAAGCCAAGGGAAATCACCATGGAAATGTGAAGGATGTCATAAAAGAGGACGCTAAGGCCGAAGAAGGCAACAAGAAAGAAGCAGAGGCCAAGGGAAAAGGAGGGAAGGGAAAAGAAGCAGAGGCCAAGGGAAATGAGGCAGAAGCCAAGGAAAATGAGCATGAGAACGTCAAGGATGCCAAGAAAGAATCAGCCATTAAATCAGAGGTTAAGGCTGAAGAAGGCAACGAAAAAGAAGCTGGGGCTAAGGGAAAAGAAGAGAACGGAAAAGGTAAGGATGCCAATAAAGAATCAGCCATGAAAGCAGAGGTTGAGGCTGAAGAAGGCAACAAAAAAGAAGCTGGGGCTAAGGGAAAAGAAGAGAACGGAAAAGGTAAGGATGCCAATAAAGAATCAGCCATGAAAGCAGAGGTTGAGGCTGAAGAAGGCAACAAAAAAGAAGCTGGGGCTAATGGCAAAGAAGAGAAGGGTAAAGAGTCAAAAGCCGCCGCTGAAGAGAAAGAAGAAAAATCGGAAGAAAAAGGTCAAGAATCTTTTGCAGCAAAAATATTGAGCAGCATTTTCTAGTCAATTTTTGTAAAATAAAGATGATTAGGATAGCCGAGACAGGTTTAAATTTTGTGCCCTAAATAATTATTATTCTGATCAGGGGCATTCGATATAGACACAAATTGAAAGGCCATAAGTATAGTGTCAACTTAATATATTGACTTCTCTCATATTCGTGCCAACTGAAATTAGTATTGGCTAGAAAACTCCCAGTACAGCTAAGAAAAGTTTCTGTGAAATTTTGACGTTTCACACAATATCCATAGTACGAAATAAGAATTTTAATGTAATGATATTGGCCAATGCAACCAACCTAGAGAACAAAAAAGAAACAATTGCTTTTTTTTTGTCTGTTACTTGTAATAACTGAATTTGTGACTATCTAGCATATCGGTCTTCTCTCTGACCCTGGCTGTACCTTAGATAGTGCCTCTAATCTCTTTTGTTACCTGAAAGATCATTGATAGAAGGGCAAGACTGAACACCTGTACGCTGTGTCCTCTACGAACCTGGGAGTCAAATATTCTCCCAGAGCCAAGTTCAGTCAAACTTCGCAATATCAAAGAAGTTGGCCCACGAGGCAATGATTCATAATACTCCACCATATCAATCTTTCACACCCAACGAAATCGATTCCTACCCAAGCTTCATCAAGTCTACAAGTACGACCTAGTACATCCTCGTTTCAATGACCACACCTCTTTTCGACTTTCTCTGGCCTCAGCTGGTCACAAAATACACGCCCACGCCGATATTTACGCCCGACGGAGGAAGCAAAGCGCGGTGCACAAATCTGGGAGATAGCTCTTTGGGATGGGCGTGAGAGGATTCAGGACAAGTTCACAAGATGATGCAGAGGATGGATACAGTCTCGACGGGCGTGGAAATTTGAATTGTGGCAAGGAGTTTTTACAAATTGAGCTTTGTCCGTGCCAAGACTTCGGTGGCGAGAGTGCAGGCGATACTGTAAGCACCGCCATGGCTGGATGGTGCAGTGGTACTTCGTCTTGGCCTGTCTGCTAAGTAAAGTCTGGATAGCTTGGACACATATGCCACTCGAGACAGTAGATCGCTGGTTCAAATCCGGAAAAACACAACCACATTTCTCGCAGCGCTGGCATGCTTAGATAACCAAAGGTTTTGAAACGTCCCTTTGGTGGGTATTTACGGAGGAGGGTCGACTGTTTGTGTAAGCGAACATACCCCGTAGTGGTATCTGCGAATGAAATCCAGAGTATGAGTGTCTCTAACGTCAAAAGAGTCATCCAACATGTATATATAGCACCGGTCATGTATCATAGCTCTATAGCTGCAAAAAAATAGAATGATTTAAAAAAAAGTATCATTGATGTATTGCCCGTGATGAATAGCCATTCAGCTCAGTACTTACTCGTGGAATTCGGCCATCTCTTCCTCGGAACCTTCTACCCCAAAAAAATAAAATGATAGCAATGGAAACTGCTGTTGAAATATGATATATCTTGGAATGTCAAGAATAACTTATTAGTAAGTCCGGCTAATTTGACTATCAAATTCCCCATTCTATATCACTGTTATCAATTCATCCTTCACCGAAAGTTCAATGCGTATTAGCGTTTATTTCACATTAGAATCCCAGCGGATGACTATGTCTTAAATGCAGGCTATAGTTTTCTCGTATCTATTACCGATACACATGTATTTAGATTTATATTCCTGGCCCATATATGTGTATGTACATAGATCTACATCTACATGGATCATAACTTACGATCCATGGAGATTGATAAATACTAATCAAAAACCACAGTTGATAAGATATGCGAACACGCAATCTCACTCTTATCATCTCGGTTTTACTCTGAACCATACATCTAAAGACAATTGTTTCCACTCGGATCTTCCTCTCACAACCTCATACAAGACTGACTGCATCGGTCTAACCGCCGACACTGATTCCGCTACAACCTCCATCTTCGCTCAAGCTCATAACTTTAACAACTGCGTGCGCGGGAAAGAAAAGTCTCAAAAAACCTGCAAGCCTAGCCAGGCGAGGCCCAGACACCGGGATCACATGAGGTGTACATATTCATCTATATCTCCCTTCTTTGTAACAGTTGAGGTCGACTTGATCTAATCCGCCATCTCCTTATCGGGTGCTGGGTTCGCTCCGGAAACTCATCAGATGGCTTCTCCTCCATGATCAAGGGTTGGTGATGAGTAGAGCTCCGACCCTACCATCTGATCTGATCGTGGTTAGCTTCATAATAACGGTGATAGGGGGATGTGGTAAGAGACGAAGATGATACAGATGGCGAAAGCGATTATCAATCCTCATCGAAGTGAGGACTTTGTTACTCAATATCGGCTCTGCAGACTCTACAGTGAGAGCTGGAGGCCCATAGGGGACACCACTGACAGGTGTTGAGAATATTCCCCCTTGAGACAGGAGAAAGCTGGTACGAATCCAGTAAAACCCCCACACCACACTCTCTCGCTGAGATATTGTATTTATGGGATGATGAAAGCACACACGGATAACCATAGGGTTTTCAAGCTTTCACCTGTGGTGAGTATGCACTGAAGAGGTTATACGCCGTAAGGGTTAACCTCTAGTGGTATCTGCAAGTAAAATCTGAGTGTGAGTGTTCCAAACGTCAAATTGGCTCATCCTAATTAAAGTACATATCTTCTGAAGAAACCTGCATGCGCTTCAAGGTGTCAAGTCAGGTAAATTGAATAATTTATTTATATACGACCATAACTCAGTTTGACATATGGACTAATCATGTATTGGTTGCATTCGCTGATTCCACTCGAGACCTTGGTGCTAGGGACTTTCACCCTTCCTCCAACCGTTAATATCCACCAAGGGGAAAACTGGAAAAACCTTTGGCTACCCTAACATGCCTTTGCCATCTTGTATATAGCCGCCGCGCGAGAAATTGCCTCACAGTCCTCCCTTTCTCGAGTGAGGTAGGTGTCCAGGCTACCGAGACTTTAATTCGGGTAGAAGACGACCAGGAGGCGGACCAAAACACCTTCCATCGTTGGCGGTTTTTAGAGTACCAGTTGCACTATGCGAAATTGTTGCCTTTGCGTCCATAGACACCCTTAAGTCAAAAATACTCGAATAATGTGCGTCCCAGCATGCCCATTTGTGATCTCTTCACTCGTTAGTCCCACGTTCCAGCTGCCTGTCTTCCCTCAAGATGTGAAGCCCCATTAGATCAATGGTCCCCCATATACCAAGACCCGAGCTTTGTAGATTATGACTTGAATTCCTCCTCGCGGGTATATATAGCATCACAAATGTGTAGTGGGAGATGGCCAATTTTTGATGAAATATATTCCAGATTTAAATTAGAGCAACTCCTTTATTGGTCGTTGAGGCGAGATGATGCGCGGTTAGAAAGAGGTAGACGACTCAGATGAGAATGATAAGAGAGGCATAGTCGAGAAGTCGTTAAATGGAGATACGCTTGAGGTTGCTTTCGACTTCGATTCGGACGCGATTCTTTTTGGCTACCCCAGATATATAGAGCATACAGAGCATACCGAGCTATTACACCGGCACCCCCTATGTGATGTACTTGTTTGGGGATATATTGTATTATTTATTTGAATTTGATTTCGTTTAACCCGATCAGGCACCCTATGGGTCCATGCAGGTGACTATCTTAATTGTTTGCAGAGAAATCCAATTTGGTGGAAACCCTCGGATCCTGTCTATTAATATTACTATCAATTGGTTTAGTTTACCTTCAGGAAGTGCAGCGTACACTGTTCAGCCAGTGTGGATTCCTTCCTCTCCCCTTCCAGATCGTTTTATTCTATCCCATATTGCTACCTCGACTTCCCCTGCAAGTTGAAACTATTTTATCCATCCTTTGCTTAGTATCCACTGTGTGATTCTAGCCACATCTTCTGGGCCTTTCATTGTTGCTTCAAGTAACTTGTCTTTAGCTCGTCGGAGAAAGTCGCCTCTTCCATTTGCCCACTGCGGACACACCAACACTATATGCTTGATGTTTTGCGACGGATATCCACATTGACAGCTTGGCTTTTCTACTCTAGGTACTTTCCTTCTTCGCAGGTAAGAATTGAGCCCGATTTACTCGCTTCTTAGCTGAATGGCTACACTGCTATGGGCCCTGGTATTTTATTTATTTATTTTTAAGACTAGCGGGCACTAGTTACACCTAAAGCCCCATCTTAGTGGGGACATGGTGACTGAGGGGATTAGTCTTTTTTTTTCATTTAATGTGTATTCAGCTATAGAGCTCTGACACATGACCGGTACTATGTATACATGTTGGATGACTCTTTTGACGTTAGAGACACTCATACTCTGGATTTCATTCGCAAATACCACTACGGGGTATGTTCGCTTACACAAAAAGTCGACCCTCCTCCGTAAATACCCACCAAAGGGACGTTTCAAAACCTTTGGTTATCCAAGCATGCCAGCGCCGCGAGAAATGTGGTTGTGTTTTTCCGGATTTGAACCAGCGATCTACTGTCTCGAGTGGCATATGTGTCCAAGCTATCCAGACTTTACTTAGCAGACAGGCCAAGACGAAGTACCACTGCACCATCCAGCCATGGCGGTGCTTACAGTATCGCCTGCACTCTCGCCACCGAAGTCTTGGCACGGACAAAGCTCAATTTGTAAAAACTCCTTGCCACAATTCAAATTTCCACGCCCGTCGAGACTGTATCCATCCTCTGCATCATCTTGTGAACTTGTCCTGAATCCTCTCACGCCCATCCCAAAGAGCTATCTCCCAGATTTGTGTACCGCGCTTTGCTTCCTCCGTCGGGTGTAAATATCGGCGTGGGCGTGTATTTTGTGACCAGCTGAGGCCAGAGAAAGTCGAAAAGAGGTGTGGTCATTGAAACGAGGATGTACTAGGTCGTACTTGTAGACTTGATGAAGCTTGGGTAGGAATCGATTTCGTTGGGTGTGAAAGATTGATATGGTGGAGTATTATGAATCATTGCCTCGTGGGCCAACTTCTTTGATATTGCGAAGTTTGACTGAACTTAGCTCTGGGAGAATATTTGACTCCCAGGTTCGTAGAGGACACAGCGTGCAGGTGTTCAGTCTTGTCCTCCGAGTGGATTAGCCAATTGGGGCGAAAAAGCAGGTCACCACTTTGATGCACACGTGACTACCAAGCATGTACTTATTTTAAGCTGAGTATAAAGTTGAAAGAACGTGCACCACACCGTCAGGACTAGGGTCCCTTAATTCCTTGATTTTTCTCTAATGAACTTCATCTCTCATCTTGGAACGCTTGGAATCAAACAGAAACCACGCCTAGAATATTAGAGTTCTATTTGTGTGTAAGTGCGCCACATTGTTAGTTAAAGCCTTTTCTAGTATTTTCATGCGACTTTCAATCTGTGCTAGGTCGTGAACAAGGAATGGGATCGACAAAGAGTTGGGAGGAGGCTAGAAAGGCAGAGGCTGAATTTCCCGAGGTACACACAAGTCTGCAGCGCCCAGCTGGTCGGCCTCTTCGAACGCTTCAGGGGGGCTCTATGTCTTCGGATTTAGTCCTTATATCGATGTTAGAAGAGCCCCGCACCCAGTGGTTTTTGCGATTTTCCCCGGCTGCCATACACTCGCAAATGGCCATCGTTTCGTTAGCTTGAGACTGGAGATAACGTAGGGTAAAGGGCTCACTAGTGTTTTTATACCACCTCGCCTCAAATACCGATAATGGCGTTTCTCCAATTGCAATCGGGCATTTGCCTCATAAAAAACCGGCTATCTCTCACTACACATATACGATGCTATATATACCAGCAAGGAGGAAATTAAGTCATAATCTACAAAGCTCAGGTCTTGGTCTATGGGGGACCATTGCTCTAATGGGGCCTCACATCTTGAGGGAAGACAGGCAGCTGGAACGTGGGACTAACGAGTGAAGAGATCACAAATGGGCATGCTGGGACGCACATTTTTCGAGTATTTTTGAATTAAGGGTGTCTATGGACGCAAAGGCAACAATTTCGCATAGTGCAACTGGTACTCTAAAAACCGCCAACGATGGAAGGTGTTTTGGTCCGCCTCCTGGTCGTCTTCTACCCGAATTAAAGTCTCGGTAGCCTGGACACCTACCTCACTCGAGAAAGGGAGGACTGTGAGGCAATTTCTCGCGCGGCGGCTATATACAAGATGGCAAAGGCATGTTAGGGTAGCCAAAGGTTTTTCCAGTTTTCCCCTTGGTGGATATTAACGGTTGGAGGAAGGGTGAAAGTCCCTAGCACCAAGGTCTCGAGTGGAATTAGCGAATGCAACCAATACATGATTAGTCCAAATGTCAAACTGAGTTGTTTTCGTATATAGTCGTCGGAGAAGCTAGTCTTCTCCGTGTCATGCTCTTTGAGTGCAGGGCTTGTGCCCGTCACGAATGAATTTTCATTCATTCCGCAATTGTCTTATCGAACAAGAGATTGTGAGAGGTGGTACTGTTTGAAGGGAGCTTTATGGGAGGCATAGAAGGGGATATACTATTGGCATAGGCATCCTTGGCCTGTAGGCAGAGAAGATCTGAATGTAATGTATAATCATGAGCTGAGGAAGAAATACGATGATCAAATAATGTTTAATTATTCGATTTCTTCCCTTTACTACGGATGTTAGGAGATGAAGTTTAAGATAAGTCAAACACTTCAAACAAAAACAGTAGGGATTAGAGTTAGTGCAGAACTGGTTGATGTACAAAGACGAGCTCATCCTTGCCAACCCAAATCTTCATCATAATCTTTCGACCATTACATTACCTCCACATTCAATTTATCATACTCCATACGTCTTTTACCGCTGGATTTTAAAATCTCCATAGGAAGAATTCATTTGATTCTATCTTTTCTTTTAACTAGGAAAATATTTAACCGAATATTGTGACAGTATAGGTCGGCCAAGCGGACGTTATCACAATCCGACCCTCGTCTCGATAAATTATCTCACGTTACTTTTATTCAATTATTTCTCTTGTAAACTGTCACGAGTTCTACCATACAAATTCCTTCTCTTTATCCTAGACGACCCGAGTGTAATTTTGATCGCAGAGCCAGCCAAGTCATCTTTATTAAAGTTCCATCAATTACGAACTATCCTTAACCGCATCATAAAGTTTCTCCTGTAATATCATCATTTTAAAGAATAAGAATAGGCTTTGTTTATTTCGTTTAATCATATAGATCACGAACTCATTTCGTAACAACTCATGTGAGAGAATACCAATTTCGCGCAATATTCTGGCTGAGAGTATAGACACAATATCTCCAATATCCTACCTATTTTGCTTAGCCTGCGTCATGGCTTTTTTTTAACGATAGACTTCCACCGATTCGATAGCCTATCTACAAAGCTTTTTTTCTTTATAAATTACAAGGTCTGCGACCTTGTATGCTTCGTAATTGTTGTAGGACAAAGCGATCACTCCTAGGCTCGGCGCTAGGAGCTGTGATGAGTCTATATCTCGTATCTAGCCGAAATGAGGCGATGTCTTAGCGTCACATGAAAGAGTACTTACGTCGTATTAAATTGGCCCTATCGTAGGCTAATAGAAATTGGCCGCGTGGTCAGCGCTCGAAAAAATGGTCTCAAGTCGTGATAGTGAACTTGTCCCAGGTCCAGATTGGGTTAAGGCTAGAGTTTTTTGCTGACAAGACTGGTGCAGATTTTCTTCGAGCTGCCTCTCGCTCACAGCCTATAGCTCCGAGATTCGCATCAAACTTATCATCTGGCGAAAGAGGAGACGAGTCTCGTGGGTCCCATTCGGCCACCGAGTTGGAATCGTTTTCCGTCGGAGAAGAGGAAATTTTTGTGTGATCTGAGGCTAAATTTTCCATAATGAATAAATTGATAAAAATATGTTTAGCCTAGGGTGTAATCTGTTGGTAGAAGATAGACTAAAATTCCTGGGATTTTAAGATGATTGCCGCTGCTCAGATATTAATATGAAAGATGATGGAGAAGAAAATCAATAGCTCTAGTAGTAATGTAGAGATTATACTGAGTGCACTTTATAGAATTTGTCTTTGAGTAGACTTGATCTATTTCGTCGTTGCCATTTATCCGAAGACCAATGTCAGCCAAGGAAATTTATAGCCTTAGTTGTCAGCGCTTTAGGTGTATATTTAGCAAATGTGCTATCAAGCTAAAGCACAAGAAGTCGGTGCTAAATATGCTCATTGATATATTCAGAATATCGAAAAGTGGCGATAAATGATACGAATAATCGGATCGGGAAGCAAGCTGTAACCTTGAAGTATCCCTACAAGTTTTGTTGAAATGGTAGACATGCCATATAGTAGGGGCATTCGCTCCTGCCTGCTACTGGCGGTATTTCTCGGCACAAACACTCCGCCCAAGGAACTAGGCTAAGTGTGGTATAGATTTTATTGATATTTCTAGTACTTTAGGTTGCCATACTCGCACTAGTATGTATCTATTCATGGTAACGTTCTCCAAAAGATTCCCATTTGAGACAGTTATCTAAGTGCATGAAGACTAGTTTCCAAGCACTTGTACTTCTATTTTGTTTCAAAAAGAAGTACATGCACTCGATTCACATGGAATCTCTTGTTTATTCTAGAGTTACGTCGGCATCTGAAAGAGGTGAAGATTTTGACTGTCGAGAGCGATACGCTGATTTTTTAATATCTAGAGATTCATCTTTAGACAAGATAGACTTAGCCAGTGGTCTATTGATACTTTTATGGTCATAGAGTGCCGCGTCTCCGATTCCGTAGAAAAGTTGTTTCTAGTTTGATAATCTAATCTACTCCAGGATCTTTAGAATATAGCGTAAACACCCGAAACTATAAGACTTTTTTCTAGATTTAGTGGATGCGTAGATAAAATTTTAGAAAACAGATTCATAGTTTAAAAGAAAGAAATCATAATGCTAGTTCTATAGCTTTGAGCGAAGTCGGTAGAAAAGATAATGTGAAGCTAACTACCACAATCACTATTCCAATAGACACAGAGATAGTTACTGTTGATGGAGATGCAACAGTTACTAGGCCTAAATTCCAGTCCGTACACACATAATCTCGTCGCTCACAGGAGAACTTTGGGTACATGATAGTATGTGCTAGTTTCTGAGCCGATTCGGGTTGTTTCGCCTATATTGAGCTATGATATGTGTCTTGTTGCATCGATATCTCCTCGTGAGTGAGTTGATATTTACTGGAGATAATCACGCACCAAGCATGGGTGCCGTTGATTCTTCAAGAATGATGAGCTCGTAGGCGTGAAATTAATTTCATTAGGCATTGAATTCGACGCTCAATGGTCTCGAAGCGATACCTTACATCACATGGTGGAGTGGACACAGAGGATTTGGTGATATTATCTTGTCCAATCATAACTATCGGCATCGAGCCACATGAGAGGCAGGGTCAGCCTTGCTAGCTGTGGGTGGATGAAATATTGAGGTCTACAATGCGCCTCGAATATATTTCCTGAGATGCTGCTGGGTTCGCAACCTTCGCTGATCATATAGTGGAAGTCTTGAAGCTGTCGAATCGTACCGTGAACAAAATTACGGCTCGGCTGTCAGAAATGTCCTAGAAATTTGACGTTAAAGATCTTCTCATCCTTGGTAATGCCGTAAATCTGCGTTAAAAAATTCCAACAAGCTGAAATGTCTATGTTGGAGATTTAAGCTGTACCGGAGTCGAGGCGTCCAGCAATATCCTCTGGTTCGTCTGACATCAGGAGTAAGTTAGGTTTCTTTTTACCGTTGAATTGGTTGACAAATATGTCGATATTGGGCTTGATCCGGAAATTTTTCACCACTACATATTCAGAAAATAATTTATGCGTTGACTGTTCGCGCCCTGTGCTGAGTCGTAGGAAGGAGTATGTTTCCTCAACGGTGCATGATATTCAATTAGATAGTTCCATTATTTTCAGCGACAGCCCATCTACGTATGCTAGCGTAAATGATATTAGCAAATTCTAAATAACAGTAGGTGATCTCCCAAAAGAGCCCAGGTGTGTTCAAACTAAGCCTCCACGATTGCCGGTATTGGTCAACGGCCGCGTAGAGCCGATCCTCTGCACAGATTCCTAAACCGAACAGCCGAAGACTCTGATGTTTAGTGCCATAGGGCCGCAAACCTGTAGCGACTTTTGCACCCCGGATGCGTAATTCGCCATGACATAGACAATAATTCTGATGAAGAGAAAGAAGGGAGAAGTCGGATTTAAAACCGCCAGTTTTAACACAGCGAGATACTTCGACATGATACTTGCCCTCTCCTCGAACATGGCGATCACTAGAGCCAGAGCCAGCGATGCTAAGCACCTAAAGCCCCTCATTGATTCAGCGCACACAACAACACGGCCATCTGTGCCTAAGATTTTTTGATAGATGGACTTACCTCCCGTATATAGAAAGAGACAACAGCGTTTTTTGGCCATACTGGAGACTAGATTCACCGAGATATGCGAGAAGAGATAACTGTGGAAGATCTAACATAGAACACCTAATTTCTATGAACTGCCGCGAGAGATCTCATATCTGCCGATGTACCTGATATTCTTGACCTACCGCGACTCAGCTTGAATGGCGCACAGACCTTCCAGCAGATCTTGATGTAAAAGATAAGTTTGTGTGAGTGAGCGAGCTATTGAATTCTTAGTCGGCTAGTAGTCTTCAGCTTTCTTTATTTTTCACCGAGCCTGAACCAATTCTGTCGCTACTCCTTGGTAGCTTTAAACCTCAACAATATAAATCTCGAGAGCTATTTACTGCACCATCAGTAGATAAAGCCTAATGCAATAGATTTATCGGTACTCTCCCTGTGCCTATACTCAGCCGCGAATCTACTCCATATGAATTAAAATGGCCTTCACTGGTGTCACAAGCTCCTGATTTGACTGCAGTTACTAGGCCCAATTCATTATTGTTTGGTCTATGAACTGACAAATATCTGGCATATGCCTAATGCGTCCGAAATATTTCACTGGATTCAATCAATCGAGAATACTACCTTCAATATCTGCAACTACCGAGCTATTTTTCAATAGCTAGTTTCTATTTCTAAGCCATAAATTTTATGCATATATTATAGAAAAAATTATCTGGAGTTAGTCTTCCTAGAGGCAGCACAATACACATAAATTTCGAATAATTATAAACTATTCCTCGCAGAAATAGGTTTAGCTAGTTAAATTCTACCACAGGCTCCATCAGCTCTCGATTTTCCTACGACTTTGGTGACAGATTACCAGAAGGAGAACAAAAGAAACATCACGGCCATTTATAGTTTCACGCATTTACCTCTAATGTTAAAGGAACCTTTATTTAATTGAAAATAAAGTTTCATCTATCAGCTAAATGAAAGTAATCTAGTTAAAATAATTTTGGGCTGCAAACTCTATCAACAATCATTTTATACTACATCCATCTCGGCTGAGTTACTTCAAATTTTTATTTTCCAGATTGATCATGATTATGGAAGCTTTACTAGAGATTACCAAGGACCATGTATGGCCATAAATAAAAACAAATATTTTGGCAGAAATTTATCTTAAGTCTGGAGGAAATTTTGGATGAATTTCTGCCGTATGAAATAAGTTATAACATTTAAACTCATTCCCATTATTCCAGAAACCAAAAAAATATTCTAGGTAGTGAAAATAATGGCTGGATAGCTTTTAAATGGGACTGAAAGAGAACAAAAATCATTTTATTACCTCTTTTCACGTGCAAATGAACCCCAATTCCTAACAAAAGTAAATTATCAGCTAGCCTCGTTGTATTTATCGCTGTATTCTACTTAGGTCTCAAGAAATAGACGGATTCAATTTGTGTGATGATGATCAATTTTTCGAATTACTACTTTATATGAAATTTAATCGCAGACCCTTTTCAACACAAGTATTCATGTCATTTCACTTCAAGAATTTATCACTCGGATACATCCTGTTAGCATTTCGAGAACCAGCCTATGAAAGTATTCAGCGGTTGTTTTCTAGAAATATAAAACCACCTACAGGTATAGCCCATCTACTTTTTTTACCTGGTGCCGGGGCCTCTTTAGTTGTCGATAATATTTTATCGTCTATTTCCTTCTGTTTGGTCTGGTCTGCAGGATCCCAGGTGTTTAAAGTATTTGGCTGTAAGCTTGGAATATTAATACTGACCCCTGAAAATGAGGATGTCCCATTCAGAATACTCATCGATGATTCTAAACTATCATCAAGGAGATGTTCAGAAGTTTTTGAAATACTTTTTTTATGGTTGCCTCCTAGGCTTAAGTTGAAGTTTAGCCCAAAATTCTCATCTCCGTTGCTCGCCGAAAAGCTGTCAATCAGATCGTCTTGGTATGATGATAACATGTCTACACTACTTTGATGAGCTATACTAGATCCAGCTGAGTTATGAAATACTCCAACCAGTCTTGACTGATCTTAGTTAGAAGATATTTTATTGCACTCCGGATCTCAGTTTATACTCACGTCGCCATCCTCACTATCATCATCGTCATCATCGTCAAAATCATAATCATCATCTTCTTCGCCTTCGACATCATCGTCTTCATCCCGTTCCGAACTAGAACTAGAGCTATCCTCGTTGTAAGATTGGGACAGCATTAAAGCCTTTGCCACGGTAGATGTACTACTTGGTGGAGCTAGGACGGTCACGCTAGGTTCCGCCGACTCCTTCCACAGCGTACAAATAAGGCACCACTAGAACTGATAGTTAGTATCATTTTAATTATTGGGGTAAGTTTGAAACTACACCAGAGCCTCCTGCACGACGAGAAGATTTTGAGAATTGATCCAACGGCTTAATCTCACCACAGGGTCCAAAGCATTCGCGCTCGAGCGATGGTTCACCGGCACAGCTACGACATCTTAATCGCGCCGAGATGGGTGTTATTCGATTACCCCGAGAGAATTTATAGGCATACTTGTCAATTTCTTTGTTGGAATAATGTCCTTTTCCTACCCATTTTTCACATACGCGACATAAGAACCTTAAACCGTTAAAAATATCAAGATAGGGTGCAAGAGACAAACTTTTCCGGAATCGAGACGGACTGAATTCTATTTCACAAGATGGATTAGAAAATTGTAAACCAAGTCTAGAGTATATTACTCACCCGGCTTTGGGCGGCCGGTAGGTGTAAGCCATCAATATCGTAATGTCAGTCTTCTACAACTAAATTGATTTTGGGTATTTTTTAGAGAGGTACATAGTCATTTATAATGCAAGAAAAAAAGATAACATCTTAAGCCGACTGTTAAAATAAACTATTTCGAACCCAGATGCGGGGTTGGAGATCTATTTATTGTCTTTGGTGACAGCAACAATCGATTTAGTGAATGTTACATGGGGTACACATAAACATCATGAAGACTAGCCAGTCAAAGCTTCCTTTTTGGGAAATTTCAGGGAAAAATTACCATGGACCATATTCTTGTCGCTTGCTACCTTTAATTGATGACTCTCATACAACACCACTCATCTTTTATCTGTGAGTCGAGGTGATGCAACCTGCGTTGTCGACAATACAGGATCATAGCTAGTCAATACCAAAAAAATTGAGTTCGTTACTACCCACTGTATATGCATCACATTCGCTCAACAATCCGAATACACATGAGCTTTGTTTGAGGTTCAATACATCAGAGCGACCAAGCTGAATGCGGTATTGACACACATGTGACTGAACATCATGTGACTTTGAATTGAAGTTCATTTTTCTCAATCATCCCTTCCTTTCATTGACTGTTATTTCAACTTCAGCAAGCCAGAATCGTTCAAACCAGCCGTTTGTAAGTATCCATCCTGTAACCCTCTTCATAAGATCCGGGCTGTTCATCATTGCTTCAAATGGCCTGTCTTTAGCTTGTCGGAGAAAGTCGCCTCTTCCATCTGCCCACTGCGGACACGCGAATACCATGTGTTTGACGTTTTGCGACGGATATCCACATTGACAGCTTGGATTTTCTACTTCGGGTGCTTTCCTTCTGCACAGGTAAGAATTGAGCCCGATATGCTCGCTTTTAGCTGAATGGCGATACTACTTTGGGACCTGCTAAGGTTTCGGTGTTTTTTTTTGCATCAGATTTTAATTGCGCATGCAGCTATCTAGCTATGACACAATATCAAAGAAGTGTATAATAGATGACTCAATTTACAAGAAGAGCACTCATGCCTCAGATTTCATTTGCAAGTACCACTGCGAAGTTATGGCGGCATTTTCTTCACCCAAAGTCAACCCTCATCCGTGAATACCCACCCAGGGGAACGTCTCAAAAACCCCGACTTATTTAAACATGCCTCCATCATCTTTCAACTTTCCTCCGCGCGAAATATAGTCAGAGATGTCTCCTTCCCAAGTGAAGTAGGTGCCCAAGCTACTCATACTATACCGCAGAACACCACCAGGATGCGGACCATGGCACCTTCCATTGTTGACTTGTATTCATAGTGTCAGCTGCACTCTCGCAAGCGAAGTCTTGGCGTGCACAAAGCTCATTTCGTAAAACTCTTACCAAAATTCGAAATTTCACGCCTGTCGAGAACGTATCCCTCTTCTGCATCATCTTGTAAACTTGTCCTGATCCCTCTCACGTCCATCCCAAAGAACTGTCTCCCAGATTTGTGCGCCACGCTTTGTTTCCTCCGTCGGGTGTGAATACCGGAGAGGGCGTGTATTTGGCGACCAGCTGAGGCCAGAGAATAGTCGATGATAGGTGTGGTCATTGTGATGAGGATATACTTGGTCGTACCTGTAAAGTTGATGAGACTTAATTATGAGTCGATATCGTTGGGTGGGAGAGTTTGATTTCATAGACAGTCTTGTATCAATGCCTCGTGGGCGAACTTCCTCGGAATTGTGAAATTTAACTGAACTTGACTCTGCGAGAATACTTTACTCCCAGGTTCGTGAAGGACACCGCGTACAGGTGTTAAGTCTTTACACAGCAGAGATATCTTTACTGGTATGTAGAAGGGCGTTTACTATGACGTTTGTTGTGGCGCACACAGAAAGAAGCTCGTCTCTTACCTCCTTGCTAGTTCGCTTGTAAACCGATAGCGTTGAAGAACCCGGACTCCGATTCCGAGTGAAACGCCGAGTTTGAAGACCCTGGATTCTTTGATCACAATCCGGGTGGCTTAGTGCCTCACTCATTCCCTACTATATTACACTGAATAAATAAGTAATTCATTTGTGCAGATTTGGCGCCTTGAGTTCCGTGCAGGTTTCATCACAAGATATGTATTTTAAGGAGGATGACTCAATTTGACGTCTAGAATACGGCATACAATCTCTTCCGTGCATGCCCACCACAGGGAAAAGCGTCGATAATCTTGAAGGCAACCGATTGTGCTCACATCATCCCACACGCAAGATATCACCGCGGGTAGTTTTGGTGTTAGAGTTTCATTGGATCCGAACCAGCTATCTTCTATATGGACATGGCTGCTGCTCAAGCTACTCAGAATCTACTTGGGAGGACGGCTCAAATGGGGCACCACTGCACCATGCAGCCCCACAGTGTTCTGCTAGCTTACTTTGCCAGCAAATATTGATCATTACATTATCTGGAATAGGGGAGATTTTATGTATTTAATGAAGAGTTACAACGTTAATAGAAATACACGTCCAAAGGGTACAATATGTAGGCCGTTCAAATTCCCTACCAGACCAAAAAGCCATTCAATCTGCATCTAATATGACCAAGCTGCCCAGAGGGGGGAGAGAAGATATTCGAGCAAATAATAGAAGAGCAGACCTTGCCTACTGGGGAGAGATTTGCGGAGAGGAGCAATCTAAAGAATTATAGAACGAAGCGGTAAAGGTTGCAGCCTACCTAGAATGGGCGAAATCTTCGTCTGCCCTAAAGCGAAGTCGACAGCCTCGATAACTTGCTTCGGCAGATCCTGAAACTTGGGGAGCAGCTAAGTTCTATCAATGCCGACATTCTGGACGTCATAGAATAAGCTTCAAGGTGTCTCCTCTTGCCCTCCATAAAAACTTGACAAGGGCCTAGAGTAGCCTAGCAATGCAAGTTCGAGGCGAGCACATCGGGCTTATGTCGTATTTGCACAGAAAAGTACCAGGAGTCTACGATCTAAGCTTTCCGTGTGGCTGCCAATCACAGAATCCCAATCACATGATCATGTCCTGCCCTCGATGGTCAAATGTAAGAGGAGAGATCTAGAGACAAGCCAAGGATTGGTCCTACGAAGCAATGATAGACGATCCTGGCGATATAAAAAGAAACACGCAATGGATTCTCAGGAATGGTTGGATAGAACAATTCCGCGTGACAAATGCAGTCAAGATGCTGATTAGGGAACGAGACAGGACTGGCACAAGGTTGGGGTGGGTACAGGGGACGTGATTGATATACATAGACGGCACTACAGTGTAACTGTGGGGGACTATTCTCAACACCTGTCAGTGGTGTCCCCTACGAACCTCCAGCTCTCACTGTAGAGCCGAGATTGAGCAACAAAGTCCTCACTTCGACGAGGATTCCCAATCGCTTTCGCCGTCTGTATCGTCTTCATCTCTCAACACACCCCCTGTCACCATTATCATGAAGCTAACCATGATCAAATCAGATGGTAGGGTCGGAGCCCTTCTCATCACCAACCCTTGATCATGGAGGAGAAGCCATCCGATGAGTTTCCAGAGCGAACCCAGCACCCGATACGGAGATGGCGGATTGGATCAAGTCGACCTCAACTGTTACAAAGAAGGGAGATATAGATGGATATGCGCACCTCATGTGGTCCCAGTGTCTAGGCCTCGCCTGGCTCGGACTGCAAAATTTTATAGACTTTTCCCCGCGCACGCAGTTTCCACTGTTACCTTTTTTTTTTTTTTTTTTTTTTGGATAGAAGGTTCCGTGGAAGAGATGGCCGAATTCCACGAGTAAATACTGAGCTGAATGGCTATTCATCAAGGGGAATATATCAATGATCTTTCAAGTAACAAAAGAGGATAGGAGCACTGTACAAGGTGTGGCCTGGGTCAGAGAGGAGCCCAATGTGCTAGATAGTCATAGACTCAAGTAGTACATTAAAACACACATACAGTGTTACTGTGCTTCCCGAAGGATAAATTGCAAATTCCAAAGACACAAATCACAAAACCAGGGAAGTTTTGACCGAGAGGTTTCCTCCTATGTAAATACATAGATAGGTTTATAGCCACCTGCATGGGCTCATAAGGCGCCAAATCAGGATAATGAAATCACATCAATACAGGTCTACACCTAGTCTCAAGCTCAACACACACATAGATTGTCGTAGTCGAAGCCATGAGACACCCGTGATTTTCACAGGCAAGATTAACAATTTTATTCTTACTGATGTGCACCAGAAATCTCAACAGAATCACTATGTAGCGCACCAAAGCGTGCTCCCAACTGAGGAACTATGCCATTTATCCTGTATCACCAACCCATCGCTCAACAAATCCCCCTACCACCATTACTATGAAGCCAACCATGATTTAACCAGATTTCAGGGTCAAAGCTCTACTCATGACTCACTCACTTTCCTTGGCCATGGAGGAGAAGCCACCCGATGAGTTTCCGGAGTGTACCCAGCACCCGAAACCATGGTTTTGGCCCCTACAAGCATCTCAACGTCGAAATCCACTCCAAAATGAGTAAGCCCCAGCATGCCCATCGACAACTTCTTTCCAACCCCCTTCCGTATCCCAGGTGCCCGTCCTTCCCAAATATGTAGAGCACCATTAGAGCAATACTCCCCTATCAGCCAAAGCTCGAGCCTTTTGCCTAATGTTTTATTTTCTTCCTTTCGGCTACACGTCACATCTGAATAAGATAGTGGGGGATATCTGGTGATTGACGAGTCAAGCTCTCGTTTTAAATTAGAGCAGCTCCGTGAACGGTTGATGATGCGAGATGGTTTGTGTTATGGTTGAGTTGGACTCGCGTGGAAATGGTAGGACCGACAATGATGAAAGGAGTCAAAAGTATACATGCCTGTGTTTGTTTCGATTTTGATTCGAATGCGGCTCTTCTTGACTACCATAGACATGCAGAACATACTGAGTGTTTACATAGGCACCGCTGGAAGGTGTTGAATTCGTCTTTGCCGGCGGTATCTTTCACATTAAATTGGTAAATTTCAAGCTCTAGTCTCTCTAGAAATTGTTCGCTATATGGGACTTACAGGCTTGGATAGGTTTATCCACAGGTAGGCCCCTGCCAATCTGGTCCATGTCTCTTTCGGCTTTAGAAATACTCATATTTTACATGTCAATCGTGAATACCTCTTAGGAATATTGATTCATGCAAACCACCTGATTCTCATTTATCGGTATCAATTAAGGAGAGAAGTGTCATATACTTTTACGAGTGGTCAATTACCTCTCTGGAATGTCACGTTTGCCATGATCCGGCTCGTGGTCAAATACTGGGGTGGTGTGATGATTGAAATGGGAGGAGATATAGGTGGAGCTGTAGCCTAACGAAGGGGTTCTAATGCAGGGTATATTATGGTTTTTGGTCTAAGACGGCTTGGGAGAAGGGCGGCGACTTGACTCCCGCAGTGAGATGACACAGCACTACTGATCCCTTCGCAATGTAAACTGAAAATGTGATTATGTAAATTATCAACGAGATATATTTTCCTCACATCAGGGCTTTTAGTATTTTCATAGTACTAGTGATGATAGTTTGGTATGGGCAACTTTTCAATTTTGGCACTGGAATCGAGAGCTTTTAGTCGCTAGGTGCTATACTCACCCCCATAATCCTACCCAAGTTCCCAACTCCTACTATCCTCATTTGATAGATTCATCCGCTTACTTAGATCTTTGAGTCAAACTGTTTTTTCATTTTTGTTATCCATTAAACATTCGCTTTACCGTAGGCGTTCACAGCAGCCAGCAATCATACGATATTTAATGTCAAATATCAGGTGTTTATGCAACAGATTCATGCTGTATCAAATTTTCAATCCGAGACTCTTGAGCACCGTATATCGCTTAGAATAGCTTATTTTGAGCTCTCTCCTCTTTGAAACATTTCCTCAATTATCTTATTATGATATTCGCATTCCTCGACCATGAACACGTGACCAGTGCCTTCCTTAATAATTCCTGTCCCAGGTTGAAGAAACTCTATCAATTTTCTGCCATGGTGGACACTGATCATCCTATCGGCAGTTCCATGCATTACCATAATCCGTTCTCTTCCAACCTTGTCGCCAATCTCTTTTAGCTGTTCAGGGGATTTATGATGCCATCCTGCGGCGATCAGCTGTAGAATAAATCCCGTTCTTCCGAAAGATTCTATGTCCGAGCGTTTGGTAATTTCCGATGCCGAAAATCGTTCGTAATTGGTGCTAAAGCTACCGTACTTCCCAGAAGGTGGAAAGATAACCATGGGCGAGGTAGGCGTTGGAACAGCTGTGTTATCTGGAGCTGCCAGCCATGTGTCAGGAAACAATGATTGGCTGGCTTCCCTAACGGAACGATCGAGTGACTTTGGGATGAGCATGCGGATTCGAGTCTGCATGTTCTCAACAAACGATGTTGTGTTCTCGATGTATGCTGCAGTTGATAAGAGATTCAGCGAAGAGATTCGGTCAGGAATTAGATAAGCGATCTCCTGAGCTATCATGCCGCCCATGCTGACTCCAGAGACGTGGAGTTGGCGTTTCTCATTCCACCCAAGATGATCAAGAAGCTCAATCACGTCCTTCGCCATTTCGCTGGTAGAGTAGCGCATTAACGGCTTGTCCGACTTGCCCATACCTTGTGTTAATGGTCAGCTACCATATTCCATATCCAAAAATATTATTTTTTGTGAAGACATGCCTCGATTATCAAATACCAGAGATGAGTATCGGTTATGTTCATCGTGTCCAAATCTCAATGTTTGTCTTTGCCAGGAGCTCTATGCACTATTAGTTTAAGCTTCGATATTCCGAAAGAATCGTTTCGACCTTGACACTTCCTAGACCCATGACCCACTACCAATTATCAGATCGACGTGCCTTTTGAGCCGAAGGAGAAAGGTTTTACAGACAACTAGCTTAATGTCACCACTTCCATGAACTTCCCAATCGATATTAAAAGGGCCGCCTCTTCCAGCAGCTACCGCATGATTGCCCTTTTGCGAGGGTGTGAGCTTCCATATAGCATCTGGGAATGATGGATGCGCTATTATTTCTTCAACACTTGGCCATTGTTGGTTTTTTTCCCTGCTAACAGGATCAACAATTAATTGGTCTGTTGATGGCCGAAGAGGTCAATCTTACATTGTTATTTGCTTTCTTAAGTAGTATACAGATGCCTCCCGTAAACCTTGTTAGCCCAGACCGGACAATTTGGACTAAAATAATAACAATAAATTTATGTAAGAATAGGTTTTGTTCCTGATGAAGCTCATAAAGTTTAAGGGTAATTATAAATAAACAGTCTGCAGATACTGGATTTACCCAACCATGGTAGGCCTTCATTCGATCTATATGCTCGTGCGCACAGACGATACTTAGCCCGCGTTCCCTTTCTCCCTTGCTGAGCAGCTCAGCAAGGCTGACGACCGGGCTGGTTGGTGACTCATAGGCGAGAGATTCCATGGCACAGGCCCAGTCGAACCTCATTTGGCATAGTAGTATGGCCTATCATTTTCCTTTAACGAATCACATTAGCCTGAGGTACTGGCAAACCCAAGACGATGGCACAACGAAGCTTCAGTTGCTTTAAGATTTATCATAATCTGAGCTAACTACAACTGCACAGAGAGTCTAGGTCAGCGAGTCTACGATTTGATACGAAAATTGAATAATTATAAGTTAAACTAGATTCGCTTGTGATACGAAGGATGTCACTTAATGGGTCTATACTTGTTACTGAACTAAAATTAGGTCCTTTGTGAGTTTCTTGGTTGTAGTCAACGAGTGCTGTATCAATAGTTGGTTGTTGTCCATGGCGCAAAAAGTAGGCAATTCCTCGAAAGCTATGCAAGTCTCCAATCCCTTGACTTGCACCTTTTGGTGCGCATGGACTATATTCCATCTTGGTATTTTATACGTTATGGCTTGGTCCTTGTCTTTAAACGTGTGGGAGTATGAGACTCGTTGCTTGAACACAGCCCAGCTTATTCCTCATCCTGAGCCAACATCTGGCATTCCCGGCTCTTGTTAAACACTGCCATTGGACTGCTGCCATGCCGAAATCTCATGCATTGCTTCCAAGCTTAACCCAGCTCCAATCACTTTCACTATCCCGTTTGCGCACATCCTCCTACTAATGGTGTTTTGTAGGAATTTTCCAACTTTTTTCACTCCCCATCATTCCAAAAGGGTGCCCTACGACCAACTCAAACAATGAAATGTCTAGAAATGTACTCAATCACTTGATAAAAATTCCAATAGGGATTTTGCTCACAGTTATAGCCGAGTATGATTGTCTTGCAGTTTCAGCTGCATGGACGCGCTCGAAATCACAGTAGCCAGAGGAGCTGTTGGCACACTATTCTGGTAATCTTATGTAACTTCAAGGTCAAGTGCATTTTGGGTTTGAGGTGTTTTCTTAACCCTCATCTGAATTTAATTTACGGTCGTGCCCGTGCAAAGCTACGAACCGCCTCATGTGGCAATCAGTCGAGTCTCCGTCGATGTAGCGGACGTCTCTTAATTGAACATTTAAAGTTCATGCAGCTATCAAGCTCAAACATATGATCAGCGTAAATTACACACGAAAAATTATTCTCTCGGCTTCAAAGGGACTCCTACGGATTTTATTCCCAAGCACTAGAAGAGCCCAATGTGTTAGATAGTCGCAAACTCAAGTAGCACAATGAGCAACACACACACACACAGCTACTACTATGAAGTATCTTACAGCGAGCCTCAGTGGAGTTGTCGAGGCTTTAACCAATATAGGGCCAGATACTGGCTGGATAAAGGGAGCCTCCGAATCCATCTTTTGCCCCCAGCGAAGATCAGGAAATATCAACTGGAAGATCTGATAGGAAAGGCAACAGGCGAGAAGCGTGTGATCCTAACCAAATTGAGGTTTCTTCTAAATTTGGATTTTATTTTGCTATTAACTTCTATAATTTGTGTGGAAGTTCACGCAGTTGGAATAAGTTGAACCTGTACATAGTGATCTTTGCCGGCTCCACCGCTCCTGTATCTAGAGTAGGACGCAGGGCTTTCACATTCGCCCAGGACTTTAATATAACAACTACTATTACTATGAAGTATCCTTGCTGACAAAAACAGTCGACCCTACTCCGCTATTATCTACCAAAGGGGAGTTACAAAACTATTGATTATCAAAGCATAGCTTTATCATCCATGTACATTGGTGCTGCGAGATATGTGGTCAAGTTTTGCTGGTTTGAGCGAGCAATCTCTTGTCTCAGGCAGGATAGGTGTCCAAGCTATCCAGAATCTACATAGGCGACATTATAGAGCCAATTATGTTCTCATCATAGCAGGCTAGGAGTGCTAAGTGCTCTTCAATGCGAAAAACTCCTCGCCAAACTTGGAAACCTCACAGTCTTTGAGTGTTTATCGTGCTACTTGACTCTATGACTATCAAGCACATTGGGCTCCTATCTGACCCAGACGACACCTTGTACGGTGCTCCCCTGCTCCTTTGTCACTCGAAAGATCTTTGATGAGAGCCATGGGTACGCCAAGGTTCAAACCAAAGAGAAAGCAAATGGAAAATTGTTTAGGTAGATATATAGGCTAGGTTGCATCAAGTCGATGCACATCCTACAGCAGTCATAGACTTAGACAGCATGTAAATGGAGAGATGATGAATAAGAAGATCTTTCATAAATTGCCCGTGATGGATAGCCATTCAGCTCAGTATTTACTGGCAGAATCCTACCACTTTTTCCATGGAGCCTTCTACCCCAAAGAAATGAAAAGGGTAGCAATGGAAACTGCGTGCGCGGGGAAAAGTCTCAAAAAACCTGCAGTCCGAGCCAGACGAGGCCTAGACACTGGGACCACATGAGATGCGCACATTCATGTATATCTCCCTTCTTTGTAACAGTTGAGGTCGACTTGATCCAATCCGCCATCTCCGTATCGGGTGCTGGGTACGCTCCGGAAACTCATCGGATGGCTTCTCCTCCATGATCAAGGGTTGGTGATGAGAAGGGCTCCGACCCTACCATCTGATCTGATCATGGTTAGCTTCATAATAACGGTGATAGGGGGATGTGGTAAGAGACGAAGATGATACAGATGGCGAAAGCGATTATCAATCTTCATAGAAGTGAAGACTTTGTTACTCAATCTCAACTCTGCAGACTCTACAGTGAGAGCTTGAGGTTCGTAGGGGACGCCACTGACAGGTGTTGAGCTTTCGTCTCCCTGAAGTGTCAGATTGGAGCGAAGACGTATGGACTGAAGAGTAATTGTCGTGGAAGAGAGATTGGATGGACTGCAAAAGATGTTTGAAGGTCTTCTTGAGATTACTTAGAGGAACTAAAGATTTGAATTGTAAGTGATTTAATGATCTAGAGAGACTAAAGGTTCGAGTGAGTACTAGTGGTGCCTCAAGGTACTAAAGGCGACCAGAGATGATCTGAAGGTGTTGAGTATGATTGACACCCAAGCGTCATGGTACTCTGTGCGTACAGACAAACCATCATACATATACCAAGTGTCAAGAGCTGTACAATTATCACAGCAACATTAGGAGAAGGGTCAAATTATAAACTAAAGTTAGGATGGGAAGGGGATTCTTTACATGAAGTTATCCTTTGATGACTGTAGGATTTGTAACTTCCCTTTGATGAGTACTCACGACAGTAAACATATCTCGTAGTATTACATGCGAATGAGTCGAGAGAATGAGTGTCTCGGAAAATATCTACGTGCATGCAAGACCCTAAGTTTTTTAAAGCTCTGTAGCTAAATGTGCTTCAAAAATACAAGGACTATTCTGACGACGCTGAGCGAATCCGCTGATAACATCATCACGAAATAAGCTTATATGTTATTCCAATGAGTGCTCGAAACAGCCAAAGTTTATCCTGGTCCCCCTAAATCATGAAAGAAAATAGAAATTGCGATACTGTTAGGGTGGCTGTAAGAGAAAAATGCTGTGCGGAGTGTGAGTTAGGAGGCTTAAGATCAATATTACACAAAGGCAATCTAGAGTAAATCAAAGGAGTTTAGGCACGAGAGCTCGCTGCACTCAACCGACTTGGAGGTGGTAATATCACGCAACTAACATCGATTACAAAGAGTGAAAGTCTTTCAGATTGAACACACCCTATCACATTGTTCTAACAATTGATCATTTTCTCGTAGTTTAATATTTGATGAGCCAAATCGTTATTAAAGTTGTTCAAGGCATGAACTCAGTTCCGTCGGGAAATTTGCACGGATAAATGCTAGGAGGGCTAGTTTTGGCGAGGTGCAATCCTCCCAAGATAAGACCTTCATTATTAAAGACAACAAAGTCATCATCAACTTCGCCTAATGGGTTTCGTTGGTCAATGTTTAATCCAAAGAGTATTACTATGTCAACAAACTAACCTTGTTGGTAAACCTGATGAGTGTGGTGGATAGGATATATCCAATACTTTCCACCAACTTTATAAACAAAATCGGTAATTTCTTTCGGGTACGCCGCCTGACTTCTGGAATCACTCCTCATACTACTAAGCCCTTCTTGAACGGAGCTCTCGAGGTATGACTTGTCATAAGACAAACCTGACCCACATGTAATGGAGAATGATTTTTCTTGGTTTGGTACTTGCAATATCTGTGAATTTCCAGTAGCTTTGACATTGAGAATTACTGCCATAGCCGGGCTTGAGATGCTCACTAGCATCATTATGCTGTTTGCAATAGAAAAATTCATGGCTGTCGGGAGAAATTCAGTATCTCTTCGAGGTCGGGCGGAAGTAGAAGTACGGAAATAGACAAAAACGAATTGTTAGTGAAGGAAGGCAGAGACTACCATTCCTTATATGTTGAGGTATAGCTTACTAAACTGCTCGACGAAATTAGTTCTGGTGATTAAGAAGAATAAACCACAAAGTTTATAATTTTGTACACTTGACTCGCCCCATCCCATCTTGCTCTCTGACGGCCAATTACTTGTTGTCGCCAAGTATCGGAGTTGACAAGAATATCGTACAAGCCACTTTGCACTGGGGCTTCACGAAATCAGGTTGGTTCAGTCTTATTAGTTGCTTTCGAAATATTCGCTGTAGTTCAAGAACAATGAGTCGGATCCTGGTCGCATCGTGTCCAACATGCCTTTTTAGTCTTCCTAGGAATCTGATCGAGGTGACTCCAGTCCGAAAACTATACCAATTGAAGTTGAATCGCCCATCAATCCACTATAACCCACTTTCGCCGACGGCCATTATAATATATCCGGGGAAAGAAGAGTCTATGGGGTTTCATAGGTCGAAAAACAAAGTTGAGGAATGACGAAGACGCAAAGATTTCGATTTCTATTTCTGTATACGCAGCTGAGGAAGGACTCGTGAGGATTTCACCCGATCTATCACCCCGCTAGAGATAGAGGTCAGCAGGGAATATTTGGGCTCAATATACCCCGGCCGAAGAGCCAGATGATATCGCGTTGAGATTTGTGTCTGCCGAGCGACAAGAACGCCAAGTTATAGTAGCGTACAAGGACCAGTCGATCGAGATTTCGTCGCCAGATGCAAAATCAACCATACTAGAAAACATTTGAAGGTCCTTCACTGGCAGATAGTTCACTAGATCGGCGACGATTTCTTTCGGGACACTGAGATCAGTGTGGTCGTATTTTTGTTGACAACTTTCGATCGAAGATGGCGGCGCCCACCTGACTCTTTTCCTACAAATTAGGCATTGTCTGCACCGCGGCTCTTGGCCCACAAGCTACGTGAATCGTAGTTCCACACTTGGGAAGTAGGCATTCAAATGACATGTTTTGCCGCGGATGGTGCTAATGTCGTTGGCTATCTTTGTGTTATCTTTAGCGCAAGAATTAGAGAAGTAAAGGGTTATTGTTTTAGAGGGTGTCTAGAGGATATCTCCCTTAAACCTCCCGGACCTGCGCAATTGTCTCGACAAGGGCATGTATGGCCACTTGATTCCATGCAGTTCGTTCTATCGATAGCGATAACATTTCCTTTTCCTCTGTTTATCAATCAAAATCGTCCCAGCCATCCTCGGCCTACGAACCACTGCCCGAATTTACTGAGGCCCGCTATGTCTTTGATCCTATCTCCATTTGACTATTTCTTAGCCATCATTCTCCATTCTGCTCAGGGAAATGAATATTTCTCCCTATCTATATCATAGGGCTTGTTCCTCACTGTCCATGAGAACATAGTTAAAAATTGGAAAGGAAATAATGTAGCTAGTATCTTCTATATAGATTCTAGGAGTCCTCTACAGTCATTGACTCAGTTAGGACTATAAAATAAATCTAATCTAATCAAATCCATTCTGCTTTTTGTGGGCCTAAACGATACACGTGGTAGTAGATTATGTAGAAGAAATGGATCCATCTTTTAACACACAAGGGATGGGCACGGCGACATCCGTGCCTACCACAGTGGATTCCTTCATAAAAATGCCCTCATGACTTGTTCCTGTGGGGGTCTCAAGTCTGTAACCCATTTAGTTTTCTGCCCAATAGTTCGACAAAGACTAGCCTCTATTGGTCACCGGCGTAGTTTGGGTAACCTCTTATATCTTCTCGGCACTTTCCGTAGTGCTAAACGATTTTACTTTATATTGGAGAAGACCAGATTCCTGTCGGAACTCTGCCCAATCTGCGCTATTTGACGTATCTTGTGTGAGGGGTTCGCTGTACAGCGCTCACAATTGTTTCATAAGGTTGTCTCAGGCCTTCTGGCTCTCATAAGATCATGTGATATTCTAGATTACATCAGTCACCGTGTCCCCTCAGGAATGGGCCTGCAGCCATAACTGTAGCTCAGTAGACCTTGAAAATAAATAAATACACAGGGGAATCTTTCTTGTGCTGGTGATAGCTATGATACAATGCACAAGGATAATGATCACTGAGAGCGAAGGAGGAACTTTCCGGGTGGCTCCATGATGAGTAGAGGAAAAATGGAGCTCTATGTGGAGTGTGTATCTAGATTATACTACCAGATGTAGGATGCTGGAATATTCCGTGATACTGTTTGGGAAAATAAGGCGAGAGTCTAGCTACCTCGGATGGAAATGTAGGTAGCATTCTCTACTTTCGACAACCTCCAAGCTCTGAATATCAAATAATCAACAGTTCACATTGGTTTTTCGTTAATCATACCCAAACTTTCAGGCAACAAGTTTTCTGTATACTCTCACCATTACAACGCATCCACGTTATCTATTATCCCGACACGATCATGTGCTTTTTGTGTGAGTTGAAAGATTAGTGTGCACGCTTTACATTAAACACCGTCATGGTTGCGTGGTGCTTTGGTACCTCACCTGGGTCGATCTCCCAAATTTAATTAGGTTAGTCTGGACACACATTCTACTCGGGACAGTTGATCGCTGGTTCGAATCCGGCAAAACACAACCAGATTTCTCGCGTCACAGGTAAATGTGGATAGTGATGAGTTTTAAAGCGCTCCTTTGGTTGATATCCACGGAGGAGGGTCGAGTGCTTGCGCAAGCATACATACCTAGTACAGGCTGTAGGGGTTGGGTTGTGCAGTGGTACATCATTCAGGCCGTTATCCCAAGTAGATTCTAGGTGGCTTGAATACCTACCCCATTTGTGACAGGAGAAAGCTGATTCGAATCCAGTAAACCCTCATATCACTCTCTCTCGCGGTGATATAGTGCTTGTGGGATGATGAAAGCACACTCGGATAACCATAGGGTTTTCACGCTTTTCCTTGTAGTGGATATGCACAGAAAAGGTTACACACCGTAAGGGTTAGCCTCGAGTGGTATCTGCAAACGTTATCTGAGCATGAGTGTCCTGAATGTCAAATTGAGTCATTCTACTTAAAGTAAATATCTTCTAATAAAAACCTGCATGGGCTTTAAGGCGCTAAATCAGGACATTTGAATAGTTTTTTTTTTGCATCAGATTTTGATTGCGTATGCAGCTATCTAGCTATGACATAATATCAAAGAAAAGTACAGAATAGATAATTCATCGTAGAGGAGGAGCACTCATGCCTCGGATTTCATTTGCAAGTACCACTGCGAAGTTATGGTGGCTTTTTCTTCACCCCAAGTCAACCGTCATCCGTGCATACCCACCCAGGGGAACGTCTCAAAAACCCTGAGTTATCCAGACATGCCTCCATCATCTTTCAACTTTTCTCCGCGCGAAATCTGGTCTTTGGTGTCTCCTTCCCAGGTGAAGTAGGTGCCCAGGCTACTCAGACTATACCAGAGAACACCACCAGAAGGCGGATCACATCACCTTCCATCGTTGGCTTGTGTTTATAGTGTCAGCTGCACTCTCGCAAGCAAAGTCTTGGCGCGCACAAAGCTCAATTCGTAAAACTCCTTGCCAAAATTCGGAATTTCACACCCTTCGAGGTTATATCCTTCCTTTGCATCATTTTTTCAACTTGTCCTGATCCCTCTCACGTCCATCCCGAAGAGCTATCTCCCAGATTTGTGCACCACGCTTTGTTTCCTCCGTCGGGTATAAATATCGGCGTGGGCGTGTATTGGTGACCGGCTGAGGCCAGAGAAAGTCGACGAAAGGTGTGGTCATTGAAAGAATGATGTATTAGGTCGTACTTGTAGACTTGATGAAGCTTGGTTGAGAACCGGACTCTTTGGGAGTGAAAGATTGACATGATGGAGTAATTTGAATTTTTGCCTCGTGGGCCAACTTCTTTGACATTGCGAAATTTGACTGAACTTGGCTCTGAGAGAATATTTCACTCCCAGGTTCGTAGAGGACACGGCGCACAGATGTTCAGTCTTGCCCTCCGGACATTTGAATTATTTATCTATTACCGGCTGTACCCAGTTCGATTAGGCTCAGGCTCGTCTTATGATATTAGTCACATGATGATATATAACCTTGTTTCTCACGACTTGAAACCCTCGTTTATTCATGCTGAGTCCGAGAAACAGATCACTCAGTAACGAAGTAATGCGTGTCGGAAATCTAGATCACTAGTGAATGCAGAGGTTATATTTGACGTAATAGATTTCCTGATGTAAATCTTTAGAGAAAAATAATGATTCTTTTTGGTATTATTTACGTGCGGTGTCAGTAATTCTCCTCGTCCTTAAAAATACCTCGTGGTGGTATTTGCGAATGAAATCCAGGGTGTGGGTATCTCTAACGTCAAGAGAGTCATTCAATATCTATCCACAGCATCGATCATGTCTAATAGTTAGAAAACTGAATACCTAATAAATGATTTCATAAAAAAGAAAAAGTTGGAAGGAGGCTAGAAAGGCAGAGGGTGAATTCTCCGAGGTACCCACATTTTACACCCCCAATGATCATGGAGAAAAAGTCATTCAATGGGTTTCCGGAGGGTACCTGGCACCCGATACGGAGATGGCGGATTAGATCAAGTCGACCTCAACTGTTACAAAGAAGGGAATTATACATGAATATGCGCACCTCATGTGGTCCCGGTGTCTAGGCCTCGCCTGGCTGGGGCTGCAGGTTTTTTGAGACTTTTCCCCGCGCACGCAGTTTCCACTGCTACCATTTTATTGTTTTTGGGTAGAAGTTCCGTGGATAAGGTGGCCGAATTCCACGGGTAAACACTGAGCTGAATGGCTATTCATGAAGGGGAATATATCAATTATCTTTCAAATAACAAAAGAGGCAAGGAGAACTATACAAGGTGTGGTCTGGGTCAGAGAGGAGCCCAATGTGCTAGACAGTTGAAGACTCAAATAGTACAACAAAACAAATTAGTCAATTCGTAATAGTATTTGCGAATGAAATCTGGAGTATAAATATTACTAAAGTCAAAATAGTCATCCAACGAGTACACATGGCACTGATCATGCATCTCAGCGAGATGGTTGAATAAAACTAAATCATACGATCTCAAAAACAATAGATAACTCTAGAATGCCTGGAGTTTTGTTCCAAATAAAAAATTACTCTCACTTACGCCCTGAGGGCTCCAAACATGCAATGACCAACGCAGTGTACCGGGGTGCCACGATTTCAAGTTTTCAGTGGATTTATATGGGGCGCATATTCGCTACAGGGGTTGAACCCCTGTTAGCGCCAATTTCGACAGGATACATAATCTTGTCCTGTATTTTCAGGCCTAAATCGAGGGCACAATTTGATTTCATTTCACCCTCAGTTTTATGCAAATCCAACCCGCTCTCTAGTTCTTTCCCATTGCTTTGATGAGCGCCCACCGCTTAAAAATTACACAGCTCTTCTCACCTTGTGCTTGAGTTACAATAAGAATTAGATTTCTCAAATACAAAGTTATTTATTCAGAAGACACATGGATTTACTCGATAATAACCTTATTTTACAGATGAATCCACCTCTACCCCACCTTCAACACCTCGAATCAAACAATTATCCAGAGATCAAAACATGTTAGTTAGTAGAAAAATTAGATATGAACAAATATAAATTAAAAGAAAAATTAAGATTTATGGGCTTCATGAATCTGGCAAAAACCAGACGCAGATTGCCGCGCAACTAGGCATTTCTCGGGGACAAGTTAGTTATTCACTGCGCCGCGGAACTGCCCCCCCCCAAAAAGAGAAAAAGAACATCCTCAAGGCTGAAAGTAGATGATGTTGATCAGATTGTATCTTACGTTGAGTCTTCACCTGGAAACCGCCGCAAAACATTTCTGGAACTCGCCTCTGGCCCCTTTAGACATCTTGGTATTAGCGAGCGGGTAATACAAAGAGAACTTTAGAAGAAAGGATATCAGCGACATGTGGCTCGTCTACAGCCTCCAGTATCTCAGAAAACTATGAAGACACGCAGAGAATGGGCTGAAGCTCATCTCAATTGGACATATGAAGACTGGACGTCAGTTTTATGGACAGACGAAACTTGAGTAGAGGATGGAAGACATTATAGAGAATGAGTGACAAGAAGTGTTCGTACATTCCTCAATAAGAAGATGGTAATTTGATGCTCTAGGTTATGAGCTAGACTTCCCAAGGATACAACGCTGATTGTGTTGGAGAAAAATCGAAGAATAGGGTCGGATGGATGTTCTGGGGTTGCTTCACAGGGCCAGAAAAAGGCCCTTGTTAGTTTTGGGAGAAGGAATGGGGTTCCATTAACTCCCAAAAATATTGCGAGAAGATAGTTCCTCTTATCGATGGCATGGTCTCGATGAGACCTTGGCTTTCCGTAATGCAGGATAATGCTCCTGCCCACACAGCCGCAATTACAATGGAAGATGTGAGCCAGAGGCTCATGCAACCGATTTTCTGGCCGGCCAACTTGCCTGATCTTAACCCGATTGAAGCTGTTTGGAGTAAGATGAAGGATTACATTCAGCGTCATCATCCGAATCTGGGTTGCGGAAAGCAGCGAACTCAAGATAGTCTTCGCAACATTGTAAAGGAGGCATGGGATTCCGTGTCTTCCGAAGATCTTGTGAGACTCATTCAGAGTATGCCAGCAAGATGTCAGGCTGTGGTTGATGCGGATGGGGAAACGACCAGATATTAAGACCTGAAAATATTCCAGCCACATGTTCAGATCCAAGGTTAGGTTAAGACTGTGGCTCTATTTTGTAATTCGGAAACCTTTGAACTCTTGAAAATAAGTTATAAAGTCAAGTAGCAAAAATGCACAAATGTTATTCAGCCGATCATTATACAAATTTGGGTTAGTACGAAGGAAAGACCCACTGCAAACTATGGTGTCCAGATAAAAACTGCCACTCAAGATTTTTCAAAAATTTGCACAAATACGGGGGCTAACTCCAGTATGGAAGATGACTATGCCTAAGGCGTCTTAGTTTACACGCTGAATCCCCTGCCAAAGCCCCACTGCAAACTTGACACCGTGGCAACACGGTACATAAGACAGGCGATGATTCTGCTAGAACATATGTATAGAACCCTAGTGATTTAGAAATAATAAGAGAATGAGCCAACAATGTTTACATAATCATATCATCTTATTGACCTGTCTGAATCTATGAATATGTAGGATATGTAGATCCTCTCTGCTTACAGGCCAAGGATACCTATGCCAGTAGTATATCCCCTCCTATGCCTCCTATTCATCTCCCTTCAAACAGTATCACCCCTCACAAGCCCTCAATCGCTCAAACACTTAGAGGAGCCCTTTGCCCTTCCTTGTTTCCCCTCTCCATCCAACGAAACAATGGCCACTTGCGGGTGTATGGCAGCCGGGAGAAATCGCAAAAACCACTGGGTGCAGATCTCTTCTAATATAGATCTAAAGACTCAATCCGGAGATATAGTGACCCTTCTGAATCGTTCAAAGAGGCTAGCCAGCTGGGCGTTGCAGACTTGTGGGTACCGCGGAGAATTCACCCTCTGCCTTTCTAGCTTCCTTCCAGCTCCTCCCCGAAGATCGTGCTGATGTGTCAGAAAAGTCGACAGAGCGTGATTGCTGTATGGCAGCTTAGCCCAACTTCTTTTGTACCGTCCAGGGCGCTGGGGAGTGCCGTTGACTCATCAACAGAAGAAGCGCTCTGGCTAATCAGCCAAAACCTTGGTCTCGGCGCCCACAAACATTCCGAATTTGAAAACTACTCGAAAATATCAGTCTCAGTATGGTCTTCAGAGACCTCTTCCTCTTCTCGCTCCACGCCTTAACTGCCTATCCTCTCTCAAGTTGTTTGTTCCATTAGAGTAACAGTCCCCCATAATCCAGGACCCGGGGTTTGTACATTTCGAACTAATTCTTCTTGGGGGATAAAGAGAGTTGTAAATTTGTAGTGGGTGATGGGTGGTAATTAATGAGGCAAGCTCCCATTTGAATTTGGAGCAACTTCCTTATCGCTCGTTGAGGCGAGATGATTTGCGGCTAGAAAGAGGTTGAGGACTCAGAGGCTAATGGTAAGTGCTGCGTAATTGAGAGGTCGTCAAATGGAATTATGTTTGTGTTTGCTTTCGACTTCAATTCGGATGCGATTCTTCTTGGACATCCCAGATTTGCAGAGCATATTGAGCGATTACACCGGCTTCGCTGGAAAGTGAGGAATACAGGTCAGCCAGCTGTGATGTGACAAAATTCTGAAGAGTTGTAATCCCGGATAATACAAGGGGGATTTACCAGGCTAACCAAATCCAGAGAGACCCCCTGTACGGAAAATCACGGCACCAACTTGCCCTTTATTGCCTGAAAGCTAACCACTACATTCGTGTGGCAAAAACCTTGGGATTATGTAACCAGCTGGCACCCATGACATTGCCGAATTACCGCCTTACCTTTCCTCCTTATTTATTGATTGTGCCGGAGCATGACTTCTATATGAATAACATTTAACACCAGATAAAATCGGGCTCTCTTTAGATCACCTCAGGTTTTAACTATCTGAATTGCACGTTTAGAAACATGAACGGCCAGAATTTTGACGACAGTGACGAAGACGACAACTTTAATCCGCAACCTGCCGATTTATCAGACAACGAAGACTTTGATTCAAACCCTACCAACCGAAACAATACTAATGGTAAATATGATGAAGATTCTGATGCGGAGCCTTCGCGTGCCGCGAAGAAAGTAGCTACTGTTGAGGGTGACGACGAAGATGCTGAGGGAGAAGACGTTTCTCCAGATATTAACGAAGACGAAGAGGAGGAGGATGAAGAAGACGAAGAAGAGGTTCATGTCAGTCACATACTCTCTTGGCCGCATACATTTTTGGTACAACATAGCTTGATATGATAGCTAACAAAATTCAGGGCCACCGTCGTAAGCGTCGGCGTGAGCGCCGCAATCAATTCCTGGACGTCGAAGCCGAAGTCGATGAAGATGAAGACGAAAACGAAGATGATGAGGACGAGCTCAACGAGATCAAGGACAATTTTATCGCAGATACCCATCCTGATGATCTCGCTGACCTACCAGTCGGTCTTGAAACTGATGATAGGCGACATCGCGAACTTGATAGACGGCGAGAAGTAGAGGCTAGTATGGATGCTGAGAAGCAAGCCGAAATTCTTAGACAAAGGTATGGTGCAAAAGGACGATCTAATCGAGGAGTGGGAGACTCCGCCGTTGTGCCCAAAAGACTATTGCTCCCATCTGTCGATGATCCTAGTATATGGGCAGTACGGTGTAAAGAGGGAAAAGAGAGGGAATCTGTGTACTCAATTATGAAGCGCATCGATGAAAGAATGGGAACGAAGGATGAGCTCGCAATAACATGTGCATTTGAGCGTGGAGGAACTGCGTCAACCATGAAAGGATTTATTTACATTGAAGCACAGAGACAAGCAGATATTCTTTCTGCATTAGATGGGATTATGAACGTGTATCCTCGGACCAAGATGATGCTTGTGGAGATCAAGGAGATGCCGGATTTGCTGAGAGTCTCGAAAACACCTTCACTGCAGCCAGGAGCTTATGTTAGACTTCGGCGTCCCGCCAAATATGCCGGTGACCTCGCACAGGTTCAGGAAGTCACTGATACTGGCCTAGAAATGCGAATAAGATATGTGCCTCGTTTAGATTACGGCATGCACGAAGACACCAATGTCGTAGCAGACTCTTTTGGCGCCAAAAGAAAGAGAGCTATGGCTGGTCCCCGCCCTCCACAACGTCTGTTTAGTGAAGTAGAAGCAAGAAAGAGACATGCCAAATACATTCACGGGAATCCTAGCACGAAAACGTGGAACTATCTAGGGGACGAATACGTAAATGGATACTGTGAAAAAGAAGTTAAAATCCAAACCTTGATAACGAAGGATGTGAACCCAACTCTTGAGGAGGTTACAAGATTTGCATCTGGGGCCGAAGATGGAACGGAAAACTTGGACCTAAACGCACTCGCTGCAAGCCTCAAAGCAAGCACTGCGAATGCTTCCTATCTGCCAGGAGACATAATCGAAGTATACGAAGGAGAACAAAAAGGTGTTGTTGGAAAAGTCGTATCTGTGCAGAGCGACATTGTTACAATGTCTGTCTTCGACGGCGCCCTAAAGAGTCAAACCATCGAAGTCCCTATAAAGGGGCTTCGAAAGCGATTTAAGGAGGGAGATCACGTTAAAGTCATTGGTGGAAGCCGATTTCGAGATGAAGTCGGTATGGTTGTGAAAATTTCAGATGACCGAGTCACCCTTCTGACAGATCAGAGCAATACTGAAATTACCGTATTCAGCAAAGACCTGCGGGAAGCTAGCGATTCAGGAGGCAGCGGATCCCTTGGTCAGTTTGAACTTTGGGACTTGGTTCAGCTAGACCCTGCGACTGTTGCCTGTATCGTTAAGGTTGATCGAGAATCACTTGTTGTCCTGGATCAAAACAGTCAGACGCGGACAGTAATGCCATCTCAGATCTCAAACAAGCTCGAAAGGCGAAAGAATGCTGTCGCTACAGACAAAAATGGTTCCGAGGTTCGTGTAGATGATGTCGTTAAAGAGTCTGCTGGTGAGTGTAGGACTGGAAAGATCATTCACATACATCGAGCCTATCTATTTTTAAGGAGTGCTACTCACAGTGAGAACGCTGGTGTTTTTGTCACTAGGACTGTTAGTGTTGCGACCGTTTCAGCCAAAGGCGGCAGGGTGATTGGGACCCCGGGCGGCTCACCTGACCTCAATTCGATGAATCCTGCCATGAAACGTAATCTGACTGTTCATCCCGAGCCGGCACCTCCCAAGTTTTTTGGGAGAGATCGCTCAATCGGTCAGACTGTAACTATTCGGAAAGGGCCCTACAAGGGACTTCTAGGAATAGTCAAGGATACCACCGATACACATGCCAGAGTTGAGCTACATACAAAAAGCAAAACCGTTAATGTCCCGAAAGATTCGCTTGGCTTTAAAGACATGATTAGCGGAAAGTCCATAGACCCATTGTCAAGGGGTGGCCGTTTCGGTGGGGCTGGAAGGGGTGGAGGGGCACCTCGGGGTGGTAGAGAAAACTTTGGTGCTCCTAATGCTGACTTTGATGGAGGAAGAACTCCAAACGCTGCCAGTATAGGTAGAACCCCGGCATGGGGATCTTCTAGAAGTAAGTCTCATCGGGCTCTAATAGTAAGTTTACTAAAATCTTTTAGCTCCCGCTACGGCTATTGATCAAGGAGGACGAACGCCAGCTTGGAAGATGCCTGATTCAGGTGGACGTACGCCTGGATGGGTCGCAGATGGATCGCGGACTGTCAATCCCTACGATGGTAACCGGACCGCTTACGGCGGAGGAAATAGAACGCCGGCTTGGACTTCAGGCTCGAAGACACCAGCTTATGGGGCTCAAAATGATCCTTTCTCTACTGGATCAAGGACACCTGGATATGTTGCTGGTGACGCTTGGGGCTCTAAAACACCGGCCTATCAGGAATCCAGTAACGATTGGGCATCAAGTCAGCCAGCTGCGAATAACTCCTGGGGAACTAAAGCATACGATGCGCCGACACCAGCTGCTCATTTAGCCTCTGGTCTTGGGGGACCACAGAATGCGCCAACCCCAGGTCCATTTTCTGCGCCAACTCCTGCACCATTTTCTGCACCAACACCAGCTGCAGCTCCAACTCCCGCTCCTAATTGGGGAAGCAGTGGGTGGGGAGCCTCAAACTTGCAGGCTATAGATGCACCTACCCCTGCCCCTCAGCAAGGATACTATACGGCCCCAACACCCGGAGCATATGGCGTGCCCGAGACTCCAGCTGCAAATTGGCAGGAAGAAGTGCCACGGTATGTAGAATGAGCATAGAAATTGATATTTGGATGTATTTTACGCAAAGGCGTCAAAAGAAGGGTTTGTTCGATTTTACCAAAATGTGTGAAAATTTTGGGGAAATGGGCTTGTCTAGACTCGAACATAACTACAGGGTGACAATCCAATCTGTCTCGTGGGCTATTATGATGCGCGGGCGGGATAGTACGACTCCCTATCAAATTTTTTGTGCAAGATTTTGCACAATATTACCCTCTACCTTCTGTCAGTGGTTAAAAGGACCGGATAGTAAAAGTTGCTAAAAATTTAAAGTGCTGACTCGAAGTAGTCACAGAGCGTGTATACCTTCCCACCTTCACATATCCTGACCTATCGATTATGGGTGTTTGGGGTTCTGGTCAGTATCTTATCGGCCTTGGGTTTTGAAATTAGGTATTACTTTGTATCAAAATAAGATCGTGGTTACTGATGTAAAAATATGAGCAACTAGTTAATTATTCAATTTAATTGACATGATAATTTGATTTTGACTTAATTATCCTGATTCAGCGCCTTGTGAGTCCATGCAGGTGGCTATAGACCCATATATATATTTACGTAGGAAATCTCTCCAACTTTTTGACTTATTTCTTGCAAGATGCACTTTTTCCTTCAGGGGGTACAATTACGATCGAATACCCTCTATGTGTTCAAATCACGTCTCTTGTATCGACCCCAGTCTTGTGTCTATCCTGTCTCGTTCCCCTAGCAGCATTTCGAATGTATTTGGCAAGCGGAATTGTTCTATCCAACCATAACCAAGGATCCATTGCGTGATTCTTTTAATGTCACCAGGATTTTTATTATCTGCTTCGAAGAAGCGTTTTCGGGCTATTCTCTAGATCTCTCCTCTATCATTTGACCACCTGGGCAGGATTTTTTATTTTTTTTATTTTTAAGTCCTAAGCTATACTCAATATCTCCTAGGAGTCAAGGACCGGTGCACACGGCCAAGATCATGCTTCCCACATGCCCGACTCGGTCTTACCGCGTGACTCACTAGACAACAAGTAGCTAGTTATAATAAAGAAAATAAATGCCCGTACAAACTCCCATAACCAAAATTCCAAATCCCATACTCCTGTTTGTGGTTGGAAAATGACACTTCTCGTCTCATTTTCCCGCCCGTCATGCTTCGTGGCATGATCTAGTTACTACTGTCTACGCTGAGAGCTAGAGAAGGAGTCGCAGGTGGGCCCCCGAAGCAGCCGGTTTCCTGCGCAAGTTTTTAAAGTATTCGAGGCACTTAGGCCCGAGAAGTTTGTGGGTAAAGTCGTGATGTGACATTGTCCCTCGTAGTCGACGCGTTTGGCGTACGTGCAGTCGACAGTGAATGAAGTGGAGAGGTGATGTTTCCTCTCCACACGCACACTCCATTGAAGTTGCGAAGTTGTTGAAACGGCGGTGACATGCCGCGAAGTTTCCGTGGCCCGTACGGGCTGAGATCAGTTCACGGAGTAGCCGCCGGGAAAGTGTCTGCTCGCGTGGCTTGCGTCGTCGCATGAGGAGACCCAGATTTCGATAGCTAGGTGGACATACTTCTTCCCGCCAGTCGTCGAGAAGCGCTTGACGTTTCCGGTTCATGAGCCGACAAACGTACGCCATTGTGACGGAGACAGGCTGGCTGTCTTTGCTTGGCAGTTGTTGGAGGCCGGAGCGTGCAGCTCTATCTGCATCTTCGTTTCCCTGTATCCCGGAGTGGGCCGGTATCCACTTCACCGAGACTAGAGCCTTTTTCGATAGCGCTCCAAATTGGCCTACGTCGTCGAGGCTTGTTGTGGCAATTCCCGTTAGCAGTGCTTTCACTGCAGACTGACTATCCGTCAATACATTGATCTGCTGCCTGCCGTCTTTTCCCCCGTTCTCCCCCTCCGACAGTTCTAGCGCAGCTTCCAGGGCCTTCCTCGCCCCTAGTATTTTCGCACCAAGCATTCACCACCATGCTTGATGCTGGGCAGGATATGATCATGTGCTTGGGATTTTGTGATTGGCAGCCACACTGACAACATGGATGCTAGACTCCCGATACATTTCCGTGTAAATAAGAATTGAGCCCGATCTGCTTGCTTCGAATTAGCGTCGCTAGGCCACTTTGAGAGTGAGTGGTGCTTTTAATTGTGCTACTTGAGTCATCGATGATCTAGCACATTTCGCTCCTCTCTGGCCCAGGCCACACCTTGTACAGTGCTCTTTGTCTCTTTTGTCACTTGAAAGATCATGGACATATTGCGCATGATGAATAGCCATTCAGCTCAGTATTTGACCGTGAATTTCGGCCCTTTTCTACGGAACCTTCTACCCAAAAACAATAAAATGGTAGCAGTGGAAACTACGTGCGCGGGGAAAAGTCTCAAAAAACCTGCAGCCCCAGCCAGGCGAGGCCTAGACACCGGGACCACATGAGGTGCGCACATTCATGTATATCTTCCTTCTTTGTAACAGTTGAGGTCGACTTGATCTAATCCACCACCTCCGTATCGGGTGCTGGGTTCGCTCCGGAAACTCATCGGATGGCTTCTCCTCCATGATCAAGAGTAGGTGATGTGTGGAGCTACGACCTGACCATCTGATCTGAACGTCGTTAGCTTCATGATAATGGTGATAGGGGATGTGCTTAGGGATGAAGACGATACAGACGGCGAAAGCGGTTGGGAATTGTTGGAAAATATACTCTGTACGATATTAGATGGATAAATATGATGAAGTAAAGAAGACTTGATATTTCACAACTATGTGAACATTGGACTTATACATCTAAGGGAGAAATTCCCGCTAGTCTCGTGTGCCTGTCAAACCTAGTGATGACCAGCCACCTCTCATCTACCATGATGAGCCAAGATACACTGTAGTACGTAAATATCCAAACGTATAGGCGACAGTAGGCGCGATTAGCGTACTCGGGACATGTGTAGAGAGAGTCGATCTTGTCGGGAACCTGAGACGAAACAGGTAATGGTTGATTCCTAAATTCGAGAGTAAGAATTTCCAACAGGAATCCTCGTCGACGTGAGGACATTGCTACTCAATCTCGGCTCTGCAGACTCTACAGTGAGAGCTGGAGGTTCGTAGGGGGCACCACTGACAGGTGTGGAGAATAGTCCCCCGGCCACTTTGAGAATGGACATGATAAAATAGCAAGATTTATTGTTCCACTACAATCCAGCATATATAGGACACGTGGGTTTCCTCTTCTTGAGGGTAAATATAGCTGCAATCACGAGATAATCGATTTGTACACTGGATTAGGGTTGATTTTGGTGGATAAGCTTGAAGCAAGGAAAAAGACATGACCCCAGATACCTCTCAACTGGCGATCAGGCAGTCCCCATCCCCCGCTCTGTCCGTTGAGCCCCCGATCAATGCTTTCGAATGAATAAGTGGATATTTATTCGTGACGGGCAAAACCCTAGCACTCATAACATTGTACTTTTTTGCATCAGATTTGAATTGCGTGTGTAGCTATCTAGCTTTTTATCACGGAATAATAACAGGGGGTAGAATGATGGTTTACTATTAGCATACAAATCTTGCAGGCCTGAGTTGAGAAAGGTAACGTAATAGTGAGCTACGAGCATGTACATAATAAAGCGTAGTCTACGGTCGAATTGCCTTCTTCACGCAACGTCTTCTCAATATTATTCTCATTCTAGATATTCCATCTCTTCCTTGTGAAGACCACTTCGAGCCCGTACTCGTATCAGATCACGACGTGCCCTCTTCCTCTTCTTGTGGAAGACCTTGACCCCCTATTTACTCACGCTTGTACCCTGTGGACAAATAGCATACACACTCCTCGAGTCTTTGACATAGCATCAGAAATGAAGTACATGACAGGTTACTCAATTTAAAAGAAGAGCACTCATGCCTCGAATTTCATTTGCAAGTACCACTGCGAAGTTATGGCGGCTTTTTTTCCACCCCAAGTCAGCCCTTGCCCATGAATCCTCGCCCAGGGAAATGTCTCGAAACCCCTAAGTCACCCAGACATGCCTCCATCATTCACTGACTTGTCTCGGTGCGAAATGTGGTCTAAGGCGTCTCCTTCCCGAGTGGGGCAGGCTCCCAGACCATTTAAGCTTTACCGGAGACAAACCTCAGGAGGTGGACCGCGGCGCATTCTATCGTTGGCTTGTTTTCATAGTGTCAGCTGCACTCTCGCAATCGAAGCCTTGGTGCGCAGAAAGCTCAATTCGAAAGACTCTTGCCAAAATTCAGAGTCTCACGCCCTTCGAGGTTATACCACTCCTTTGCATCATCTTGGGAACTTGTCCTGATCTCTTTCACGTCCATCCCAAAGATCTGTCTCCCAGATTTGTGCGCTAAACTTCGTTTCCTCCGTCGGGTGTGACTGCCGGTGAGGGCGTATATTTGGTGACTGGCTGAGGCCAGAGAAAGTCGAAAAGAGGTGTGGTCATTGGAACGAGGATGTACTTGGTCGTACTTGTAAACTTGATGAAGCTTAGGTAGGAGTCGGTCTCTTTGGGAGTGAGAATTGATGTGGTGGAGTATTTTGAATTATTGCCTCGAGGACCAGCTTCTTTGATATTGCGAAATTTGACTGAACATGGCTCTGGGAGAATATTTAACTCCTAGGTTCATAGAGGACACGGCGCACAGGTGTTCAGTCTTGCCCTTCTTTAGATCAACGTGAAAAGGAGTGATAGGATTATCGTCTCGATTCATATAGGACGGTGGATATAAAAATACTGATACGACTTATCCTCAAGTCAACATGTAGGAGTGTTTGATGATTACCGAAAAGGAACCGAATAGACCGCATTGAATGATCGAATAAAGTCGAAAGGACTAATAAACTCAGTGCAGGACCCGTCATTTTCTTCCTTTCAGCTCCAGCCCCTTTTGTCTACCTAAAACATTCTCGCATCTTTCCGCTTAGCACCACATCTATATTCTACAAACAAGTCAGATCTAATTGCCACGCAATTCTGTGCGTGAACATGTGCCTATGGACCTTTGCGTGGAAAACTTGCGACATGCATTGATATGACCCTATACAATATACATATCAAGGCTACTTTTAGATGTGTGGCAAACACTGATTCGAGAACTTACTCGTACACATAATGATAGATATACCAATCAAACGTAATCCCTAAAAACCACAAGTTACAATAAAGTATTCACCAGCCTTAAAAGAATACCGGACACGCAAATTTAGATACATCAAGATAAATGAATTTCAACATCACCGACAAGTTTTCGTCAAATGGAATTCTATGAATTGATGCGTCGTTAAACAAAAGTATAAACAATTAAATTTGTTTACAGTTTCGCCTGTTCATCAAATAACTAATCTCATGCACTTCATACGACTTTGCAAATCCATTATTGGCATGCCTTCCCGAGGGCTCAGGGGCTGGAATCATCCTGCGAGCCGACTTGGCGTTAAGTGATAATAACATTAATAGTGTGTTCCCTTGCCCAGATGTTTCTCATGTTGTCCCTAGTTCCAGTTCGAGAAGAGAATTGTCGGTATCATTTTTCTGCTGTAGCTGTACGCTCCTGGACTGGTCACCCTAATTCTTCATAAATTAACTAAAAAACATTCCCGCTGTAATCTAGTACCGAAAGAGACTGGAAATAGATGAAAAAATTATAGCTGAATGGTGAAACTATTAAGGAATTAAGTTGAAAAAGTGAGTATTCGAGCTGCGGTCGTCAACGAAATACTCTAGATTAACTAGGCTGGTGAATTTGATGATATATTGCCCATATCACCTATCGCAATTTGGATAGCGCCTCACTATAAAATCGTATTCCATATTGGCCTTTTATGTCTCTATATCGAGGCTCTAAATTTAATCCCTCGTAGAATATATGGGTAAAAGGCTATGATCTCAAAATACCGATAGGTTCACAAAATTTGCTTATGAATAGACCTTGAGTGATATACGTGAAACACGGTATTATATTGCAAATCTCAATCAGAGTGCCTTATTACTACGGATGAGATTTTGTTGTGCATTAGATGATCATGTGACATGCTTCTCTCACCCTCTATACGAGTAAGTGGAGAAGGTACCTCTAGACAGCTGACGATAAGATTGTATGAAAATGATCAGAAATTTTGTGGTGACAATGTTGTTGCAGCTAGGATCATCTACTGGTATGAAATTATGAATTCGAAGACAACAATAGATATCGACGATTCTTAAATACCATCTGGACTTGAATTTTTGACTGTTGATCTAATTCTTGCTTTATGATGATATCCGCAAGATGATGGCACGTAGAGCTAACATTTAACTGGTGAGAAAGGGAGAAAATATCTCGAGCCCGACGGAGACCAGTTAATATTTCTGGATTTCGTAGTATTGCAGCTTCAGTACGAGGATAGAATTGTAACTTGTGATTGAAAGCTAGATGGTCTAGTTCCTTAGTACAGGGTAGTAGATGAAACTTGCCGCTATAAGTGCGACAGAGATAATTGCCGCATAAGAGACGGGCTGACGCCAGGGCACACACTATGATCGGTTGGATTCCAAAGGGGGTACATGAGGGCAAGCCTAGGTTCATATACTGAGGCGAAGTGCCTATCATTACTTTCAGACCAAACTTGTGATGAATGTCGATACTTCTTCACTCAGGATATAGGAATAGTGATCATCATGCCAGAAATGGCTTGCGCCCGTAACCTCAACATACCGAAACTGGCTGCCACCCTGTGCTATATCGGCTTCAGCGAGCGATGTAGCCCAACGCCGCAATTGCTTTATGCCAACAAATATATCATTATCGCCATAAATAGCAAGGGTGGGGTTAGTTTGGAGCTTTAAGTCGGTAGGAGAAGTTGGAGACGAGTAAGACCAGTTTCGAAGAGTCCATAGGGTGAGGAAGTCCCGGACTATGCCATGCAAGGGCGAGATGAGGAGATAAGCTACGCGTCTATTGAGGTCTACTGGCGAAACGGCTATCGGAGTCTCCCGAGTCTCAAGTAGATCTTGACCACGGGCCGCAGCCGATAGGTGTCCGTTCTTGCGTGATCGTAGGGCTAGGGTCTCAGCGCATCTGCGGATCTTAGAGCACACAGAATCTGGCTCAGGGGATTCGAAAGGTGCCAGAATCAGTTCTAACGATGAGGGGAGCGCCATAGTTATGAGAGCACCGTAGGAATACCCGGCGAGTAGGAGAAGCGACTGGAATGGCGACGGTTCAAGATGTTGCGAGAGTCTATTTGTCTCACTAAGCTCGTTCAGGCTGCCACACGATGAAACATGATGCGATGTAGATGGTAAGCAGTCTTGAGTTAATAGACGCCTGAGGTGATGCAGGTAGTAGAGAAAGAAAGCGATAAAGGATTGGTAATCTTCTCTTTCGGCCTTGCCCTGCCATGAAGTTCGACCTTGAGAGCAACCGGCGCCCCTGAAACCTTGTGAGCAGAGCCTCCAATTGATACGCCGCTCGAGGTAGTAGGACATACCTAAAATTAAAGACCCCTACGATTAATCCATCTGTGAGACAGGCTGACACAATCAACTGGACGACTGAATCGTCCATGCTTCCGCCGAGTGGAGCGTACGGGTGAGCGACTATTACCGCACAACATCTCCCGGCAGAGCTCCCGCCTTTATCGAGCGGGTGATATATCCGACACTCTAACAGTGACCCGTCATGTTGGGATGGGATGCTGAACTTCAAAGTTGCCTCGATCATTGTAGTTTAGTTTTATTTTCCAGAAGCATATTATATCCAATCGCGCTTTAGTCGGTCCAAAGGGCCTAGCTAATTTGATTATGTTCAAACTTCTGTAAGGCTCATTTGATTTCATCCAAGCATACCTCGTGCCCGTGCACCGCTCCCGAAATGGGCCACGTGATGTGGAGTACAGCTCTACGGATATAAATCCCTGCAGTTGCGTATGTTGCCCAGCACTTAGTAATCAGAGAATTGGATGTCAGGAATTGAGGTAGTGGACAGGCTGGCTCGAACAGAGCTCAACTCGCCAGATAGCGCCAGGACGACGAATGACAGAATGACTCTTGCTTCGTCAGGACGCCATGCTCGCAAACTGGCCAGTTAAATGCTGACGGACTGGTCGCTCTCAAACCGCCCCAAACGATACGTCAACCTCGAACTCGAGATGAGGCGCAAGAAGTCGCCAAAACCAGCGCTCCAGAGGGCAGTCTACACTCACCTGCTCGCCGCTCAAAATGGACGTGGTGACTTCGCTGCGTACCACCGCCGTTTCAATCATACAATAGCCACACTTTACTCGGAGTGTGGTAGAGAAAACTCAATCGGTCACCTTGTTTAGTATTAGAAAAGTACTGGCGACATGGCGACTGAAAAGCGGAAGACGGAGTGCACCTTCGCTAGAGGTGCTGCTCTGACCAAGAGGATGACAGCTGTTCAGGGACTACATCCAGAACTGTGGAATATACGCAGTGGCTAGTCTGGGGATGGCGGGCATATCTTCAACTCAGAGGTCATAGACAGAAGGCCTAGGTGGTATGGCATGGAAAGAGGGATTGGAATCGAGGCTCGGGCGCATAGTGGCTGGGCCAGGACGATGGAAGGGAGATTTTTAAAGTTTTTCTTTTGTAATGCGGAATTTCGCGTGGAAGTTTTCGTTTGCTTTGATTTTGGGCTGCTGCACTCGCCACGGTTCAACACAGATGCACTACGACATTGTTCCGATCTTTTTTTGTTATTATTTAATGTGTATTCAGCTATCTAACTATGACACATGACCGGTACTATGTTTACATGTTGGATGACTCTTTTGACGTTTGAGACACTCATACTCTAGATTTCATTCGCAAATACCACTGAGGTATGCTTGCTTACACAAACAGTCAACTCTCCTCCGTAAGTACTCACCAAAGGAAAGTTAAAAACCTTTGATTATCCAAGCAAGCCTTTTTCATCCATGCATGCTTGTACTGTGAGAAAAGTGATTGTGTTTTGCCGGATTCGAAGCAGCGATCTACTGTCTCGAGTGGGATAAGTGTCTAAGCTATCCAGACTCTACTTGGAAGACCGGCCAAGACGATGTACCACAGCACCATCCATGTTACGGCGTGCGCTAAGAATACTGGTAATCGCCGTCCGCCGAAGGTAATGTCTTAATGACTTTTAGGATTACAGCTGCTAACAGAGGATACTCGGATATAATTCAACTGGCGAGATACTAGGTGTTCAAAGGTTGTAGAACTGCAGGATAGTCGATAGACACGAAATCAAGAAGTTGAGTTGCGGAGCAAGCGAACAAGTCTGATAACTTAGATTTCAAAGAGGTACGAAGAATGCAGCGAAAAGTGAAAGACTGAGAATATCGGACTGTGAGAATGTAGGATTATAGTATTACATAAATGCTAGATTGCGAGATTCAAGGCCAAAAGAATGAGAGATTGAGGAGTTGGAGAGCTACCATGTGGCAGCTCCAGCTTCCTTAAGTTTAACTCGAGACAGTACTAGAACTCAACTAAGGCTATAGCAGATGTAGTCATGACGCCAGCCCCTCCATATCTAACTCTCGGAGTTTTCTCTGAAACCTTCTCAGTAAACCTTCTCCAATCACCTTTTCCCCGAGAACCTTCTCCCTGAAACCTCTTTAAGGACGCCTGGGCATTATAATTCAACCATGGCGGTCTTTATAGTGTCAGCTGCACCCTCGCAACTGGGGTCTTAGCGCAAGCACAAAGCTCAATTTATAAAACGCATCATCAAAATTCCAAATCTCCACGCCTGTCGAGACTGTATCCATCCTCTGCATCATCTTGTGAACTTGTCCCGAATCCTCTCTCGCCCATCCCAAAGAACTATCTCCCAGATTTGTGCACCGCGCTTAGCTTCCTCCGTCGGGCGTAAATATCGGCGTGGGCGTGTATTTTGTGACCAGCTGAGGCCAGAGAAAGTCGACAAGAGGTGTGGTCATTGGAACGAGGATGTACTTGGTCGCACTTGTAAACTTGATGAAGCTTAGGTAGGAGTCGGTCTCTTTGGGAGTGAGAATTGATGTGGTGGAGTATTTTGAATCATTGCCTCGAGGACCAGCTTCTTTGATGTTGCGAAATTTGACTGAACTTGGCTCTGGGAGAATATTTAACTCCTAGGTTCATAGAGGACACGGCGCACAGATGTTCAGTCATTGCCCTCCGATGAAAACAATAGGGACCACGAGACATGTTGGAAGTAGTGCGATTCTTCTCAGGTATCCTAGATGTGCAGAACATGCTGAGCACTTACACCGATACCGCCGGTCGGTGACGAATTTGGCTTTGTCGGCTTGCTCGCTAGGGCTGTTTGCATTTTTGGGAAACCTGGGCTAAAGCTCCAGGTCCATTATGGGTACCGGACTGGTGGAGCCGGCAGGGATCCCCGTAATTTTCCCATTGCCCAACTCATACCTATCGCATGGGCTTCGCCAAAGAGAAAAGTTAACAGCAAAACTAAAATCAAAATTAGAAGGATAGCTTTGGTGGTCTAGATGCCGCGCTCCTCGTCCCTTTCTTTTCCCGTCACACCTACCAAGTGACAAATTCTGATCTGCGCTGAGGACGAAAATGAGTTCGTAATTAGCTCTTTAGTTCGGTCGAATTCCTGCTCTATGATTCTGGTGTCTTGGAAGAATTGTGTTAGGCAAAGTTATACAAGTGTGAATCTCTCTGAGTTGATTGAATTGATTGTCCTCCACCATGAGGAATCTATCTAGGTATTCTATACATCTTGAGCATTCTACTGATTCCAAATATAGACTAACTATTAGGTTGCCCATGCGCCGACACAAACATTGACCCGGCTATGTGCTGAACCAATAGAACGAATGAAACACTAAGGGAGTTTTGTCAAGGAAATTGGCCATCCGTCTAGTCGCTAGTTGTAACACTTACATGACTAAGTTATTGCCCTTGATGCATCAGCCTCGTATACTTAATTGTGAACTACTCAACTTTAACATCGTGATACGATATGTAAAATTAGGGTAATCTGGTTGACAAATTGACATTGCTCACCAGGCACTGATCTTGCAATTTACGCATGTGAATTCACACATTCTAGCCTGGGTTCGGATTACATAAGAAGGCGTGATCCCTGACAGCGCCTTTTTATTAATTTCAAGTTCTAGATCGTGACTTATTATCTATTTAGGTGTAGGACCGGTGGAGCCTGACGAGGTTCAACCTTCAGACTTACCCTGCTCCTTCACGCTCATTTCAGAGCTAATAAATATTGAGCTCATTGTACAAATAATGCAATAAACAAATAAAACTAATAAATAAAGGACACAGTTTTTGGTGTTGAGTCAGCATTCTTGATCCTAAGTTGTCTTCCGCCGGTCTTATAGTCCTGGTGTTTATCCCAAAACCCGTCCTTGCATTCAGCACATGACTAGGATGCGTCTTGTCTACCGAGGCATCCTACAACCAATGCAAAATTTTAGACCTCTCTAACCTTTCATGTCCGAAGAGTTGCCTAGTAAAGCATCTAAGCTAGTGTCTTCTCTTAGTTTGCGCGTCAGAGTATTGTATCTCTGACAGCGTGTAAAGTGGTTTGGCGTCTATTCTAAGCCAAAAGTACAATCCAGGTTTGCATCTTCATGCTTAAAGCGACGATTTTACACCGCAAAATCCCCATGTCCTGATCTCGTAGCAATCAGTTCGTGCATAATCTCTGAGGGAACGATAGCTCGGGGGATTTACGTCGTCGCGTTTGCAGGTCCAAGTCTTGGTATCTAGCTGGACTATCAGTCGACCACCATTTATCTGTCAGTTCTTGTCTTCGACTTTGCATGAGACGCCGAAGGTAAGCTAGGCTGGTACAATAAGGTTGCCTCTGGCTATCCGGAAACAATATTAGTGTGACCCGAGCTTCTTTTTCTACCTCCACATTCCCCTCTATATTCAAATATCCTTGGCTAATCTTATTTCTTCATTGTCTCTTTGTACAGAATCCTGGAAGATGCGAATTGAGCGATAGTGGAGGAGGAATTTTCTATCTACAACGCCCTAACAGCTGCTTGGTTGTCGGGTAGCACGGTTATCTTTTCCCTTCCTTGTCTCGAAAAAAATGCGGTTCTACGAACCGCTATTATACCGAAAATCTCGGCGTCAAAGGTTTCGCATCCATGTAGCTAGCCCCACTCCTTCTTGAAGGTAATTCCTCCTCTTTAAAGCATTTATCCCCTAGCTAACCAACCGTGGCCTTCATAAGGACTTTTCCGTACGAGCGCATATCTCAGATGGAGTGACCGTCCGAGTCCATTTTTGGTACTCCTCCACTCCTTCCAGATTTGATCCTGAATCTCTCCAGTATGATGGCCCAGGAAGTGGTTCGGCATTCTCCGCTGGAGGTAGTTGGCAATAATCCCGTTGAACGCAAGACATCTGGATCTCGGGTCGCGAAGATTATTTTTATCTTTTATATTTGGTCATCCCTTTGTTCGGGCACATGCTTACATGAATACTTAGGTGATGGTGATATCGAGAGATTGCAACCTTACAGAAAGTCTTAGGCGGTTGCATTCCAAGAGGAATCGGGCTGGTGAAATGCCCCCCTTCCCTGTGAAGCTCAGCGTTGGGTATGATTCTCCACGCTTGAAGTGCTGCTCTCAAGACTGAAATTAAGGCCCTGTCAATCAAATTACAGAGACACATCATCTGAGTAGTCACTAGCCTCCGTCTTTCCGGCTGTATCATACCGGGCCACCACATATCTGCGCTAAATAACGCAGCTGAAACTACACACACTTCCATGGAAGTGACCAACAGTCCTGGAGCTGCATACCGCTTGACTGAGTTTCATCGTCGCAGATGTTGGGCGACCTTGAGTGCTTTCCCATTCCATATTTCCACGTAATTTTTATGAGTCTCTTGGCGAGATACACTCCTAGCCGTCGAATATATTCAGCTAGCTCAATAACGCTGTCATTTATTTGTATTTCTACTGAGTTTTCTTGGCTAATTCGCGAGAGCTGAAAGACTTCCGACTTCTCAGTTTCAAAAGAGATGACATTTTCCTATGTCCATTCTCCTAATTTGTTCACCTCCTGCCGAGCCAAAGCAGCTAACTCCGCAACTGTACGGCCGATTCCTAAAATTTCAATATTATTGGCGTAGCTGAAGCGTGCTCTAGAATTTCACCGTGCAAAGACTCTGCCATGTAGAGTAAGAATAGGATTGGTGAAATTGGGAAGCCCTGCGGCACACCGCATACGAGTTTTTCATTGCTTGTAATACCTCCTGGATAGCATACTTGCATGCTGCTCCCTGTGAGGACAGAGGTATTCCACCGAAGACTTGAATTAGGCCAGATTTGAGCTTGCATCTGCCATACAAGTCAATTTTGTAGAACCGCATCAAAAGCCCCCTGCACATCTAAAGTGACAAAGGTTGATTCCCAACCCTGCATCCGTGCTTCTTTCATATTACGCACCACATGACATAAGATCTATCGCCGGCCGTTTGGTTAGAGCTTCAAATTGTTGAGGGCCTACAACACTTGAGGCCACTGCGAGGTGTGACATTCTTTTGGCCATGTTCTCTCTAGCCCTTTTCCGAGACACGAAAGGAGTGTGATAGGCCTCCACTCTTTCACGTATGAAGGGTTCCTGCCTGATTTGGGTAAGATAAAACTTCTGTCAACTTGATATGGGAAGAATGATGCCCAAATTGTATGCAAGCGAGAAAAAAATGCGCGTCATAAGCTCAAAAATGAATCCGTTAGTACGCAAGGAGCTATGCAGAGATTCCATCGACTCCAGGACAAGATATAGCTTCACCTCCTGTACAGCTTTGGACTTCAGTCTCGGATATTTCCTTCTTTTTTGGAATCCGGGCTTCTCCAGGTTGCTTATAAGGATTTAGATCATCGGTGACTTAGCATCTTGAAAGAAGGCTGTCAGCACCATTGCCAAAGTTCAAGACCATTATACTTTACATCTCAGCACCTATCGTTTACCAAAGTCTTCACCCTTGCCGCTAAAATCAATCGCAGACTAGTGCGTCTGTGTGCCAAGTTTTTCCAACCAAACTTGCCTATCATTTCCCTCAATGGTGCGAAATTCCAAAAGATACTACGTGCCAGAGGAATAACGTGGCGGATTGGGTAGATGCTTTTGTGATGGAGACATTTTTCGTTCATGGGCGTTCAGGTATGGCATAGCCAGTATAAGCCGGATCAGTGTTAAATGCTTTAAAAAAACATCTTCCGCAGGCATGAATGGAGACGGAGAAGTGTAGAAAACACATCTCATTATGCAATCTACTAATATATAGTGAAAGGTAGTAATAGTACATGATAGCTGAAAATGAGGCAGGAGGGTACATATTATCCGAGGTAATAGTATCCTTGTCCAATCTGGTAAAAGACCTACATGTCCTAAACAGTCATAAGCTGAGAAAGGGTAATAGTTGAAAAATGACATGATTCTAATGTATTCTAGCATAGATCATCCCATGTCGGAGCCTTTAATACATAGCGCTTACTATTGCGCCTTTTGATTTACAGATTCTTCGCAAATATGGAATCTCGACTTTTTGCTTACATTAAATACTCTTCTAGTCGCAATTTATTCCAAGTTGCCAAGCCCTAGATTTTCCTCTGCTTTAATCACTCGAAGTGTGTTGGTATTACCCATTCCACCTTTCCATCCCTGGACCACGACTACAGTCTCACCCTCTGCTAAGACCTTGAGTTTCATGGCTTCCACTATAGCCCATCTGATTCGGCGATCAACATCTTCCTGCCAGTTGACGTGGGAGAAGTCTGGCTTTACCTCAGGAAAGAGGAAGGGATAGACTCCACGATACAAATGACCGTATCGAGAGGCGTTAGCGTTCCGAGTGACCATAAATATAGGGCAAACTGGTCTATACTTCGAGAGTAGACGAGCGCTCAAACCGCTTGTCGAAAGCACAATGATTGCACCCGCGTTCATATCAAGAGAAGCTCGCACAGCAGCCATTGCGCACGATTCAGTGATGCTGACAGGTCGGTCAACTAGGCTACATAGCTCCTCAAAGTGGGAGACATATGCAATCGAGTTCTCAGCCTTCAAGCATGTTTCATGCATTTCACTGACGGCTTCGTTTGGGTAGTTACCTTTGGCAGTTTCTCCTGATAGCATGACACAGTCAGCACCATCGCTGACAGCATTTCCAACGTCGCTAATTTCAGCACGGGTTGGACGTGGGTTGTAAATCATGGACTCGAGCATTTGCGTCGCGCATATAACTGGCTTTCCGGCAATGTTGCACATGGCAATCACCTTCTTTTGTGCTGCGAAAACTTCTGCAGCTGGTATCTCGATACCCAAGTCACCTCTGGCAACCATAACACCGTCAGTCTCCTTGAGGATTTCAGCAAAATTGTTAAGACCCTGTCTGTTCTCAATTTTGGCAATAATTTGAATATGTTTTCCTTCTTCGCCGAGAATTTCGCGAATATGCTTAATATCCTCGCCACGTCGAATGAAAGAAGCAAAGATCATATCGACATTATTCTTCACACCAAATCGAAGGTCGGCCTGATCTTTCTCAGATAAAGCGGGGAGGTCGACATCAGTGTTAGGTAGGTTAACACCTTTTTTAGAGGATATCTTGCCGTTATTACGGCATCGGACATGAATAGTTTGTTCATCAACGATCTTTAAAACGTCAAACGCAAGAACTCCATCATCGACATAAATAATACGGCCGGGCTCAATAACTTTGGTTATGTTCTTGTAGTCAACGTACCTAGAGTTTTGTCAGTCCCCTCATACATTAGTGTAGATACTACAATTAGGATATGCGTACATATTTTTATCATCGCAAATACTGGCATATTTCTCATCGGTTGTGAAGTTCATTTCTGTGCCAGCAGCAATGGGGATATCCACATCATCTACGGTATTTCCTGTTCGGATCTCTGGACCCTTGGTGTCTAAGGCAATAGCAACCTGGCGTCCTTTTTGAACCCTTTCAGCTTCTCGTGTGTTATCAATGACAGACTGATGGTATTCATAAGATCCATGGGAGAAGTTCATCCGAACAACATTTAGTCCAGCTTTCCGGAGTTTATTCAAGGCTTCTACATTATTTGTTTTTGGACCAATCGTGCAGATGATGGATGTACGCCGATAGTTCTTAGTAGGAGTGAATTCGGTATTCAGGTTAGATAGCCATTGAATTCGAGTAGAGCTTCCAAGGTGGTCCATTGCTGATGCCATCTGTGATGCGTTTGTCAATTTCAAAGCCTCACGAAGCACAAAAGGATATCGAATTGTGTTAGATGATAAAATTTCTATTGATAAGGTAGTAAGCAAGGATAGTTTTGTTAGGCTTTATGTAAGAGATTATCTTGCGTGTCCCAACGGAATTTTGGGGGAGGGGTAAGACTGACAAGTGGGCACCAGATATCACAATTTAAATCGGAGATATGGCACAACGAGTATTCTTTGTGGAAGGATTGTCTGAAATTAATGAAATGCGGAGAATTGTTTGATGACTTTATACTCGCAAGGAAATCAGTCGCCCGTGACTAACGCAACCAAGATACAGTATGTGTTCAGAACCACAGTTTCCCTTACAGCCAAATATGTCTTGGCACTCGAGCTGTTAGCGGCCTCAGGTCTTAACGACTGCGAAACGCTGGGTTGTGACTTAATGTGCGGCAACTGAGCGTCTCCTCTGACCATCGCATTTACCTCTTTCCTCACCCGGCCCCCCCCGGCGCAATACACAAATTTCCACAAAGCGTGATCTCCCCGAGCGAAACTTGGCGTTTGAGAAAAAGCAGAGGTCGAAGTGTTAATTTGCAGACGATTCTTGGTAAACACCGAGCGGAACATCATCAGTCACAAGAGCGCGCATATCCTTTTTCTCAAAGCAGCGAACAGCATCATGGTCAGTAGGCCTCACACCGAGTCACTCCTCAATCAAATTTGAATCCACTTAGCTCCTTCGTGTACTAACTCGGGCATTCTCGCGGAAAGATTGGAAAGTTGACCCACTATGCATTTGATGCGGTTCTGAGTAGGTATTCACAGCCTTCGAATCACTCACTCATACTTATCTTCTGCACCTAGTTTCGACTATTCTGGCCGGCGTCAAAAGGTCTACTGGCTTAACGTATGTTAGCTTTCCTTAGATTTTCCCCACACCTCTGAAGCCCAACGTGTATTCGCGAGCGCCAAATCGCCTCTCCTGCTCCTTTCGATAGAAGATATAAGCTGATGACGACCAATTCTGGAGATTAAATCCTAGTCTCAAAAAAGATACATTCAGTACCAGTAGTGACATGAGCGGTTGGATCGAAAAGTATCTTGGAGTTGGAGAGTGGGTCATGGATCAATCGGTGGCAATCGCAGGATCTAGCGGTTGGTTTGAGAGAAAGCGCTAGAGCAGATGCAACAAATCCGTGGTTGTAAACATGCAAATGGTATCGATAGAGCACATCAGTGAGAAAAGGCGCAAGACAAAGTGAACACGATCGTTTACAAGAGCTAGATAAAACACAAGTTAGTTCAACGCTGCTAGACTGAGGGCCTGGAGAGAGGATGATAGATTGCACCACTTCATGATACATGAGAAGCTAAATTTCACATAACAATTCCCAAATCCAAATGACTTCGAGAAGGAGTTTTGTTACCAAGTATCATGAAGACTCAGAACCATCGGGTTTTAGTTAGTATCACAGAGCTGTGATTGTGCCCCTGCAACCACAACTGACCGACAAAGCGAAGTTGAAGCTCACTTGCGGACCTCGATCATCCGAACCCCTTGGAATCCAAACTAGTAACTTTGTGCAGAACATTGTCGATCAGTCTCGCGAGTCCATTTCACCTCTGACCTCACCTGCACCTGAGCATGACGTGACCTGCCTGTATCCTCTCCGCCAGGGCCCGCTAGTCGCTAACCCTGTATCCAGGGTCAAACGTCTTAGCTACGACGACGAAAGGGCCGACACGCGTCATTTTCCCCATCCCACGCCTCGACATACGGCCCGCTGCTTGAGCGGGTGCACAAAGAGATTAACACCCACGTGCATTGCCCTGAGGTAACTATGAAAGAGCATTAACAACAGATGACTGAGGCTGCATATCATGAGGTTCGTTAGACAGACGACATCCATGTATAGTATAATATTCGAGCGCAGGATGATAAAATCCTGGCTTTCATTCGCTTGGTTGGGTCTATGTAGGCGTCAACACGTCGGTTAGTTTAATTAAGACTGGTCTAACCGGTACGTGAAAAGATCACGTGCTGTGCGCGGGCATGACATTAAACATTATAAATAAACAGATCACTGAGGAGGTGCTATGGGCAAAGACCACAGGGAGTAAGTAGGCCGTGGTAGGGGACTGGTGGACGAAGGTGCAGAACTAGTGCACCCCATCTAAGATAGTTAGTAGTTTACACACGTCTATTATAGTAGACACACATTGTTAAGCCAAGTCTCTTTTTCTCGGCGCCTTCTAGCACCGGATCATCCCATTTCGCCGCCCCGACCCTCGGGTCCATCTCCGGAAGGCTCTGCCGGAGTCTCAGACTCTAGAATGAAACCTGGCTTAGAGCGCAGGTCATCATGCGTCGGAGTGAGCGTGCCCCTTGTCTCTCGCATCTCTCCTATTTCCAGGCCCGGAATTTTCGAGAATATATCACCAGCTTGGCGAATAGCGGCGATTTCAGCACTAATAGCACAGATTAAGAGGTTCCAACCCTGATCTTCAGCCATGCGAAGTCCATCTTCGAGGCGCTCTGTCACCTCGCTCAAACGCGCGAGCGGTTCGGCACAGTTATGTGGTCCCTTACTATTACCACTGGCGGCCTGACATTCAAGATGGGTACGGAGGGCATCTTCTAATTCTGTGATATGCACAATAATTGTCTCCCACATTTCGGCGCCTGACTCTAGTGCCTTATGTTCCATATCGGCCCGGGCCCGTCGCTGCTCTAGCTGCTTTACTTCACTTTGCCACCAGTCCTGGGCCATTTCAAGCGTACGCCGGCTCGGCGGCATTGACATAAAGTCGGTTTGGTCAGTCCGGCGGCTTATAGTGGTCAAAGGTGGTGGAGCACATAAGAATTCTTGGATTTCGTCTTCTAGCTCGCGCAGAGCGCCGCGATAGCTGCTCAGATGAGCCTCTCTCTGGTTGACGCATGCTTGAATACGCTCAGTGAGCCAGCACTGACGATTTTCCATCTGCGATAAGTGCGCCCGGATCTCCTGAATTTCCTGTGCTATTAGGGTTTCTTCGTATTGAAGCTGCTTGAGCTCATCACCAGATGGCTGCTCCGGAGAATCCACACAGTCACGACCTTCGTTGCTCTCCAGGAGCCGGCGGAGACCAACTTTTTTGGTTTCCCAGCCCGTGAGCTGTCTCAAAATTATCTGGCGCTGCTCTATTTCTTTGTCAAGCACTGAAGCTTCACTATCCTTTAGACAAATAAGCTGAGTCATTTGGCTCAACAAGCCTTGTCTCGCATCTTGGAGACCCAAAGGCTGTTGGACTGGCTGACGCACTGGCCGAGTTCTCTTGGGAAAACGATGTTTCTTGTGTTGATTTTCACTATCACTTGCTGGCCACTTAGTCTTGTCTTCATTTTGAGTCGCCATAAGACAGGCTGCTTGTATATCCAGAAGCTCCTGTAGTGTTATCTGTATGGCTCGCTCTTGCCGCTCCAGAATGCGTAATGAATCTAGAGTTGAGACATGCATTTTTGTGTTAATGCCAGCGCCTGAATTTTGCAGGCTACTTGTGGTAACAGTAGTATGGTTGCGCTGGCTGGTAATTATTGGTGCGATATAGTCTACTGGTCGGGGTCGGGCGTGATTAAAAGCGTTTGGCGCATGGAACTGTCGGTAGAATGATGGCGGCGGAGACACCGCCACAGAACGTTTATCGCGGGTGGATGAGATTGATCCGACTTTTTTGATAGAATTATCGGCGGGTAATGATTGCATTATGTGAGGCGACTGAAGTGTTGTCTACGTGTAGAAGATAATATTCTGGAGGCTACGCGATCTTGATGTCCACGAGTTCGATGAGTTAGGTCTGAGCGTAAACCCCGCCATCTTGAGAATATGATGAACTAAGAAGTCTCAGACCATTCGCTGTATCTAGCCTCATTAGCTAGGGACCCTTTTGACCGTTAATCCTCCCATGTGAGCAGCATCGCTTGCAAAATTTGCAGAAGGGAGCCTCTTACGCCTATTACTTCTGACCAAAAAGTGCAAGTTATAAATGTTTATTCGGGTCAATTGACCTACTTTAGGGATAAGATTACTTTTTCATAGCTACGACTTGAAGTAGGCTACATGCATGACGGCATCTTCTATTTTTCGTTGTTGGATCCATCCGTTATTGTCATCGACTCCGCTTCTTATATTTAGTACGTCAGGGGTCATCAGATGAAATGACATTTATTCTGCGGCTGATCGCGGACTTTTCCATTTTTATTTTCTGTGCTCAAATCTACATAATGACCCGGTGCAGCTATCTTCACATTGACCTTAAACGGAGGTAATACCAATCTTCCACAGTGACTTCCGTTTGGTCACCCCTAACTCCATTAGATACCCCTAAGGTCCTCTTGTTACGAAATCCCCTCAATATTATCCCACGTCCTTTCTCATTAACTCCATTCATCCGGTGTATATGCTCTACTATGTTCCTAAGAGCGCTCTCCTCTTAACCTTCGGGCTAGCTGAATATCTTTCTGTGGAGTGTGAGCTACATATCTTTATCCCGTGAGGTTTACATACGGATTGAATGGTCACACGCTTAGCATGAATAGCACATAAATTGGTATCTTCAAAGAGTGATACTAAGTAGGCTTCAACTGATTCTTGAAGGGCACCTATTGCGGATGACTGAAATCGCAAGTCGGATTTGAAGTCCTGGGCGATTTCTCTGACGAGTCGTTGGAAAGGTAGTTTTCGAATGAGGAGTTCAGTGGATTTTTGATATCTCCTGATTTCACGTAGGGCAACAGTACCAGGCTTGTATCCTGTTCATCTTTTTAACAATCGTTCGTATTCTTCCTTTGAAAACTTACTGTGAGGTTTCTTTACACCACCGGTAGATGGGGCGCTCTTTCGTGCTGATTTTGTCAGCGTTTAACTAGCACCTTGCGGGCATTGTAGCTCACCAGCCTTTGAAGCGAGCTGCTTTCGTGGAGCTTTTCCTCCAGTAGACTGTAGTTGTTAGACGTGTTCCCGAGTTGTGGAAGTCTACCTTACTTTTCTAGCTGTCTGCTTAGTACGAGCCATGGCTGTTTACTTAAAAATGTGAGTTAGTTTAAGTTGTTGTGATCTGTGGACGTGTGTGGATAGAGTTTTGTTGTGATTATGGTTAGTGGGAGATAGTGCTCAAAGGAACACGGCCGATTAAGTACAACAAATCGCGTTAGCGAGTGATCGCGGGTGATTTATTTTGGCGAATGCGCATTGAACCACTTGAGATACATGTAACCAATCATGGTACACTTACGTAAAGTTCTATTTTTGTTATGTGACCACCTTTCATACCGACTAGATACTTATAACCACCATTTCAATATTTTCTATTATGGATCTTACGTTGAAATTATTATTTGAATATACAATGAACGATACAACACTTGAATTTTCTAGCGAATGCTTAGTCATGGTTAAAAGTCTTTTTGCAGCCTTGATAAATCACTCAGGAAAATTGAAAACGAAATTTGTTGTTTCCAAATTAGGATTAGCGTGATATCCTTGTCGGTGATTCCTGGTGCCACAGATACGGTGATTTGTAGCTACTTATCACTCTGACAACAATAGCTGTCGCACTTACATTATTAAATAACTACGCCTGGTTTCCCTTCAAACCTATCAATTCATCTCCAGTAGCAAACCCTACATTCACAATCACCATCATTAACTCAACTTAACTCGAAAATGACAGGACGTAAGTTTTTCTCTCATAAAATTATCACAATATTAACATTGGATTAGGTGGAAAAGGAGGCAAAGGGCTCGGAAAGGGTGGTGCGAAAAGACATAGAAAAATCCTACGGGACAATATTCAAGGAATAACTAAACCTGCCATACGCCGTCTGGCACGCAGAGGAGGCGTCAAGCGTATTTCAGCTAGTAAGGTGATTTCTTCCTTCGACCGCACAAAGCTAACGGTGATAGTGATATATGAAGAAACCCGTGGAGTCCTCAAAACTTTCCTCGAGGGGGTTATTAGAGATGCTGTGACTTACACTGAGCATGCCAAGAGGAAGACAGTCACAAGTTTAGATGTTGTCTACGCGCTAAAGAGGCAAGGGAGAACCCTATACGGGTTTGGAGGTTAACTTAGTTGGAAGACCAAAACACACCGTGCGATGTGAAATGAGGAGGAGTTATAGGGCGAGGAAGGGTAGCAAATTTGGAGTTATGGGAATCTCGCGATGGAACAATAATTTTATTAGTATCTGTAGCAATGAAAGGTAGACAGAAATCATTATAGGACAAAGATGAACTGATGTGATCATTTAGGGTAACGCATGCAAACTAAGCAGTCGTAGTCCTCCCGTACACAGTTCCTTTTATCAAACCAAGGCGGTAGAAAGTGAACTGTCCTGAATATCTTTTTCCACCCTCGCACGTAAGCCTATTCAGTAGATATACGCAAAACTGGTATCGCATCATCTAAATTGTAGAACGTGTGACACATTGCATTGCCAAAGCCTATGACTTAAGTCGCTGAACTGAAATCATGTTGATACGAAATAAACAACACAGGTCCACTGTAACCCTTAACTGTATCCCGTCCGAAACCCGACATTTCACGAAAATTCGTGTCATAATATTTGGAAACGAGCTTACAAATACAATAGAACCTACTTTGATTCACAGAATTCTGTAGCATCTTGTTTATTGACCTCACCGAATGCTTAAGAACAACGTCTAGAGCTTGTCTCAATTTGATCATGAAAGGAGTTACAAATTCTCTGGATTTTGAGAAAATTTTCGGCTGCCATTTATCCTCAATAAGTTGAATAAATTAATTCATCCAATCTATTTTTTATTTATCCACAGTATATCACATATTATCCTGATCCATATCATTGTTATTCTATTCACAAATCGCGCCCTCATTCTTTGAGCCGCCTTACTCATCAAACCCATACCTATTTTTCAACAGATTATGAACCCAAGTTAGCTCACCTCACATCGAAGTTGAAGCTTTACTTCTTTGTCGGATATTATCGGGAAGTTCGTAGTGAATCATTTTTGGAGTTTTTGTTTATATTTTTACAGGGGACTTAGCAACAGCTAAAGAATGACGGCCGATCTACTTTCTCTTGTGCCTGGGGATGGGACTACAACAAATTGTAGCGAAGAGAATGGTGTGGCTGGCAATTAAACACCGCGTCATGCCACAGCAATTTTTTGGCACAATCCCGGGTCTCTCCGCAGTAGACCTTGTCCCATGTGTTATACATGATAAAGAGGCAACAATGCGGAATAAAGAGGTAACAGCAACAGTCACTTTAGACGTGCAGGGCGAATTTGATGCGATCCTTCACAAACGTCAATTACACCGTATGCGGAATTAGGGCTGGCCTAGGTCACTCTGCCAGTGGGTCTAGTTTCTCTTGATACGAAAAAGGTTACGTGTTCGCTACTAGGATGGGCTGACCCGAGATAAATTCGAAGAGTGTAGAGTCCTGCAAGGCTAACCGTTATCACCACTTATGTTCCTTCTATACATAGCTGTCGTAGTAAGAGATGGTAATAAGGGCAACAGGTTTGGATATGCCGATGATATCGCAATACTTAGCATAGGAATCACAGCAATCGAAGCGGTGGAAAATGCTCAAGCAGAAGTAAGGAAGCTTTTGCAGCTTATAAACGACCATGAAATAAGCTTCGACTTGGCTAAGTCCGACTTATTGGTCCTCGGAGGAGAGACCAAAAAAATATTGGACACTGCAGACCTAGTCATCTAGAACCAAGGCCACAGGATAATTCCCTCTCTGCATATAAAGTAGCTTGGGGTTTGGATAGACTCTCAAATCAACTTCAAGCAGTATGTACAAGAGTACTGCGGGAAAGCTCAACGCTTGACAAAATCATACACCGAATAAACACCGTTAAATGGGGCGCAGATCCGGGACCGATGATCAGGTTAGTGTAGGCGTATATTATCAGTACGGCGCTGTACGGAGCAGAAGCATAGTGGCCGGGGCTGACCCGGACTACCACTCAGCGAGGGAAGAAAGCTGGCACAGGAGTCGGTTGGCATACTGATCTCCTAGACAACACAATTATCAAAGTAATCCGCGGAGCATTACCAGCATCGCGAACCAACCCAAGCAGGGCTCTACATAGAGAGTCAGGCATCCCACCGGCAGCAATCATGCTCCAGCAAAGGCAACTGAAAGCCGCGGCGCGAATACAGCGAATGGATATGTGGCACTCTCTCGTAAATAGATTACGATGGGGAACAAAGGAAACTATAAACCGATTAGGACTGCACACAGGACAGAAATGCCAGGCTCTCATGAACCCAGTGCGATACCTCACACCATTGCAGACCGGTATGCGAAATGTGACGAAACCAAGCTGGTTGTAGTGTACTTTTAGATAGATTAAATTATATGAAGAGGGAAGTAACCCAATTACGGGTAATGAATATTTATACACCTTCTAGCTCATCCAGTACGTACTCCGTTGGTGAGCATAACACATTGCTCCGCCACTTCCCGTCGTTATCCTACATTGCCATCTAACTTGACTCTCTCACTTCGCAATTGTACTTCGCCGTCTCACAGTCCTTCCTAGCTCCAATGTAATGTGGTGAAGTGAAACTTAGTCGCTTGATACAAGATGACATAGAACACTCTCCCTAAGGCACCCCCAAACTCTGCTTAGGTCTCCACCTAAGCTAAACCACGGTCAAACAGTAACACAAAAAGTGCCGCTTACTCTGGAGTCTGGTAGACTACTCTATCCAAAAACGGAAAACAGTAGTCAGTGAATGACACTTGACAAGTAGTCTGAAGCTTCTCAGGCTAAAAAATTGATGGAGCACTTGTCAACAGACACTGTATGTGCCTGTTTAGATGGCTCCTCTGGCGGCCTGGCAAGATTTGCATGGGGACTTATCTTTTTTAGAGGAGCACAAATGATCGGGAATGGTGCAGGACCTTTGCTAGATGAAGAAGCTTACGACGTAGAAATTTTAGGAGATCAGAAAGCCCTTGGAGCAGCAATTCTGGTAGCGGGCACAAGCCCCATCAGAATCCTCTCAGACAATTTAGAAGCTGCTCAGGCTTTGCGCGGTGGCAGGTCGAGGTCATTCCAGGGAATAGTCGGTAGATTTGTCATCGACAGCCATAACCACCGGCCAGTGGATATTCGGCGGATACGAGGGCACTCAGGGATTGAGGGAAAGGAAATGGCAGACAAGCTTGCCAAAGCAGCCTTGGTAAAAGCCTCCAATGAGATAACCAACGTGACTCTTCCCATGGAGGTGCCCCGCAGAATAAAATTCACGTTTGCATCACTGCACATATTGGTCAGGAAGCGCGTGCAGAGGAGCTAGTAGCAGCATGTTGGTAGGAAAATGCACCCAAGCACTATACGGACTTAGATCTTATGATGACTTGGAAGCGACCTCCGAAACTTGCTTGAACAAGATGGGCCTACCATAGACTGGTTGCAGTTAGGACTGAACACGGCGATTTTGCCAAACACCATGAAAGATTCAAGCATAAAGATTTCGAAGTCAAATGTGAGTGCGGTCGAGAAAAACGCCCCTGGCACTTCGTAGATTGCCGATGAGGCCTACAACATCGGAGAAGCATGAACTGGAACCTGCCCCGAGGGTAATTGAGATGTTGGGAGAAAAATAGTAGAAATTTATCGAATTCGCAACTATGACGAGATGTTTCAGGGAAAAGGCCGTAGATGGAGAGTTGTAGTATCCCCTAGGGGTATTAGTGTTTATTCTATCAGTCAATTGCTGGGAAGAAGAGGGTATGACGCAGAGCGCTTTTGTTTGGACACACTGCATTGTCTTCTTATGTGACTATTTCTGTTAGACTCGTAGAGTCAATTGTTTTTGTTTTATTCATTTACGTGCTAGGTAAAGTGACTACCGTTGCACTCCTACTGGAGCTTAAGCGCGGGTGGGGCCGGGCTGGATCAGGTTAACTACCATTAAGTACATCTACCTCATCCCACCTCAGACTTCACCCATGTGTTGAATCATGTCAAGCCTAACCGTCCAGAGAACACCCTTTTGGTGCGCCGAAGCGCCGATTTCTAACAGCCTCGGCCACCACGCGGCCGAGCTCTTGAAACCTTCGCAATCTGTAACTTTTCCCTTCGCTTCATTCCCAACTTTGGCTCATCTCAGCATCTCCTCATCTCATCCAGGGGTCGTTTTCTTCACTGGAGGCCTCATCCAGTCGCCCACCAAGGCCTCCTCAGTTTGTACTCCCTTTTGATTCCTTCATGCAGCATCCCTCTATCCCTCAGCCGATCTCGTCATCCTAGAAACTTTGTAAAATGTCCACCCATCTGGCCTTGCCCCGTCGCTGCCGCACCCCTAACCGTGGAGGTCGAAAATGTGACTGAGAGCTCAAGATCGAGGCACCTGTGCCCCAGCCTTTGTCGAATGCCCTGGTTGGTGTGCCGGCGAAATGTCGTACGTATTCCGTCGGTAGTGATTCGTCACAGGTCGAGTTGTTGGTGCCCTTGGCCGAGGTGAGGACGCATTTAGGGCCGGTATTTCAACCGTACCTTCACAGCGACTGGCAGTTGCTGAGATTCGGACATCTTCTTGATTCGTTGATGGCGATTTGGCTTTTGGAGGTATGGGATTGCTTTGGTAGGTGTTGAGATGATTGTTGAGAGGGCCGCAAGATGAGTTTGGCTGAGAATGAATTTCCAGAGAAAGAAAATAAGATCTTGAAGGTGTCAGTTGTTGTAATACGAGCATCAGACAGGTTATAGCCTGTCTGCGGTTCGTATCTGGGGTGTAGGTGGTTTTATGTTGAGCTGTGCAGTCGTGAAATCTCTGCAAGTCAGATTTTCGATCAAAAATGAGCCAACACCACTCCTCCCGATCGCCAACTCGACGAAAACTCACAAATTCACCCTTTGTTGTGACTGAATCTCGGCTCTGAGAGAATATTTCACTCACAGGTTCGTAGAGGACACCACTGACAGTATAAGTCAATTGAATAAAGTAAAAAGTAAAAAGTGTCAATTAATTCTTGGCTGCTCTCTTCTCTTTCTATTTCCATCTAGATTATGTATGTTTAGGAATGGATATCTGCTATCAGTCCCCAACTTGTCCCCATGAACCAAATTTTTCATGGTTTAGAACGAAACATCTCTACTTACAAGATTTAGAGCTCTTATTTCTATAACCCAAGCGAAACACCTTTGTCCGAAATAAATAACTCCAAGCTTTGTAAACCTAAAACCTAAAACCCTACATCTAGGATTGGTCGTTTCCAGACTATCAATAGTTTGATAATTTCTCATGGTTTCTTTGGCAATTAAAGCCATGCACGTAGGTATTAGTGAGTCTGTAAATGTCACATACCCGTATGACGCCTCTTGGGTGTAGGGCGTATGCCTGAAAAGAATAGCATTCAAATTCGAATCGCGTCTACATTTAGTTATTTACTAAATAAACCGAGGCTTATTTCCAGAATAGCCTACGTTTGATTAAAAATTTTAGATAATGCGACGCTGATGTAAGGAAAGATTATTTAACTTCCTGCGTGTAACTGTAAGTCCTGAGGGAAAAATTCCTTGCACCCCGTTCACAGTCCATAAATCAAAGATGCGTAGAAAGACACCCCACACCCAATAAGCCCATATCTCAAGGTTCTTATAATACATAGTGTACTAAATCATCAGCACTTACTACACCTAACACTGATAATTTTCATGTACCGGGTTACGGGAGAACGCTATGATTTGCCAAGTCATAAGATTTAAATACTCCTAATTATTATTATGGCTGTATTTTTGAATTCGCATTGATCATTATATTTGTAGGAGTAGATGGATCAAGAGGATGGCGATAAAAAGTCATCAATGTTAACCCTCTCCAAGAAACTGACTTGGCCAAATCCTATCCAATGTTGAGCTAGCCTATTATACGAACCTAAAATCAACTGGCACTCAATGAAATGATCTGAGATGAGTCAGCTAATTTCTTGATTCCTTTTTTAGAATCTGACCGTTCTGAAACATATCTGCTGCAATGTGACCAGCACTCCTTACAACACGTGCACCCTTGAAGGCTTTGTCCTTGGCAATGTAAATAAGTCCTTTATTCGATATATCAGCGGCAATGAATGAATGTTCTCCTCGTGGAACATTTGGATCTCCTGTAAGTTTAATGGCTTCTATACTTCCGCGGTATATTCGCTCTTCTTCTTTTCGTAACTCGAAGTCTTCAAGAGTCTCATCTATTTCCCTTATGACGGCAGATTCATCAAAAGGATCTGGGTTATCAGGTTGATGTAACAGCAAGAACTCGCACCCATGCCCACTATAGTCACCGACCCAGATTCCTCGATACGGCTTTTCTCTAGTAGGTGTGTACAATTGCGGATCAAGTGTTGCATATGTCAGCGAACAGAGATGCATGCTTGGATTGTCCATTATTCTTGGATTTATTTTATGCTGGATACTAAAACATTGCTCACTTAGTTCCGAATATCTTTGTGGACGCTCTTCATTACAGTGTGGCCCGCCAATTTGGAACCGATTGCGTGCGGGTATTAGTTTTGGTGGCCATAATTGAACATCATGATTCTCCTCGTTTCCAGTCGCGTTTTCTTTGGCAAGTGATAGATAATATGGCGTTAGGTGACGGCTTGGGTCACTGGTGCGTGGCAAAAATTGTCGGGGCCAATCAATTTTCATGGTTGTGGCTTCACTGAACCTTTTGCCAGATTTTTTTATTTCTAAGGTGTCTAGAGAAATGATGGGTTGTTCTAGATTCAGCCGGCAATTCGGGTTGAAATCTTCAATTAAAACTTCCCCATCATCATCCCAAAATCTAGAAGTTGTGGGTAGTCTTTCGGCAACTAACTGATACCCTTCAATCTGGCCCAAAACTGGGTTGTATCGAGTGATAATTAGCTTTCCCACCATGTCTTGACTGCCGAACCATACTTTGTTCCTAGGAATAAACCAATGAGGGAAGTGTGCCGCATAGAGCTGTCTGTAGCTGAGGCACGGGAACGGTGAGATCAGTTTGATTCCTGGTACATTTTGTTGGACATGAAAATGCCATAGAGCATCCGATCGGGCAAGACTGGCCAAATAAGAGCAAGTCGTTATGATGGAGGTTAGATCGAATGGGTCAAGGTAGAGTAATATTTCCTCGATTAGTTCTGATGGAAGCTTCAGAAGATGACTTGATGTTGGAATTTTTGGGTGAATCGGGAGAGCTACGATATGATTTCAGCGGTAGCCGTTTTAAACAGTAGAATCTTACTGGTAGTAATCATTGCTGGAATAGTTTGTTTGAATGTATCAGGGTCCATCGTGTAATTTTCCTGTGCTTAGGAATGAAACTGGGCGTTTGCGAAGATAATGAGTATGTCTCCTAGATAATTTTGTTGCAAGGGATGTGATTCCTATCGTTGGACCTGACGATTTGACTTCAGTGCCTTCGAGATCTAGGAAATATCTTTTAAGTGCATGAAGTTATATTATGGAAAAGAGAAATGTCCAAGACAACGCCGCTCTATGAGTGAGCCATGAGCAGAGATTTCTATTCAATAGCTAGAGGCTCGATAGGAAGGTCTGTTTGTTACCAGTACATTTATTATTTTCTTATGGTAAGTCGCATCCTTTGAGCTGATGCCTGTTCTGAAAGCGAGACAAAAAATCACTAGGTTCCCCTCACTATTTAGTATTGACTTAGTAAATCAGCGCATTACACCCCTTCATCACCACTCGGTCCGCCCAAATGTGACAGCCAGGCAATACCTTTTATTCAGCTCCCGGTTTATTCATGTATCGAGGACAAAGACTGAGCATCTGTACGCGGTGTCTCGCACGAACTTGGGATTGAGTTACTTCCTCAAAGCCAACTGCAGTTAAATTTAGCAACACCAAAAAAATTGGCCCGCGAGGCAATAATTCAAACCTTTCTACCAGATTAATCTCTCACTTTGACAGAGATTGACTCTCAAAAAAACCTTCGTTAAGTTTACAAGTACGCTCTAATACATCATCATCTCAATGACCACACCTCTCGTCGACTGTTCTCTGGCCTAAGCTGGCCATCAAATATATGCCCATGACGATTGTTTAATCTGCTAAAGGAAAAAGTCGAGATGCAAAAGTTTAGGAGGCAATTCTTTGGGATGGACGTGAAATAAATCGGGACAAATTTAATAAGATTATGCAGAGGATAGATACAATTTCGACTAATATGAAGTTTTGAAATATGGGAGGGATATTTATTAATTGAGAAGCATTTTGCGCGCCAAGATATCGACTGCGAGAGTGTAGCTAACACAACAAGCCAACAATGGAAGGTGCCGTGGTCCACTTCCTGGTGGTGTTCTCCGATATAGTTTAGTAGCTTGGGCATCTACTTCACTTGGGTAGGAGAGGCCTAAGATCTCATCTGGCACGGAGATATGTCTGGAAAACTCGGGATATCTGAGACGTTTCCCTTAGTAGGTATTCGCAGATGAGGGCTGATTTTGGGGGAAGAAAAAGCCACCATAACTTGGCAGTGGTACTTGCAAATGAAACTGAGGCATAAATGCTCTGTTTTTAAGTTGAGTCATCCGTTCTATAATTTATATCCGATATTGTTTCATAGATAGATAACTGTGTACGCAATTAGATTACGCCCAAAACAAAAAAAGTATTGAATAAGTGTCATTGTTAAATATCTGAATAAATATTAAATAATTCTAAAAAGATAGACCTCGGCGGTGTTCTAGTATTAGAATTTGCTGCAGAAAGCATTCACTCAGTGGTAGTCTAGTATATTGATAGTCGTTTCGTGGCATGACATTCAAAAAGTTAAAGCTACTAGACAACTCGATAGTTAAGCCGATCCTTCAATATTAGTTCTCGATTGGGTCGAAACCGGGCATGCTGTAAAACCAGCGGAAAGAATAGTAAAATATTTGATAAGATTCTAAACAAAATTATTAAAGACAGTGACAGGATCTTATACCCTACTAGAAGCAGGGTACTAATACACGGATACTTCGTTCCTCTGATCCAGATATGTATCTAATATTGAAATATGGCCAGATGCTTGGTCCATGAAAGTGTGTGTTTTTATTGTACTACTCGAGTCTATGACTATCTAGCACATTGGGCTCCTCTCTGACCCAGGCCACACCTTGTACAGTGGTCCTATCCCCTTTTGTTACTTGAAAGATCATTGATATATTCCCCTTGGTGAATAACCATTCAGCTCCCTGTTTACCCGTGGAATTCGGCCACCTTTTCCACGTGGTCCATGAAAGTTGTTGGTAGAAGAAAGATTCTACAATCATAAAGGCTGAAATTTATGTAAATTTGACTTCTCTTCATAAAACAGTAATCATACTCGTTTTGATGCCGATATATGAGGGACGACAACTCAAAATTTGTCAGTTGTGTCCCCTATGTATCTCCAGAACTCAATGTAGAGTCTGGATATCTGAGAGTGAGTGACAACTTAATTATTGAGTTATAGGGGCATTGGTCAATAATAACTATTTCTGTAGCCTTAACATATAGAAGTTTAGTTTTGTTTGGTTTGAACTGTATACGAATGTACTGAGCAATTAGCACACATGGCACTATTATGAGAGCTTAGTCACGACTGGGGCCAGGCTGTTTTTCTTTAAAATCATTTAATTACATTCAGCCATATAGCTATGACACATGACCAGTGCTATGTATACATGTTGGATGACTCTTTTGACGTCAGAGATACTCATACTCTGGATTTCATTTGCAAATACCACCATGAGGTATACTTGCTTACACAAACAGTCAACCCTCCTTTGTAAGTACCCACCAAAGGGAATTTCAAAACCTTTGGTTATCCAAAGATGCCTTCGTCATCCATGTATACTAGCGTCGCGAGAAATGTGGTTGTGTTTTTCCGGATTCGAATCAGCAATTTCCTATCTCGACTACAGGAAAATATTGAAAGTTATAATGGTTGAGTTTATCAGATAGCGTTAGTTTCTTACAAGTAGAATCTAGAAGTCCTTTAACGTCGTAGACTCAGATAAGACTATCATAAAATCTATTCTTATCTCCCGTCTCAAGTGGGATTAGGTCCAAGCTATCCAGACTCTACTAGCAAGACCGGCCAAGACGATGTACCACCGCACCATCCAACCATGGCGGTATTTATAGTGTCGCCTGCACTCGGGACCAGGCTGGATCAAGTTTATTAAAAGTATGTATACATATCTCTTCCTTCATGAATGAGTGGACCACCTCAGACTTCACCCATATATTGAACATGTCAAGTCCTATCATCCGAAAGCCCAATTTCAAAAGTCGAAGCTCATTTTCCTCCTCAGACTCAGCCACCAAGCGCCCGAGCCCTGGACAACCTGTCAATCTCTAGTTATTTCTTTCCTTTCCTTCCATATCATGCACTGTCCTGGAATCTCCTTATCTTATCAAGGGGTAGTTCTCTTCGTCGAAGACCTCTTCTGTTGGCCCACAGAAACCCCCTTTCTTATTCGTCTTCCACAGTAACCTTTTCTCAATCATTGTGTCATTATCACCATCTCGGAAACCTCGTAAACAGTCCATTCCTCCAACCTTGCCCCATTGCTACTGTACCTCTGAAAATGGAGTCCACATATAGGCCGAAGAGCTCATGACCGAGGCACCGAATCCTTTGTCTTTATCGAATGCTCTAGTTGATGTACTGGCGAAGTTTAGTCCGTATTTCATTGGTAGCGACTTGTAGCAGGCTGAGTTATTGATGCCCTTGGCCGAGGCATGTATATAATTCAATATCCTGACTTTGCGCCTTGAGACCCATGCAGGTTTTTATCGGAAGATATGTACCTTAAGTAGGATGACTCAACTTGAAATTTAGAACACTCACACTCAGATTTCACTTGCAGATACCACTCGAGGTTAACCCTTACGGCGTATAACCTCTTCCGTGCATACCCAGCACAGGAAAATGCGTGAAAACCCCATGGTTATCCGAGTGTGCTTTCACCATCTTATAAATATCATATCTCCGCGAGACAGTGTGGTTTGTGGGTTTTACTGGATTCGAACCAGCTTTTTCTTGTCTGAAATGGGGTGGGTGTTCAAGCTACCCAGTATCTGCTTGGAGAACGGCCCGAATGGTTTACCACTGCACCATCCAACCCTTTGGCCGAGGCATAGTCGAATATAAAGCAGTTTCTTCATTTGTATCTTTATATAATGCGGCAGTTACAACAGAATATATATCTTTTTGTACCTTATATTGCGAGTCTGACTTTGAGATTCTAGAGTACATCAATGGACGGTAAAACAATTTTGGAGTAGGTCGCGATTTGAGTTTGAACGGGAAAGATATTTCGAGAAAATTTGAGAAAATCTGAGATGAAGAATTCCAATTATTTTAACACGAGCTTCAGTTAGTCTCTGATGTCCATGATTAATGTGAGAATAATTCAAGCGTTACTTTTCGGTAATTGTGTGTAAAACGCACTAAACCAGTTCTGTACTAGCAATTAAGACTCATGTCCGCATGGATGTAAGAAACAAGATAACAGCCAATTGTAATCAAGAAGATGTCAAGTGAACATTTACCAGGCAAAAATGATCAAGCGACTCATCGAATCAAACATCAGTACGCTAGTTATTCTACGACAAATTCTCTTCTCTGCACTCTCTGTAATACCCAGATCAGGAGCGAGTCACTTTGGAATCAACACCTTCAGTCAACAGGGCATACCTTCCAAGCAGGCAAGCAGCATTCAATAGCTTTGGAGGAACCGGAAACTACAGAAAGATCACTCAACAACGATTTCAACAAAAAGAAAAGAAAGGCCAGTGTTGAAGAAGACAGCTCATCACTTAAGCGATCAAAACTAGAAATTGAATTACTCGAGAATTCTTCTGTTTCAAACCCCGAATTCCATGTCGAGCAGTTACCAATCAGTGCTAGAACCTTTTCACAAACAGCAGTTCCTGATGGTGCTAACAATTTTGAGTCAATGATCGATGAGGATGAATGGGCTGCATTCGAGGCCGATGTTGCTCTAGATAAAACAGGAGAAAGACTATCTGACTGGGTCATATCGGCGCCTCCAGTCAAATTAGCTGAAGATATAAAGAAAGCTAATCCAGAAAATGAATATCTACAAAGAAAAGAACAGTTAGAACAACAGATTGAGGCTGACAAGGAAGATGCTTTGCAGAAAATTGAAGAAGAATACGAAAAAATGGAAAATCTTGAGGCAAGGGTGAAACGCTTGCGAGCTAGAAGAGAAGAGTTACGGAAAAGTGAATATGCAATGATTCGCAAAGAGGGACCTCCCATATTACCAAATTTAACACCTTCCGAGGAGAGTGAGAGTGATTACGACGACGATGACGATGGATGGTATGATTTCAGGTTAATGTGATTAAATTCTCAACCCATTCCAAGATAAAATTCCCAGCACACAATCTTTTTTATTTTTGCGATGCCTCGATACCAAAGGTATCTCAGTACTTAACAATAATAGTACGTCTAGACATTGGGTACACACTTTGGAAGGACAAGCTCACAGCGAAAAGTTATGGCAAAGCTTAAATCCTCATGAATATCTTGACCAGCGAATCAAAGGAAAAACCCTAATTGTTGTATAATGAAAGTTCAATTCCTATCCTAATTACAACTTGGTCAAAAAAGATAATACCGCGAATGACTATAAAATCCAGCTAGAGATATGAGCCGAATCTCTAAGATTGAGCTTTCAATTTGAGGTTAGTGTGGCCTATCTCAAAAATTTCATGGTCAATTCGATAATAAGCTCCTCTTCAAAAAGTCAATCAAATAAAATCTGTCTGATGGTCACTCTACTGTATGGTAGGATACTTTGTCTATATTAGGTAACACTATTAGCTTTTAATGACAAGGACATTCTGCCAGGCAACAATACGTATGAAAAATACCAATCAATGTGCTGTCTACAAGGGCACATCGGCTTTAATAAAGCAATCTTAATGTTGAAGGGAATGGTAGATGACTACAGGAAAGGAGGAAAATATTCGTAATGAAACCAGTGATTCTAAGAAACAAAATGTATGTAATGTATATTTTCTAGTAAGGAAAGGACAGAATTAAAAAACTTTTTCTGACTATTTTAATTATTTTTTATATTGATAAGGATCTTTTAATGAAATTGGACGCTAACTTTTGAAATCATTGATCTAGATAGGCTGTTTTAGAGTTTGAAGCAGTGGTTGTTGCATTGCGTGTAACTCCTTCATTTGAATTGTGATTCCCAACTTTTGGATAGAGTATCATCCAAATGTAAAATAAACAGCTCTTCTAAAAAATCACTGTAAGATAATGAACACCCGCATTTACAGAACTGTCTTTATTATTGCGGACCATAGACTCTCATAGCTATAAGTGGCGGATTGCCTTTTAGAGTACGAGCTTTGTCTTACAAAGACAAACGTCTATAAATAGCTCTTTTTGTTAGAGGTGTTAGAGATTTATTAAGTAGAGTGGCGTTTGCTCATTTCACTTTACACCAAAATAGATTCTATTGCCAAACTGGACTCTAATTTTGACGAAGTAAGAAATAGTCAATTATTTCCCAACCAACTGTCAGGATTGGTAGTTTTAGATATTAAATGGCTACGGGCGACGGAGGGAGTTGAAATGATCACAATCATTTCAATTTGAGTTTATTTGACACGATCTGTCGCCTCAAGAGCTCATGTAAGCGACTATAAAATCTCTTGTCGATTAGCCTTAACTCACGCACACGTAGGTGTTTTTTTGGATTAGATTATAATTGCGTATGCAGCTATCTAGCTATGACACAATATCAAAGAAAAGTATAGAAAAAATGACTCAATTTACAAGAGGGGTACTCATGCCTCGGATTTCATTTGCAAGTACCACTGCGAAGCTATGGCGGCTTTTTCTTCGCCCAAAGTCAACCCTCATCCGTGAATACCCACCCCGGGAAATGTCTTAAAAACCCTGAGTTATCCAGACATGCCTCCATCATCTTTCAACTTTCCTCCGCGCGAAATATGGTCAGAGATGTCTCCTTCCCGAGTGGGGCAGGCTCCCAGACCATTTAAGCTTTACCGGAGACAAACCTTAGGAGGTGGACCGCGGCGCATTCTATCGTTGGCTTGTTTTCATAGTGTCAGCTGCACTCTCGCAATCGAAGCCTTGATACGCAGAAAGCTCAATTCGAAAGACTCTTGCCAAAATTCAGAGTCTCACGCCCTTCGAGGTTATACCACTCCTTTGTATCATCTTGGGAACTTGTCCTGATCTCTTTCACGTCCATCCCAAAGATCTGTCTCCCAGATTTGTGCGCTAAACTTCGTTTCCTCCGTCGGGTGTGACTGCCTGTGAGGGCGTGTATTTGGTGACCGGCTGAGTCTAGAGAAAGTCGAAAAGAGGTGTAGCCATTAGAACGAGGATGTTCTGAGTCATACTTGTGGACTTGATGAGGCTTAGATGAGAATCGAACTCTTTGGGAGTGAAAGATTGACATGGTGGAGTAATTTGAAATTTTGCCTCGTGGGCCAACTTCGATGATATTGCGAAATTTGACTGAACTTGGCTCTGAGAAAATATTTCACTCCTAGCTACGTAGAGGACACCGCGTACAGGTGTTCAGTCTTACCCTCCGGTTAGGCTTGGTATTATTTAACACATAGGTGAAGTCTGAGGTGGTCCGATCATTAAAGTGGGACGAGGTTTATCTGTACTTCACGGCAGTTAACCTGATCCGGCCCAACCCCACACGTGCTTAAGCTCCAATAGGAGTGCAACGGTAGTCATGTAAACTAGCACGTTAATGAACAAAACAAAACCTTGTGCTTGAGTTACAATAAGAATTAGATTTCTCAATTACAAAGTTCATTTTTCAGAAGACACATGGCTTTACTCGATAATAACCTTATTTTACAGATGAATCCACCTCAAACCCCACCTTCAACACCTCGAATCAAACAATTATCCAGAGTTCAAAACATTTTAGTAAGTAGAAAAATTAGATATGAACAAATATAAATTAAAAGAAAAGAAAAATTAAGAATTATGGGCTTCATGAATCTGGCAAAAACCACACGCAGATTGCCGCGCAACTAGGCATTTCTCGGGAGTGTAGCTGACACTATAAACACAAGCCAACGATGGAAGGTGTTGTGGTCCGCCTCCTGGTGGTGTTCTCTGGGATGGTTTGAGTAGCCTGGGTACCTACTCCACTTGGGAAGGAGACACCAAAGACCATATTTCGCGCGAAGAAATTTGAACGGATGATGGAGGCATTTCTGGATAACTCGGGGTTTTTGAGACGTTCCCCTGGGTGGGTACTCACGGATGAGGGTTGACTTGGGGTGAAGAAAAAGCCGCCATAACTTCGCAGTGGTACTTGCAAATGAAATCCGAGGCATGAGTGCTCTTCCCTTACGTTGAATCATCTGTTCTGTACTTTTCTTTGATATTGTGTCATAGCTAGATAGCTGCATACGCAATTAAAATCTGATGCAAAAAAAAAAAAATTGGCAGATCTCGAGGGACAATTTGGTTATTCACTTCGCCGCGGAACTGTCTCCCCCAAAAAGAGAAAAAGAACATCCTCAAGGCTGAAAGCAGATGATGTTGATCAGATTGTATCTTACGTTGAATCTTCACCTGTAAACCGCCGCAAAACATTTCTGGAACTCGCCTTTGGCCCCTTTAGACATCTTGGTGTTAGTGAGCGGGTAATACAAAGAGGACTTAAAAAAAAGGATATCAGCGACATGTGGCTCGTCTACAGCCTCCAGTATCTCAGAAAACTATGAAGACACGCAGAGAATGGGCTGAAGCTCATCTCAATTGGACATATGAAGACTGGACGTCAGTTTTATGGACAGACGAAACTTGAGTAGAGGATGGAAGACATTCTAGAGAATGAGTGACAAGAAGTGTTCGTACATTCCTCAATAAGAAGATGGTAATTTGATGCTCTAGGTTATGAGCTAGACTTCCCAAGTATACAACGCTGATTGTGTTGGAGAAAAATCGACGAATAGGGTAGGATGGATGTTCTGGGGTTGCTTCACAGGGCCAGAAAAAGGCCCTTGTTAGTTTTGGGAGAAGGAATGGGGTTCCATTAACTCCAAAAAATATTGCGAAAAAAAAGTTCCTCTTACCAATGGCACGGTCTCGATGAGACCTTGGCTTTCCGTAATGCAGGATAATGCTCCTGCCCACACAGCCGCAATTACAATGGAAGATGTGAGCCAGAGGCTCATTCAACCGATTTTCTGGCCGGCCAACTTGCCTGATCTTAACCCGATTGAAGCTGTTTGGAATAAGATGAAGGATTACATCCAGCGTCATCATCCGAATCTGGGTTGCGGAAAGCAGCGAACTCGAGATATTCTTTGCAAGATTGTAAAGGAGGCATTGTTGAAATTATGGATTTCAGAGATAAGTCAGGTGATACTTAGTGGAAGTAATTGATGAAGGGGGGGTTTTTTTTTTAATTATATTAAAGTCCTAAGCTAAAGCTCTAGGTCCACTACAGGTACAAGACTGGTGGAGCCGGCGGGGATCACTGCTTACAGGCCCAACTCATTCCAACCGCTGGACTTGCTACAGAAATAGTAGGAAGTAAATTACGACGCGGACACCACCTACTCCAACTCCTAGATCAAAAATCAATCCTTTTCCCTAAATCCAAATAGCTACAATCTTTCCTCAGAGAAACGACACTTCTCGCCTCGTTCCCTTTCTTGTCATGTGTTGTGGCAATGACTAGTTAATCTGATCCCCGCTGAGAGCAGTGGATGAGTGAGCAGGTCGTCTATCAAAACAGCCGGTTTCCTGCGCAAATATTTTGAAGCTTTCGTGGCACTTGGGCCCGAGAAGCTTTTTGACAAAGTCAGCGTGGGACATTGACTTTCTGAGCCTACGCGTGTGTTGTGCGTGGCGGCTACAGTGGATGAAGTGGGTTGGAGTAGTTTCCTTCCCGCAAGAGCACTCCATAGGAGCGTGTAGGTTATTAAAACGGCGATTGTATGCCGCAAAATTGCCGTGACCCATTCGGGCTGCAATTAATTCTCGGAGCAGGTGCCTAGAGAGAGCTAGTTCGGGTGGTTTGCGTCGCCGAACCTGTAGGTTGAGTTGGCGGTATTTAGGCGGACAAGCCTCTATCCACCAGTCTTCCAGCAATTTTTGCCGCCGGTGATTCATGTGACCACGAAGATATGCTAGAGTACATGATCCTGGTGGTGTCTCCTGGCTAGGTAACTCTCGGAGTGCGGCACGGGCAATGGTGTCTGCCTCTTCGTTCCCCTGTATCCCTGCGTGCCCTTGCACCCATTTCACTGATATTTTTGCCTTATTGGATGACGCACGGAATTTGCGTACATCTTCAAGGCTAGTTGAGGATGAGCCCGTCGTTAGTGCGCTTACAGCCTGCTGGCTGTCTAGAAACACGTGGATTTGCTGCGACCCTCCTACTTTCCTAGACTTTCCGTTATCCAAGAACTCCAGTGCGGCTTCTAGAGCCTTCTTTGCTCCTATTATCTCTGCATCCAGCACCTCTCCCCCGTGCTTGATGCCACTTCCTTTGCCTATGTCTTTCCCATCCTTTTTCAGAACGAAACCCCAGGCAGAGCGTCCGTGTCCTTCCGATGAACCATCTGAGTATGCGCAGATGTCCGTTCCTGTCACGTTATTGATCCATCCAACGCAGTCGTTGCGTTCCGTCAGCCTTGAGCCTAACTTTTTAGGGTAGACTACCGGCGCCAGGGCCTCGGGGGCCTCTGCTTCCGGGAGCTCTCGATAAGCACGCTGTAACCGTGACATTTGGATCTCTGGTCTGGCAGAGAGTTTGGCGGTCTTTTTGTACTTTCGAGTGCCGACATTCGGGCACACGGAAGCGCGGATCCTCAACGGGTGTCTATCATCAAGGGTCTTAAGCCTTGCCGAAAGTCGGAGTCGGTTTCCCTCAAGTATGACCTTTGCCGGCGGGATTCCTCGATGAAGGGTTTGGTTGTTGAGTTTTCTATGATTTCTGTGTTGGGATACACTTTGTCGATCCTACTAGGCTCGATAATTAGTAGTCCCTACCGACTGGTGTTTGGCGAACGGAGATTGCGTATACCCTGTGCTAGCGTTTTTTTTTTTTTTTCTTTTTTTTTTTTTTTAATCATTTAATGTGTATTCAGCTATCTAGCTATGACACATGGCCGGTGCTATGTATACATATTGGATGACTCTTTTGACATTAGAGACACTCATACTCTGGATTTCATTTGCAAATACCACTATGAGGTATGTTTGCTTACACAAACAGTCGACCCTCCTCCGTTAGTACCCACCAAAGGGAATTTAAAAACCTTTAGTTATCCAAGCATGCCTTCGTCATCCATGCATACCAGCGCCGCGAGAAAGTGGTTGTGTTTTGCCGGATTCGAACCAGCGATCTGCTGTCTCGAGTGGGATATGTGTCCAAGCTATCCAGACTCTACTTGGCAGACCAGCCAAGACGATGTACCACCGCACCATCCAACCATGGCAGTTTTTATAGTGTCGCCTGCACTCTCGCAGCCGAAGACTTGGCACGCACAAAGCTCAATTCGTAAAAACTCCTTTCCAAATTTCAAAATTCCACGCCCGTCGAGACTGCATCCAATCCTCTGCATCATCTTATTAACTTGTCCTGATCCCTCTCACATCTATCCCAAGGAATTGTCTTCCAGATTTGTGCGCCACGCTTTGCTTCCTCCGTCGGGTGTAAATATCGGCGTGGGCATGTATCTGGCGACCAGCTAAGGCCAGAGAAAGTCGACAAGAGGTGTGGTCATTGGGATTAGGATGTACTAGGTCGTACTTGTGAACTTGATGAGGTTTAGGTAGGAATCGATTTCGTTGGGAGTGAAAGATTGATATGGTGGAGTAATTTGAATCATTGCTTCGTGGGCCAACTTGTTCGGTATTGCGAAGTTTGATTGAACTTGGCTCTGGGAGAATATTTCACTCCCAGGTTCGTAGAGGACACCGCGTACAGGTGTTCAGTCTTGCCCTCCCTGTGCTAGCGTTGTTTACTGCTGTTAATAGGAGATCCCGCACGGGCTATCTATTGGGATTAAAAGGAGTCTGGTACTTGTGTTTAGAAGAGTAGTCGAATTGCTATCCTTTTATCCTTCATTATTGCATAAGCTTCCCTTTACCAATAAGTCCACGAACTAAGTAGTGGGTTATACATTTCAATAGGCATGGGATTTTGTTTCTTCCGAAGATCTTGTGAGACTCGTTCTGAGTATGCCAGCAAGATGTCAGACTGCGGTACATGCGGCTGGGGGACTGACCAGATATTTAGACCTGAAAATATTCCAGCCACATGTTCAGATCCAAGGTTAGGTTAGACTGTGGCTCTATTTTGTAATTCGGAAACCTTTGAACTCTTGAAAATAAGTTATAAAGTCAAGTAGCAAAAATGCACAAATGTTATTCAGCCGATCATTATACAAATTTGGGTTAGTACGAAGGAAAGACCCACTGCAAACTATGGTGTCCAGATAAAAACTGCCACTCAAGATTTTTCAAAAATTTGCACAAATACGGGGGCTAACTCCAGTATGGAAGATGACTATGCCTAAGGCGTCTTAGTTTACACGCTGAATCCCCTGCCAAAGCCCCACTGCAAACTTGACACCGTGGTACCACGGTATTTTCGGAAGCTGGGGCTAAGAAGTGGCATTACTGTCAGAATTCATAATAGTTGGGGCTATCAAGTAAGCCATGTTGTTGGTACACACGTTATTACATATTCTACAGTTAGTTTCACTTCGCTAGTCACCCGAATTAATGCGCTCTACAACTTCGATGTCTAAGGGGCCATCATTTTCTTAATAAATATCAATTTTGTAAAACTTTCGAGAACGACTCAAGAGTGGGATACGAGAACGAATAAACGGATGTACAGATACACGGATATAAAGCTGTGTCATTGGCTGGGATAATAATCATGTATAAAGTAGCTGTTATTATCCCCTTCAATTTATAGGTCACCACAGATTCAAATAAACTACCTCTGACTCTAAGGTTGCTCAGTGCCTGTGCTTTGACTGTGACACAGAGCTATTATTGAGGTGGATACAAATGATGTGATTGGTTTACATGGAGGTCAATAAAATGTAACTGCGCTTCCTCAAGGATATGTTAGAAAAATTTAGACAAAAAACAGAAAGATTTTGGGTGTTTTTAAACGACGATTTTCTCCCATTTAAATTAGAATGTGTGATAGACGCCTGTATAGGCCCATAGGGCGCCAAACCAGATCGATGAAATCATAATCAGCCCTCAATTATTCAAACTTCTAACAGGACAAGAATTTCGGTCGTCATCTAAGCTTTATGTCACAATCTATAGCGGCGCAGAAAAGTGGTAAAAATTAATGATTCGATGGCTTCATTTAATATTTACAGTACCTAAGAATGCTTACTGTATTACTGGAATTAACGAAGGGTTCAATAGCCTAATCCCTCCACCAACTTTTATTTTTACCTTTTTTTTTATCTTCACCGTCAGACACATGTGGTTGACTATACTGAGGTTCATAGTATTCCAAATTTCTTCCGAGACTTTCAAGTGGATTTCCATAGTTATTGAAGTTTTTATTTCCTCCATAATTATTACCTCCATGATGGCTGCCTCTAGAATAGGATCCTTGGGCCTGAGGAGAGTGGAAAGAACCTTCTCCTGATGAGCTCCATGTAGGCAGCTGTGATGCATGTCCCGAGGAAGAGCCCTGTTCGTATCCATTTGAGAATGTCGAATGCTGCTGCTGATTTCCATGTCCATAACTACGAGCAGGTGGAAGAGGCTCTAGATAGTCGAAATTTCGTCTTACGCTAAAAACTTGAGGTGCTACTTGCACAGGATAGCGTCCATCATTCACATATCTGAAATGCCCATTTTCATCATATTCAGAAGCCCCAGGTTCATGATATGATACGGCGTTTTCAGGGGTACTGCCAACGTGTGATGATCTTGAGAAGGTAGGGCCACTTTCTTCTGAGTTATAGCCATCATCGGAGTAGCCATCTGTGTCATAACGTACATCGGTTTTTTCGTATCTACCAGAGAAAGAACCCGGCCGGGGCTTTTTCGCTAAAGTATTAGAGGTTGATTTCTCGTCATGATGTTCATTGTCAGCCTTGCAGACTAGATATTCTTCTTCAGATATCTGTAGTAATCCCAAAATAACGCAGGCTCTGTTAGTAAAGACAAGTACTCCCGGCTCTTCTGTATGATCTTTAGTCACGGAGCTGGCATGTAGTTGTGCGTCTCGAGAGATTTATCAAAGTTTTGCTGGGCATTACCTAGTGGCTCTGAGCTATTTACTTGGTATTTCCAGAGCAAGGTGGTTTCATTAAATCCATAATTTTCCGCCTCGACCCAGACTCGAGGATACTTTTTCGCCTCAACGTTTGCTGCAAGTTCCGCTGCTGACAGTTTGCTATCCGGAAGACATGCATCTTTCACGCTTTTTTCCACAACATTTTGATCGTAAGTCGTGTTTGACTTTCCGTCAGCATTCAAACAGAGATATCCGCCGTCTCCAGCGACATGGACCGAGAAGAAAAAGGGCACGACAGACAAGAGTCTAAGGAGTCGCATTTTGTCACTATGGCCGTGGCGTTTAAAATTCATAGATGCTCACTGGCGATTAGTTGAGTGAGAAAGACTGGTGGTTATATAAGATTATAGATCATTAGATTCAGCTTTTAGCTAGATTTTCTCTCTCATCTTGGCCGGCTGCCGAATCCTCCATTTCCAGAGTCAGGTAGGTGTAAGATGGCAGAGCGGCGCAAATGTTACAGTAAATTGGCAGTCTCTCGAGCGGCAATAATCATTGGCTGAGGTTACTCAACAAGCACTCTTCTTTCACTTGAATCGAGGTCTTTTGGTTGAGTTTACCATCAGCCAAGAGCCTCGCACACTATTAGCGTGTTCATACAAGTCCTTGGCAGAATCCTGCTTCCAACTCAGCTATAATTCATTCCTTTACACTTCACGCCGCGGATGCGTGTCTTACTTCCGCATCTTTTGTTAGGAGTACGACTCCTACTCTCCCATATTACTTCGGTTCCCCGAGACCGCTATCCTTGAACTCCAAAGACTACATTATGGATACTCGAGAGATTGCGAAACACAGGATCAATGAAGCATAGCATATATAGGAGGCTGAGCTATACACTCATTGGTCAATTTTATCGTAAATTGAATGGGATGCATCAGATGACACGTCCCTATCGTAGGAGCAGCCGCATCACTCGCTGTCAATGGGGATGATAGCGTATTCCACAAGACACGAAATTAAGTTAGGTAGATTCGTCTATTACTATCGTTTGTTTTTAAAATTCCATTTAAAATTTTCGGGTAGACAGTTTCATGGAGAAGGTGGCTGAATTTCATGGGTGAATACTGAGCTGAATGGCTATTCATTGTGGGCAATATATCATTGATCTTTCAAGAAACATGAGAGACAAGGTGCACTGTACAAGGTGTGGTCTGGGTCAGAGAGGAGCCCAAAGTGTTACATGGTCATAGACTCAAGTAGCAAAGTAAACAACAAGAACAGCCGGCAAAGACGAATTCTTCATCCTCCAGTGGTGCCGGCGCAATTGCTCGGCATGCCCTGCATACCTGGGATAGCCAAGTAGAATTGCACCCGAGTCGAAGTCGAAAGCATCCTCAAGAATATCTCCATTTGACGACTTCTCAATCATGCAGCACTTACCATCATCTTCTGAGTCCTCAGCCCCTTTCTAATCACGCATCAACGAACAATAAAGAAGTTTCTCCAATTGAAAACAGGAGCTGGCTCCATTAGTTACCAGCCATCTCGCACTACAGATTTACGATGTCACGCATACCCGCAACGAGGAAATCGAGTCAAAAAATACCTCGAAAATATTAGAACTATCATGCCTACAACGTGGGTTCTGATTGCTCAGCTTATGAGCAATTATGATTCCACGTAGCTTTCTCGTGGCTCCGACTAGTCGACAATAGAATGTAATTAGAGCTCTAGGATAATAATACGTAATTTTTTGTAACACCAACATAGAACCCTCAAAGCCGAATTAGGTTTGTGGTCACCTAGAAGGTGTAGGAGTTTGTATTATGAGTAGGCAGTAGTCAGATTACTCAGTGCGGTATACCGTGTCGCCCATTTTGTTACAGCGCGATCTAAATGGAGTCGGATCTGCCGTCTTCGAGGTTTACAAGATGATTATCGAGGTTCACAATAGAGAATAGAATTAAGAGTTTATAGATTAAGAAGGAATAATTGTGGTAGCAAAATACCAAAGATGAATATGATCAAAGGAAGAGAAATATACAAATTGCGAAGCTGAAGATCTGGGTAAGCCATTTCTTCCGCTTCTCACAATCAGAACAATTCATAAATGCAATCTCTGGCTCATCCTTGAACCATCTATGGCATGAGGGTATCTGAATTAAATTGTTAATTTCCTCGGATGATTAGTCTGGGAAATAATATGTGGATTCTTCCTGTATCCTAAATTCTAATCAACCCCGAAAGCCTATATTGCTAATTTATGCAAAGATACTTCCAATGAGCATAGGATTGCTATTTCCAAAAGCCGGTCTATTTTTTTGTTCGTTAACGTGCTAGGTAAAGAGCACCATTGGATGAAGAAAAACGGCCATTCTCGAGGCTCTTCAACGCGAAGTGGCTGGAAAAGGCATTGTGATGGTTTCAATGCTCTGCGCGGCCCAGCTCTGGTCACCCCGAGCACAAGTCAGGCAGTGCTTCAACTGCAGCAAATTGGGGCATACCCAAGCTTCCTGCCATATGGCAAGGAGATGTGGTGAGTGTGCGGGCACTCACCAGACCAGAGACTGCCCGAAGAAATCGGTGCTTTGCTGCAACTGTGGCAAGGCGCATATGTAGTGACAGAAGAGGTCGTGTCAAAACTTCGCGTTATATAAGGCTAGTGTTTAAAGGGTAAGGTGGGGACTTTTGGGACGAACTGTAGATATAAGAAGGGAAGAAATAAGACCAACGGTAATAAATCAACCTATGGCTAATACCGTAATCGACCAAGGATTTACACTCGTGTCCCATCAAAAGCCTGAGGGCGTCAGGAGAGGGCCAAGACGCCCGCGCAGACAGCCCCTAGTCCCAGTCTTACAAGAAAATGAATTCGCGCCATCGGGGTCAAGTTCAAGACCACAGTTAACTCTTTTCAGCACGCGAGGGCAGGGAAAGGATAGCGAGGGAAAATTTAATTTTACCTAGTCTTGTCTCTGACTGAAGGCCATTTGCACTTACTGTAGGTAACGAAGGACCACAGGTAAAAATTTTAATAGGGGGAGGTGGGTTTACCGCAAGGAAAATGAAAATGAAAATTTATTCGTGACGGGCACAAGCCTTGCACTCAAAGAGCATGACACGGAGAAGACTAGCTTATCCGGCGACTATATACGACGATAACTCAGCTTGACATTTGGACTACTCATGTAGTGGGTGCATTCGCTGATTCCACTCAAGACCTTGGTGCTAGGGACTTTCACCCTTCCCTCAACCGTTACTATCCACCAAAAGGAAAACATGAAAAACCTTTGGCTACCCTAACATGCCTTTGCCATCTTGCATATAGCCGCCGCGCGAGATATGGCCTCACAGTCCTCCCTTTCTCGAGGGAGGTAGGTGTCCAGGCTATCCAGATTTTAATTCGGGTAGGAGACGACCAGGAGGCGGACCAAAACACCTTCCATCGTTGGCGGTTTTTAGAGTGTCGGTCGCACTATCCAAAATCGTTGCTTCTGCACTTACAGACAATCTTAAGTCGAAGACACTCGAAAAATGTACATCCTAGCATGCCCATTTGTGACCTCTTCTCTCGTTCGTCCCACATCCCAGCTGCCTGTCCTCCCTCAAGATATGAAGCCCCATAAGAGCAACGGTCCCCATAGACCAAGACCTGAGCTTTGTAGATTATGACTTGAATTCCTCTTCGCGGGTATGCATAGCATCGTAAATGTGAAGTGGAAGATGGCCGGTTTTTGATGAGGTAAATGCCCGATTGCAATTGGAGTAACACCATTATCGGTATTTTAGGCGAGGTGGTGTGGTAAGATTGAGGTGGAGGACTCGCGTGAGAATGAAAGGTTCGACATTGACGATGAGTTGTCGATTTTAGATGTGCTTGCGAGTGGTTTCGACTTCGATTTGGATGCGATTCTTCTTGGCTATCCCAGATATGCAGAGCATACTGAGCCATTACACCGGCACCACTGGAAGGTGAAGAATTCGTCTTTGCCGGCTTTTTACCGCAAGGTTTTCTCCTCATGTAATTATATAGATAGGTTCATAGCCACCTGTATGGGCCCATAGGGCGCCAAATCGGGTTAAATGAAATCAAATTCAATATGTGGATGCTTCCTGTAGCCTAAATCCTAATCATTTTGGAAGCCTATATTAATAATTTCTGCAAAGAGACTTTCATTAAGCACAGGATTGCTATTTCCGGAGGGCAAGACAGAACACCTATACGCGGTGTCCTCTACGAACCTGGGAGTGAAATATTCTCCCAGAGCCAAGCTCAGTCAAACATCGCAATACGAAAGAAATTGACTCACGAGGCAATGATTCGAAATACTCCACCACGTCAGATTTTGACTCCCAACAAGATCTACTCCCACTTTGGTCTCATCAGGTCTACAAGTACGACCTGGTATATCCTCGTTCCCATGACCACACCTCTCGTCGACTTTCTCTTGCCTCAGCTAGTTACCAAACGCACGCCGATATTTATACCCGACGAAGGAAGCAAAGCGTGGCGCACAAATCCGGGAGATAGATCTTTGTGGTAGACGTAGGAGGGATCAGAACAAGCTGGAAACATGACGCAGACGATGGACACAATCTCGACTGGCGTGAAATTTTAAATTATGGTAAGGAGTTTTACGAATTGAGCCTCGTGCGCCAAAACTTCGATTGAGAGAGTGCGGCTGGCACTATAAACACAAGTCAACGATGAAAGGTGCCGAGGTCCGCCTCCTGGTGATGTTCTCTTGTATAGTATGAGTAGCCTGAGCAGCTTCTCTACTTGGGAGTCACCTAAGACCACATTTCGCGTGGAGAAAAGTTAACGGATGATTGAGGTATGTCTGGATAACTCAGAGATTATGAGATTTTTCCCTGGGTGGGTATCCATGGATGAGGGCTGACTTCGGATGAAGAAAAAGCCGCCATAACTCCGTAGTGATACTTGCAAATGAAGTCCGAGGCATGTGTGCTTTTCTTGTGTATTGAGTCATCAATTTTTTACTTTTTATCCGATATTGTGACATAGCTAAATAGCTGCATAAATAATTGAAATCTGATACATAAAAAAGTCAACTCACTAGAATATGACATCATTTGGTAACTATGACGCAGTATACTAATAGATCTTGTTAGAATTTAGAATAAGCGGGGCTATCAAGCAGGCCACGTTGTTGATACACATGTGACTGCAATTCATGTACTTAGTTTCACGTTGGTAGTCACTTGGATAAAAGTACTCCACAACTGCAATGACTGAGGGGGTATAATTTCTTTAACAAGTGTGTATACTTTCATACTTACCAATGAGCCTTAGAGATGCTTAGAAGGCCTTAACAGTACTTTATAGTCATAGACTGAGTAGGGATTTTAGTTGAAGTTTATTATTTTTTATCATGTGATATCGAATACTCTACACTCTTCTCAATCTCATCCACAAATACATTTCTGTGAGGTCATAACACTTACCACATCTTATGTAGGTCTGTAGATCATCTACCGCAGCCTATATAATTTGCCGAGAGGATTAAAATCATAAAGAATATTTATACACGACGGAATCGACTACAAGTTCTATCGGTAAATTAATGTAGAATACTTTTTTTGCGTTTTGCTAGACAGGACCGAGCTGAAACGAATAATGAGTAGCCTAACGCGAGTAAATTTTATTTGAAGACATCGGCTTCACAGTTAATTGGATTTAGGGGGCAAGGTCAAGTTTTACGTTGCATCACTAGCAACATATTCAGATTATTTTATTCAAGTCGCCGGAGAATTTATTTCGATTTAGCTGGTCGTTTCATACTGTGCGTGAGCGACAGAGTACAAGTAATCTGCTGCAATAAACTTACCAAGATAAAACTTCAGATGGCAGGGTCAACTGTCTACTGTTTCACTGATTACTTCAGTGAGGGACAAAGCATGACTCTACCCCATAAGCTAGACATCTCGTGCTAATCTATGCCATAACCTGGGGAGTCATCGCAAGATATGATCATTTGTGTACGGGCGACAGCACGCCGAGCTTCACGCTCATGTGCTTGGATAATCAAAGTTTATGAAACTAACTTTTGATGGGTAGTCACGGACGAGGGTCGACTGCTCTACGTAAATGAAAATTACTTCATGGTGGAATATGTAAATAATAAGCAGAAAATGAGTACCTTTTAAATCAAAAGAGCCGTTTAAACAGACACAAAGTGTCTGCCATGTGTTGTATCTAGGTAGTTGTATACACAACTAATTATTTGAAGGAGAAAAGGCGCTAGACTTCATCAAGAAACTGTCGGTTCAGGCAATCGTATTAAGTTAATGGCTTGATGTAGGATAATTTATCCGAAGGGGGTGCACATGATTGTTCATTACCTCACTGTCCTTTCTTAGTCTATGACAACTAAGGGCATGTAGGCAAGGACCTACATGCCGGGAGTATCTATGCCTCGAATAGTGTACTCCCTCAATAGCCTCCTTCACGACTTCTTTCCAGCAGTAATTCCCCCACAGGGAATCCACTGGATGGATATGTGAGTATCGTGTGGGACCTTTAAATTCTTCTTGGCGAGTCTCTGTTCATACGTGTGCTAGGTATCTTCGAGTAGTCTCCCCCTATCATCGCTTAACGGAGGCATGTCATGTATATTAAAAAGCTAAGAATAGTATTTAGTCTTAACATGAGGATTCTATTCCACTTAAATCTAAGCGACATGTGGACATATGAACTTCATATTACGAGGCCCTAGAGTGTCATAAGTTTATTGTCCCGTGTAATCCACAATAATGGTAAAGACAGAACGAGTACTGCGGATGTCCGAGATCTGATGAGTTCATTGTGAGTGATCGCATTGTAGGGTCAATTTCTCCTTACATGAGCTACATTTCTAAAACTTTAGCGCCTTAAAATGGGACGACGTAGCTTATAATTGTTTGATGGCTGAATCTACTTACTTGGCCGGTGAATGTAAGTCACGAATCACTCATGGAATACCCTCGTCCTTGAAGCTGACTGACGTCACTACGGCACACTGCCCATCCAATCTTTTTGGAGCAGCTTTCCGACAATCGACTATTTAGGACGTGGATAATTACCCATCAGATACACAGACTATCTGGTAAGGACCTTATCCCCTTTTGATCTTAAATTTATCATCACAGACTGGCTTACATATACAGTTATCACTCACATTCGTTTACCGACCTACAAAGACAGCGCAGTCTTGCCCAGTTATGGCAAGCAAATATTTACTCCAAGTCACCGCTGGATCTAGTTATGATGCTGCCAAACATCAGATCGTGCCGGTGAATAGTCCTGAAATCATTACTGTGGAGTCGGAGCATGTATCCGTGAGCCTCAATGTCCGTGTACAAGTATGGAACAAACTCTGTCTTCCCCCAAATTTCTAGAACACTTCTAAATTATTTAAAGTCTTATCGTGGCTTGCCCTTAGATTCGCCCAGCACTTCTCCCTACTTTTTGCTTCCACCACATTCTAAGAACAACGATCAGTACAGCATATCATTTGCCTTTACTCCGAAATTAAACATAAGCGCCAACGATCTCTTATTTGGCAACGACTTCGATTATCCGATCCGTGATCGTCTACCACCAGGATTTAACGCCGCTTTTAGAATCGTCAAGTGGCTGATTGACCCAGGCCTTGATGGTGATGTCTATGCCGATCAACCTTATTTGTATGGACCGGCAGCAAGCTCACTCAATGTCATACATTTCGGCAGTAAAGATCATAAGTTTATTGGGAAAAAAATTGCAAACTCTATGGCAGGATTAGTGTTTACGGAAGGAGGTTGCACAGATGGTAGTACTATACGTAAGGCAAAGGGTATACCTGATTCCGAAGCGGCCAGAAAAAAGTTCTTCTTAAACGACAAGAACCGCGCCAAGTGGGATTGGGAAGCAGGAAGGGAATATGGATGTGAATTCTTCAACCCATATCTAGACTTTAACGGTAGCTATTTCTTGCCAGGCTCTCATATGTTTACTGATATTATAAGAATTCGCTCTTCGTCTTCCCGGTTTTACCCTTCCCATGATAAAATACTTTGACGTTCAAAGCTCCAGGTTTGTCCAACACGTATTTGAAGTTTACACTCTATAACAAACAACGAACGTTATTTAATTTGTATTTGAAAATTTAGGAACCTCAAGGACAAGAGCGACTCGCCAAAATTTCCATATCCAAGGCGCTCCCACCGCTTACGATATACACTTAAAAACCGAGCAAACAATTCAGTACTCTTTGTCATTGTTTTTACTCTTTACTTAAAAGAGGATGTGGACGAAAACGGTACAATACGGGGGTCTGTGGAACAAATCAAGCATGGTAAAAATAACGGCAGCGGTAATAATATTACCGAAGGCTATAAAGATAAACTTGATATCACCGTGGAAGACGAAGTGGATTAAATATGATAATATTTGGACTTCGCCATATCAAATTCCCACAGATTCTTCGCCAAGTTTGATAGTTCCCAAACTTATCATTCCAGCCACTGTTCGAAAGAAATACACAGCATGTATATCAGAAAGAGCAACCTAAACGGAGTGAGCAGTGACGGGAGAACCTGTTCGCAGGGCCTAATCTATCCGAAACAGTCAAAATACCAGTGTGATAAAGGAGAAACACCAATTCATTTTTAATGATAAAATAAAAGTATTTTTTGTATAAATCTATGTAATATAACGTTGCACAGACTAACTAATTACAGAAATTATAGATCTGACTAAACGAGTTTCTAAGCTGTAGAGGAGGGGTCGAGGCTGGAGAGTAACAATTAATGTGAATATTCAAGATTCGGTCACTATTTTGTTGCCTACTTTCAATTTTATGGGCTGTCGCTTTAGATTAATAGGATTCATATCTATAACTCGAAGCATAAGCGTCACTACTGGAAAGAAAAAAGTAAAAATCATTAGGGGATACGGCTTAATCCCCATGGTAATTTATTTGATGAACTTACGATATCAAGTTAGTGTATAACAGTAAGAATTCAAGCTTAAGAGCGGATATAACTATTAATTCTAGTGAATTTGAAGAATTGATATCTATTTTTATATTTATTATTATTATAATTTAACGTCGTGCCTGCGCACAACACACACAATTTTTTGAAATTCGAATCTTCACTTTTTCCCCCTCTCCCTCCCTCTCGCGCTCGTATCATTCTATCAGAAAATTATCATCGAGTCACTGGCATTTTCACCATGCCACCTGTTCGAAAAAAGCGTCCCAACGCCAAGTTGGACAACACGAGAGTCCACCCGAGGGCTCTCGAACAAGTGCCTGGCCTTGCCCAGTCTCCGAAATGCGCGGAGATGAGCAAGGTCTCAATCAAAGGGAAGGGAAAAGCCCTCCCCGCCGTCACTGAACCCGATACTGACATGATCGGGTCAGTTCAAATTGTTGAGGAAATCCCTCAGCGATCCTCTGTCCCCCACGGGATTGGAGAATCATCCAAACCTCCTCCGACCACTTCAAAACCGTCGGAAAACGCTGCACCCATAGCAGCGTCAACATCAATGTCGCAGCCAAAAGCTGCCACGAAAGCAGAGTGTCCCCTCGAGCTCCGACCAATAGTCGAAGCTGAACAACGACGCGCCGCCGAAATAGCGGCAAATCTGGCCCTCTGCTCCGGCGCCATCTCTGGCGTCGAAGCTACCCTCCTCCCTTCGACCAACGGGTCAAATAGACAATTCGTAGACTCCATGAGAGTCTACCTACGCGCCGCGATTGCGCATTACATGGCCACTACGCCACCCGTTCTCCCTCCTCGCCCGACGAACTCTCTCCCAAGTGCTCCCGACGCCAGGAGACAAACAATACCTACCGTCCCAGCTCTGCCCGTCAAAAGCACCTGGGCTACGGTGGCCAGAAACGGACTGCAACAAAAAGCAGTCCCAACTGTGAAGGCTGTGCTGCGACCTGCGGCCAAAGCCCAACAAAAAGAAAACCGCAAGGCGAAAGTCGATAAGCGACCGCTCTTTCGCCTTGAAAAGGACCACCCGTGGCGAAAATTGTCCACAAGCAGCGTGAGAACTGAGTTGGAGTATACATTTGGCTACTTTAACCAAGAAATAACCTCACTCCACAGAGTGAGAACGGTCTTTGCTATGCTAGCAAAGAACGAAAAAACAGGACAAGAGACTTTAGATGGCTCTTCGAAGCTGGCGAGTCATAACGTCAAACTCGAGGTATCTTCGGATCTTGTCGCCTTACAGATACCGAACGTACCTGTAAGTATAGTTACAGTGTGCGGCACCAGGGCGGTCGATGCTAGCTGGGTCTCTGCCAAGATTCTCGGTACGACCGGCGTGATTCCAATCCAGGTCCGACCTCATGGGACATCTCGACCTGGGGCACCGTATCAAAACTGGCATGCCCTTTTCACGCGGGACAACGCCCCTCGTGCGGGCTTCCGCCTCTTCGACGAGTCTGGTATGGCTACCCATCACAAGCCTCGTCGCCAAATTGTACAGTGCAAACGCTGTTTAGGCTTCCACGCCACTCGTGGTTGCTCCCGCGCTCCAGCCTGCTGGAACTGCGGCTCCAACATGCACTCGGAAGCCGAGTGCAAGGCCCTCACTAAGTGTCGCAACTATGGGGGACCCCACCGATCGGATTCTCGGGACTGCAAAGTTAGACCCAGAAAATCTGGGCCGGTGACAAAAGAGCAGCTCGCATGGATACGCCACCTCGAGCAAGGGAAGTTCGCGGAGGTGGCTCGAGCTAAGGCTGCAGCCAAAAAGGCTGAAGAGGCGAACGTCGCCGCGGCGAAAGATGTCGCAATGGCCGAGGCAACAGGTTTCGGAGTGCTGGGACCTGAAGAAGAAGTTTGAGGACACAGCAACCTCGACAATTTCCCCTTTTGGGGAACCTACTAACCAATAGCAGGATACCGGCTGGATAAAAGATGCCTACTGACCCATCTCTTGCTCTCAGCAGAGATTGAGTAAATTTGTCATTTGGAAGGTGTGACGGACAAGGAAATGTGTGAGGAGCACATTGCTTGGGTCCAATATGGAGGAATCTTCTCTTTTTCCTTTTTTTTGGAGCTGTTTTGATTTTCTTGATTTTTCGTTTCAGTTTAATCAGCTGCACTTTTGGTAGCGATTCACGCGGTTGGAAAGAGTTGGGACTGTATACAGTGATCCTCACCAGCTCCACCTGTCTTTGACCCATTGTGGAAAAAATAGCATTAGCTTAGGACAAAAACAATAAAACAAAACAAAACAACCACAATTTTCTGAAATCGATGAATATTCCCTCAACCGTCTCCTTAACCCTTAAAATCATTATCACTAAAGCTAATTGCATCGTTTCTCATAGTGGTAAGCCCTAAAACCACCAAAATGGTGATGGGGCCCACGAAAATCACCCGCCCCACGCGCCAGCTTAAAGCAATGGTGAAAATAAAAACTAGGCTGCAACAGTGCCTGGATGCAAGAAATCTATCGATCGACACGATAGATCAAGACAAGATGGAGTCAGAAATGACTGAAAGGATGAGAGTCTTCGAGGAAGACTCTAACTCGACAAACCCAGACGAAGAAATGGGTGATGCGGTTATAGACAGCTACATACAAGAGGGACTCAACAGTTCCCGATGGTATGTCGCTCATCAGAATGACGGTCCAGTCTCTGAGACCACCGTCAATCGATTGACAAAAAGCAGATCGCTGTTCCAGCTGTAAAGCAGACAGTAATCTCAGGGTTGAAAAAGGCTGATCAAGCCACAACCCCTCAGAACGCCGACCAACCCCCATCAGTGGCGACTGAAAATCAACAACCTCCCTGCAGTGAAAGCAAGAAACAAAACAACAATGGCTGCCCCCCGGAATTACAAGCCATGATTAAAGCTGAAGAGCGCAGGGCAGCTCAAGCAGCAAAAATATAACGATCTGCACTGCTGCAATCAACGCTGTCGAGACCGCGGTCTCTCTATACTTAGAAGAGTCGAGCAATCAGTTCATCGACTCGATGAAAATTTATGTCTGAGCAGCAATTGCTCAATTCATGAAGACTGAACCCAGTGCGGTCCCTCCAATCCTACCTCAGCGCCCGAGCTGCCATGATAATACAAGGTGTCCTGCAGTAAAGGCTAAAGAAAGAACCTCCTCAAAGAATCCGAAGACAAAACGTGAAGTAACTCAGGCCAAAACAACCTGGGCAACGGTAGCACGGGGCATTCGGCCGGAGTCGATAGCACCAATGAAGGCTGTTAAAGTCATTCATAAACAAGCAGTCCAGGTCAAGCCGTTTGTTGAGCGGATTGGTTTGTAAAAGCTTGTGGCTGTTAGGCACAGATTGTATCACTTGGTGAAGCGAGTGGGAAAGTAAAGGAGTCTGTAAATCTGTTGTGGAGAGTTGTTAATTACTCCCACTAGGACACAGAGTGCTGTATAAACTATATTTTGTTATAATAAAATCTAGTGGTTGGTATTTACGTCAAAGCGCATTAATACTAACCTCATGATTAATGGGAGATTTGTGACGTGTCTTCTACACATCCCTGTCTTTACCATAATTGGAAGCACCAATTTCAACACCGTTAACAAGACCTGCGACCTCAAAACCAAAGGACTCTCGCCTGTTCCTTCGCCTTGACAAAGAACATGCATGGCGTGCTCTTTCGCCGGTCGGAATGAGGGAAGCCGTAATCAAATTGCTGGAGATACCATCCTCCAATACTGAATATGTGTACCGTGTTCCCACCGACTTCGCTATTCAAGCCAAAAACGAAGAAGCAAGCCAGCTTCTCTTAAACTCTGCGGAATTATTCAACAGAGTTGAAGCTAAGTTGGAGACAGCCTCGGATCTAGCTGCCCTCCAAATTGCAACGGTCCCAATGGCCCTATACACACTTATGGGCAAGATCACAGTTACTGAGGAGATGATGGCTGACGAGATCACTCGAATCACAAAGGCGGTTCCGGTACGCGTCCGTCCACAAGGAGAGGGGCGAGTAGGAGCTCCATACCAAACATGGATAGCTCATTTTGAGAGAGCGTCTGTACCTCGGCTGGGTTTCCGACTTTTTGACAACTTTAGAATTGCAGTTCGCCACCAGCCTAAACAGGCAATAAACCAGTGCAAGCGATGCCTGCAATTCCACGCCACTCGAGGATGCTCTCGAGCCCCAGCTTGCTGGAACTGCACATCAAATATGCACTCCTCCGCAGAGTGTAAGGCACATACAAAGTGTCGCAATTGTGGCAGCCCCCATCAATCGGATAGTCGCGACTGTCTAGCTCGTCCTACAAAGTCTGGATCGGCATCCAAAGAAAACCTTGAGACGATCAGGCAGGCGAGCCAACGGGAATTTGCAGCTGTTGTCAGAGCAAAAGCAGCCGTTAGACGCGCTGAAGTCGCAATTTCAGCAGGGTCAGAAAAGGCCAAAATTGCTCAG